CCACAGAGTGAATGAATAATGACACGTGAAGTCGTGCTTCATCTTTCTGTAAAAAATATGAACTGTTATTTTCTAACAGTATTTATTGTAACAGCAGGAGCATCCAAATTTGAAAGAAGACTGAATTATGAACTGACAAATATTATACATTTGCCCTAAATAACAGACTGTGAAGGGTTTGAAACTCCAGGTACAACAATCTGTTCTGTTCCTTGCAGAGGACATTTTAGTATCTAAATAAATACAGCCTTTGTGATTTTTAGGGATGCAGCAATACCGATACTAGTACTGAATATTGTTATTGATGCATTAAATTTGCTGGATAAATATCAGTATCAGTATATCAAAATCCTGGTTGGGCCAATAAATTGACTAATAAGAATATTTACTGGCCGTACTTGGTCCAAAAAGTCTCATTATGTTTGAGTTTTTAATACAAAGTTGTTTTTTAGTTAGTTGTGAGTAGAGGTGGGACCAAGTCGTTGTTTTGAAAGTCTCAAGTAAGTCTCAAGTCTTTGGCCTCAAGTCCGAGTCGAGTCCCAAGCCAAATAAGGCAAGTCCAAGTCGAGTCTCAAGTCACTGGTCCATAAGTCCAAGTCAAGTCCAAGTCGTCTGCTTTGAGCTTCAAGTCATTTCAAGTCTTTAAACCAAAATACCAAATATAGCTTAGATTTTTCCAATTTATATGAATTTTAAACTAAATTGTTTAAAAAAAAATCATAGTATATTTATATTTGAGTATCTATAGAGTATATAAGAGTTGTAGAAATGTTAATCTTTTCTTTTTAAATATCTTGACAAGATCTTAGTGTGAATCATTGCGGTCAGAAGAGAAAGAATTCAGATTTAGTGTGTTTCTCAAGTCACAGGCCTCAAGTCCAAAGTCTCACTGACCTTCAAGTCCAAGTCGAGTCCCAAGTCTTAGTCCATTTTATCAAGCCAAGTCTCAAATAGAAATAGTGACTCAAGTCTGACTTTAGTCCAATTCGTGACTTGCAAGTCCCTAACTCTGGTTGAGAGAGAGAAATAAGAGCTACATAACACATTTTGTGATATAATATTCTTTGTTTTTATGAAGATAGTCTATTTTTAATCCCTGCACTGGTATCGGTTGATATTAGGTATTGGCAGATATAACGCCAAAGTATCAGAATTCGTATCAGAGCTGAAAAAACTGGAATGGTGCATCTCTAGTAATTTCATTATTGTCCAAACTCAGCTTGCAATTTACTAGGGATATAATGATATTCAAGTCTCACAGTATGATATCGTCACAGTATAAACCTCACGATACAATATTTATTGAGAACAAAACTGTTAATATGCTACTTTTTCCTCTTAAACTGTCTTGACAAGACTTAATCCAACAACTAAGACTTAAAAGTGTTTAGAACTGTTATTTCTTCTTGTAGTCTCCACTGAAATGAAGCAAAGGATCGTGGTCTATGTAGTTCCCTCTGTCTTTTTTTTTTAGCTATTGCTGCACCATAACTCTTAATTTAAGCGAAGAGACTTGTAATTTGATATATTGTGATGGTTCACGATATTATTGTGAGAACTTTGACGATACGATATCACGATATTTCGATTATCGTTACATCCCTACAATACAATACAGTCGATATTTTTTATAACTTAACTTGATTTCTGCCCAGACCAAAACCCTTCCACAGCTCCGGACATAAAATCTGCGTAAAACACAGTAGAAAACCAGATTAGTCCAGTCCTTCCTAAATAGATTTGTCAGCGTCTGGTTTTGACTGCGTCTGCTCTGTCTCTCCTTCATATTTATAGCCCAGATCCAGAGCTGTAGATATCCTCATCTGTCCACATGCTTTTGCTTCAGTCTGATGGAGCCTGGGTTCTCTGTGTTATTCCCTCAAACCATTGTCTCTGATTGACAGTGGAATGATGCAAATACCGGCAACATTTCCAGCAAATCTCCAAAAGTGTTGTGTGTATTTTAATGTATTTGGCTCCGAGTGAACAAGGAAAAAAAAAAGAAAAGGGAAGTGGAAATGGGGTCGTGTCCACTTAACCCGATGAAAAGGAGCAATCTGCAGAACAAAATGTCACTTTGTGAACAACTACCTTAAATAACACTGGAGGGGCTTCACTCTCCTGCTCACTGCCCACTCCAGCTGCTCTTATAATAGACAGTGGTGAGTATTAAAGTACTTAAGTATATATATTAGGCTTCTGTACTTTACTTGCTGAACAGCCTGAGGGGTTATTCTTAACACATTCATAGTTTGACCAAAAATATACAAATAAAAACAGCTAGACAAGAACATTTTTTTCGATTCAGTTGTTTCTGTTGAACAAAATTCAGCACAAATCTTTACCAAAATCACTACATTTGAAGCTTTATTACATCTCAATATCTGAGTCTAATGTTTTTACCTTTTACTCATTAAATACATTTTAAATTGGTACTTTAATGCTTGTACTTAAGTAGATTTTACATGTCATACTTTATAAAGTATGGAGTATTTTTCTCCATATCTGTACTTTTACTTAACACAATTAAGTCATTCCTCCACCACTGATAATAGCCCATTTCTGTTTTCACTTTTACCAAAATATACTTGTGTATTGCAAATGTTAAAGGTATTTACATGCTATAATTAATACTAAAAATACAATTGTTCTGCTAGGGACAGGGGGAAGTAACAAAAGAGCCAAGATGGAGAATGGAATAAATTTAATGTTTAATTAACGGGAATGTCAAACGTAAACTTAACAAAACAGGCTAAAATATGTGCATAAAGGGGTGAAATCAAAGCAAAGCAAACTAACTGGACAGAAATGAACCAAAAGGACTGCAACACAAGATGAATAAACATACAAAGGTCATGCATGACGTGAGTGTTTTGTACAAAATCACATAAAATCTAAGTAACGCAAAATTAGAGACAGATTAACGAAGGGGACAAGGGTCTCAAAATATCAATTCACAGTCACAGAAACACAGTGACAGAAGATAAGAGACAAAACTAAATGGCAGACGGGCCACAAAGGTCAGCAGCTCTGAACATCTGCTGCAATCTGCTTAAATATGGGGCGGTGGCTGCAGGTGAGGTGGGCGTAGACAAACTCAACCAGTCACAAACCAGGGCTCCCAAAGCAGATATCAGGACAAACCAGCAAAATAAATTAAGCCTACATTTACACATAGCTGGATATTTTGAGAAACGAGTATTTCCCACCCTCCATTTTCCAAAATAACATCGTGCACGCAGCATCGTTTTCAAAAAAGTTTTGTTTACATCGACCTGCATAAATACGCCATCGAGCGGCGTCATAACTACACCGAGCCTCTGGGCGGCACCTGGATTAGATTCAAACCTGTAACATTTATTTCACTACAGTTGTAAGTATTACTCAAAAATATCTTGAAAAACAACATGCATTAATGAGCGGGCTTGCCTCTCCACAAATATGTTAAAGAAGTGGCAAAATCACTGATCTCCGAGCCCTTGTTCATCTCTGATCATGGATATGAAACATCAGCTGTGTGCAAATACAAACACATGAAAAGTGTTTGTACCAGAAGAAATAGATGAGCCGAAGCGGGGAGTGGTGTCCGGTGCCTCCACCTGAGAAGCGCTTTCCCCGGGAAAAAAAAACAAATGCACAGATGGACCGCTCAGAACAATATATAACGAACCAAACGGGATTCACGCTTCTGTCCGGATCCATTTTTATAACAAAATTTTAGCCCCCTCCAAATTTTCCTTTTGAAGCTTTTTAGGGGTGTGATAGGTTAATCGGGGGTGTCGGACCCCCGCACCTCCTATATTTCGCACACTGTCATCATCATAGCAAAAGGTAAACATGGGTCGCACTTTCGGTGCATCAGCTCCTAAAACGCTGTTTATCTCACTTTATACACAAACGTGAAACCGGAGTTTTCCAGAATCTCCACTCTAGCTGGAGTTTTTAGAAAGATTCATTTTCAGAGGCGAATTTGCCGTTTGCGTGTAAAAGATGTGTACAAACGAAGGGAAATGTCGCCGTTTTAAAAAATACCCGTGTACATGTAAACGGTGCCTAAAACACACAAAACAAGGCAGAACTGGAGGCCAGGGCTGTAACAACAATCCAGTTTATCCATATAGCACAGTTTTTAAAATTTCAGCACAGATGAATTACATTTTGAAATTAATTGTCTTTGTATAGTGAGTGTGTTGTATGTATAGAGAACACGCTGACGTTATGCACTTTGGTGTGATTGTTGCTGTACTTTTCCTTGTCCTGTAGATGATTTTACATCAACCTGCCGAGGGACTGAAGGTGGAAATTAGCCACGTTGACTATAATCTTTACATATTTACATTTTTTATGTTCATTAATATGTACTGTCCCTTTACAAATAAATAAAATAAGAAATAAATAGTAAATGAAGCAATACATAGAAAGCACCAAGCATCCTATATTACGCAAAATTTACTACTGTAAGGTTTAATGTTATAATGTTATTACCTCCTCAAAAACATCCACGGAGTTGTGTTTTGTTTCACTCACACATGTTTGAGTAACTCTTTACTGTTAGTCTGTCTACATCTCCACCTTGTGATGTCATGAAGTGGTAGTTTACAGCCACCTTTGACCTTTCATTCAGTCGAGATGAACAGTTTTGGGGCTGAAATGATCCGAATGATTCTAGTGAAGGCGTATGGAGTTTAAAAACACACTGGACTTTGAGAGTTTGAGAGAAGAAGTCAGCGTAAATATGCAGGTTTGTGTGTTAAACATGTGTGAATGAAACAAAACAAAACTCCAGGTAACTTTCTGATGAGGAAACGTTATAACATAGATCAGAAAATAGTGTAATATGGACTCTTTAAAATATATAGCGCAAAAAAATGGTGAAAATAACAGAAGATATAAAAAACACAGAGCACCACACACATACTGTAAATCTTTTTAGCTTTCTGGTTATTTCAGTGTGTTAATGTCAAGCCCTCTCCAGACAATTCTGTTGTTTTCTCTTGTAGAAAGTGTCGAAGTCGCAGCCTCCTCCCTGCTCCCCTCTCTCTCCGCTTTGTTACTCATGGTGCCCCTGGTTGCTCTGGTTGTCGGTGCGTTTCTATGGAGACGGAGACACATTGCAGATCGTGGTGAGTCTTCTGGCATTTTTTTTTTTTTTTTTTTTGCTTTTCTTTCTTTTTTCGTTCTTTTTTTTGACAGCTCTCCATGTTCTGTCTGTCTCTGGGCCCCTGTCTGTCGGCTGCCACAGTGATGCCGACCGTGATGTCCTCTAAGGCTGAAAATGAGTCCCGCTTCTGTTCCCTTCTTTTGGTGTAAAACTGCTCGGCCTTTGGAGATTTACAATGTGCCACGATTCCGCGTTATTAGACGGGGCCCGGAACTAGTATTTTTGTTAATTATGCAGTATTAATCTCGCTGGGGGTGTTGTACATGCATCTCTACGGGGAATGTTCAGCGGTTACCATGGAGACACGATGCGTACTTTAAGCAAACACAGCCTGCAAGTTTTTAGATCAGACATGTCACAATTTTGCCCGCGATATAATTATGTTTGGCCGGCAAGATCATATCAAGTATGTATTAGAGCTGCCCGCCGGCTACAGTTGGACTATAGAGACATTATTTATTTAAAATTGTGTTATTATTTTATATTACACTTGTTCTGGATTCAGTGTTTAAGCAAAACTATTATTAAACATTTATTTTAATAAGAGAAGGTTTAACATTACATAGCTCAAAAAAAGAGAAAACATGCAGTTGTTGAAATATTTAAATAAATATTTAATTTGGCCCACGACTTAGTCCCAGTTTTCAAGGGCAAACAGACAAACAAACAGAATCTGGGCAGGTCCAAAATAAGTGAGAGGTGGTTTCATTTTTCAGTTCACAAAATGTACAGTTTGTGTCCATTGTCCTTCTAAAATGATTCTTTAGCAGATGACAGCGATGTAGAAGTTTGTTGCAGATTTCCCTTTGCTTGTTGGTGATGAGATATTTGTGAGGTCATGTCCGTACATTTTTCCATGGAATATTGTCAGTAGAGTTCGGCTGCTCACAGTTGCACGAGTAGGACTCCGTTTGGGAGGTGCACTTATGGTGATAGTCGCTCTTTTTCCGTGGCGACTCATTTTAAGACAAGTTTAACTGAAGATGAAGCTGTAGTGACAATTTTAGTCCTAACCTTTTGTCGTTTCTGGGTGCAGGGGATCCAGGCCTAATGCGCTACCAGATTGACACATTAGATTGTAGAGCAAAAAGGAGTAGGATGGGTGAATAGATGTTCAATAATATTACAGAGTTGAGAAGTGAAAGCTAGACCACCGGTCAGAAGGAGAGCGGTAAAAACCATGTGACCTCCTGTCACCCATACACCCAGTACACTGGCACCTGAGCATTTAAATAGGGCTTGACTCCACCCTGCCCCCTTGTGGCCAAGCCGAATATAGGTCACCCTGTGCCCAGACAAACAGTGACCCAAATTAACCCCAGCCTAAACGAAAGAAAAATGGCTCCTACAGAAGCCAAGTAAGTTCCTTTTGAAAAGTTTTTCAAAGTTTGGTGCAGTGTCTTCATTCACGCCTGCTCAAGCCGGCATCTTCAGGTGCGGCCCTGTCCTGCCGCTTCCTCAGTTTAGGCTCCTGGCTCCACTAATGACATCACTCTGTTACAGCCAATGAAACAGCAGCAGGAGTAACCCTGTCGTCATATCACTGAATACATCTCAGAACGTTGAATAAACAAAATGTGAACTAAAACATTTTAAATTAATACTATTGAGTTTGGAAAAATATCAAAATAAATGTATATTTTTGTTTATTAAAATAAAATGGCAAATATTGGTAGAGACTATTTTGTCTTCCCCAAATATTGGTTGTGACATGTCCCCACCAACCCTAGTTTTTAATTTTGGCCCTCTGTGAATTTGAGTTTGACACACCTGTTTTAGATGGTGTGAAACTTCAAGAAAAATACAAAATGGATTTAAACTACTAATTTTCAGGAGCCTGTGTTCGATATAAGTGTTCCTGGTCCAGTTTAGAATATTAAAGGTGCATTGTGTAACTTTTCTGATGGAGGGCACATCAGATTTTTTTCTCCATGGAGATGTTAGTTCTGTGTGGAAAGTTTCACAGTATGGCATTAAACCATTCTATCTGCATGGAGACCCAACCAGACCAAGTTACAGGTCAGATCTGTGGAGAGGCGACCCCGCTCACAGTCAGAATTCATGTTTTTCAAGGAATTTTTGAGCTATAAAACCAGCTGTAATTGAATAAATGTAAAGTCGAGTGGTTTAAAGTCATACTGTGGAACATTCCAGGCAGAGGAATGTCATATCCATAGAAACAAGAAGGTGACAGCTCCCCAACCAAAAAGTTACATAGTCCAACTTTAAGTATTCACCACGAAAGTCACAAAATAACTTTCATTTCGTGACAAGATCCAGATTGAATTATTTATGTAAAGTGTCTTAGAGTGTTCAGAAATGTGCTACATAAATTAAATGGATTATTATTTTGATTTAGGGACCATATATTAATTGCGAGCTAAGAGGTGAGTGCTGTATTAATTAAAGAAGCCTGGAAATGAATCTGTCTTTTTGCTCTGTCCTTTTCGTCTAAAACTTCTGGGTCTTTGGAGATTAACAATGGGACAATTCCACATTATTAGACAGGGACTGGGACTAGTGTTCTTTTATCAATTATTAATACGTTTTAAAATTCTATCTCCCATTTTTAACAATGCACTTATTCGGCATTGTGACAGAAAGATTGATCCCTGTACAATCCGTCACCCATCTCTCTTCTCTCACCCTTTCCTCCCTGCAAAAAAAAAAAAAAAAAAAGTCACATCTTTTTCATATCGTCAAAATCCAGATTGTAATCTTAAAAAAAAATCTTTAAGTAAACTAATGTAATTCCTTGTGTTTGAGCATATATTAGTAGATTTTAATTAACTGTAAGCAAGGATGAACCAAATCTCTCCGTCTATATGATGCTCGCTTATTTTATCAAACCACAATGAAAAAATTGCATATTCTCTGAGTAATTTTACCTTCCTCCACCCATGTCAGATGAACACAATAGGCCTATACAACTTTAATTGCGAATGAACCCTATTTTTCCACTGAATATACCGGTAACCTTCGTCTTTCTCCATAGAGATTAACACGAACCAAAAATAAAGATCTTGTTTTTTATAATATTTACTGATGGTCATGCACGGTGCCTATAGATATAGAAAAACTGCATGTATTTTTATTTAACCATTTCATTGTATCAGTCCTTCAGCAGTCCAGTACGTTGATGTTATACTCTGCAGTTACATCATGCTGGGGGTGGATTTCTGTTTGTCTTTGGCTGAATGTTCATCAGTTCCCATGGTGACTCAATGCACACATTTGCACCAGCTACCAAAAAGGTTTTCAGATTGTTTGAAAATTGTGGGTTTAAACGACAGAGGTGGGACCAAGTCGTTGTTTTGCAAGTTTCAAGTAAGTCTCAAAGTCTGAATCAAGTCTCAAGTCAATGACAGGAAGGTCGAGTCCAAGTCGAGTCCAAGTCGTCTGCTTTGAGCTTCAAGTCATTTCAAGTCTTTAAACCAAAGTAGATTTTTTGCGCTTTTTGAATTTTAAACTAAATTGTAGACATGGTATATATGAGTATTTATATAAGAGTTGTAGAAATGCAATTTTTTCCTTTTTAAATGTCTTGTCAAGAGCTTAGTGTGAATCATTATGGTCAGAGTAAAAATAATTCAGATTTAAAGTGCTCAATAAGTTATTTTGTCATGTAGGCTACGTTTATATGATGACGGTCTGAACAGAAGACGCAAAAGTGGCATCGCATCTTCACTTTTTATTCCACGTTTAGACAAACGTTTTCGAGAGGAAATTTGCAATCAAACGGTGATGCAAAAGTGTGTGGAATTTGATTGTGTATGCATGCCAGGTGGTGACGCTAGGTGATGATGTATGTGACGTAAACACGTACACGACATCTGGCCAGAGTTTTGCGTCTTGGGCAGGGTAGACGGAAACGCTACTGCCGGAGTGTATTCAACTTTTCCACTCTGGAGGGTGGTTTCAGATTTTTGCGTTTTTAAGCCCCAAAAACACCATCACCATCTAAACGAATGGCACTTCGGTGAAAATATTTTGTTTTTACCCACAAGTGTTCTCATGTAAACAGGCCCACAGTCTGCACTGAAATGGAAGGATCATGTTCTCTCTAGTTCCTCTGTTTTACTGTGTTGTACTGTATATTACTGTAGTACATTTGAGGACACCACATCATAGTACTTCAGTTACATCCAAAGTAACGAACAGAAGTGGAAGGGACATGTTCCAGTTTGTTTCTGTAAAATTAAGGACATATCAACTGAAAAGAGAAAAGTATTTTCTAGTAACATATATTTTTTTAGGAGAATCATCAAGTCACGGCTTGTAAGTGCCCACCTCTGTTAATCAGCACATGTAAATCAGCTCTTTGAGGACACATTATGTTAAAACAAAGATGAGATTAAAGTCTAACTTGAGGAACAGAGCTTCAGACAGAGAATAGCCTACGGTTAGCATCACACACGCAGAGAATCCTGATGACACCAGCTGCAAAGTAGACAACTTACCCTTGGCTGGGTTCACAATTGCAGACACCATATAAAAAAATGCAAATAAATTGGACTAAACCAGAACTAAACCTGGACTAGATCAGAACTAGAACAGGTTTTAACCTAGTCTACACCAGGACTAAACTAGGGTCTAACCAGGACCAATACAGGACTAAAGACACACGACAGTAAGCTTTGACCTCCCTGCTGACCCACTGTGCATCTAATCCACAGTTTGAGAATCTCAGTCCTACAACTTTGTATGATGTCATGTTAAACCACAGACTGTATATAGAAGTGGAGTAAGTGAGTGTGATGCTGCCCATAGCGTTCAGTCAAATGAAGCTCATCGAGGTTGGCAGTTATAGGACTGAACTTGGAACCAGGTCAATATTAGGAATAGGAATGTATTTACTTACAGCAGCAGTTACAGAGAGAAGGGTGACAGTTTTTCAATGTTAATTCAATTGGAGCCAGCAGCGTCCCCATTATGGCTGGATATCTTTAAGAAGTTGCCAGCATGATACATACCTCGATACATAGGCCACGATACGATACATATCTTGGTGGAGTGCACTTTCGGTTCAATACGATATAAAGTATTTCAAATTGATTCGATACGGTTCAATAAAAATAAAGGCTAAATCATGACTGTGATACTAAAAGTCTTAAATCATGTTTTGTGCAGAGTGAATATGAAACGCACCCATTTTAATTCTCAAAACAATGAAAATGTCAAATGTGTCACATAAACGCGTTTCCTTCGTCTAAACAAGCAACATAACTGTATCGTTGTAACAAAATAATTTTGTAAAATACCGTATTTTCCGGGCTATTAGGCGCTCTGGATTATAAGATGCACTGTCATTAAATGGTCTATTTTCGAACTTTTTTCACAAATAAATCACACTGGACTTAAACGAAACACAACAGTTCAGTGGGTCAGTGGGACTTTGTTTGTGGCGTTCACGGTGACTCTGGGCTTTGTTCAGTTGTGGCGTGTAGGGAGGGTGCTGTCTGGGACCGCTGGATTGTCGGCGTGTTCGCAGTGACTCAATTGTTCAGTTGTGTCTAGAAGCGGCACATTGGACTCGCTTTTTCGGTTCATTCCTTCATTCCGTTCCTCGTCTGCGTGGAGTGATGAGTGTGTCTGCGGGTGTGTTTCGCTGTGCGGTCGCTGTCTGCTCTGTGTGTGTTTGTGGCTTTGTAGTTTACTGAAGTCGTGCTGAGACACCCGAGTGGATTCGTGTATAATCGTGTGAGTGTGGGACGCGCGGTCATTTTTTGATGCGGTTGAGGCTTAAGAACGCGTCTAATACCCTGGAAAATACGGTATACCAAAAAATATTCTTGGCGATATATCCTGTATCATCACATGAAACTATACGGCCTCCCTGGTGACCCACTGTGCATCTTTGTCTCCCCCTGGTGGTGGTACTAACCCCCAGTTTGAGAACCTATATCCTCGTATGATGTCACGTAAAACCAACAGCTGCGTGTGCTTTTGACTATATCATCATTTTGTTCAGGCATTGAGCAGTCCCTCTCGGTGCGCTCGGGCGAAGCTGAAAACATCTATGAAAATCCCGAGGACATAAGACAGGTGATGCAATCCCACATTTCCACTCTGATGAAACTCTCTCTTCTCTCTCTCCATCTTTTTTTATCCATCCATCTCTCCCCTCCTGTGATTTTGGGTCTGATTTGCAGTCTTCCTCCTCCTTCTGTCACTTGTTGTTCATTAAAACTGTTTTCTGCGCTCTGCTTGTTTCCCCGCAGGCTCCTCCCCAGGGTTCGGTCTACATGGTAAGATACACTGTACTGCCTTATTATACACCGCATGGAGGATTTCTTTGTTTCAACTTTATTTATAGGCTTCTGTAAACAGGCCACACTTTAACAAGATACAGCAGTGTTAAGTGTGAAGACTGCAATCTGCAAGTCTCGCAATTAAAACCATTTCTTTAAGTACGTACAAGAATACACAAGTATTTTTACCTTTAGTTTAATGTGAAGACAGCTGCTTGAAAACGGGGCACAAAACACAAAAACAGAGATGCACCAACATGTCTTATTTGTATTTGCTAAAAGTGTTGTCATAATACTAAAATTTCAAACTTCATTTCAATAGATTTTTTTCACAAAGGCCGGAAATGTCGCGATGTAGGGTAAACGTCACTTAGGTTAATGCTTTTCTATGGCAAAATATCTGTGGAAATGTCTCGCGTATTTTCCACCAGCTTCATAAATCTGCCCCATCACCAAATTTTGAGCCAACAAAGTCGACAAAGAACATATTCTGTCCATGAAGAATGTACCCACTACAACTACAAACCACAAAAAATACCTGGAGTTGTGTTTTTGTTTTGGTTTTCTCATTAATGTCTGTGCTCTGTGTAGCGGACCAAACAGAAAGGCAAAGACAAGGTATAAAAATAAGTTAAAATTTAATAAAGTCAAAAAAATATGTAATTTAACAAAGGCTCAAATTAGGCAAATCATTTACAAAAAGCTGCATCCAATTGGGGACACTTAAATCAAACTGAACAGAACAAAACGAACCCAATCAGACAAAGAACAGGGTGTTTAAATACATGAGGACCAACTAAAACTGAACACAAGAGGGAGGAATTACACTAAATAATTAACTAAAACTACTAACTTAATCAAAGTAACAAGGCAAATAAGTGTAATACAGAAAATAATAAGTGATAATAAAGTGACCTTAAACAAACTAGACAAACGAACTTAGTAAAACAAACTAAATATTCACTCAATGGCCACCAGTCATCGCGCAATGCATACTGGGAAGGATTTTCTGAAAAAGTGAGCATTAATTTGTTTTCCCAGTGGGATGCGTCTATTGACAAAGCCGATCTTTTCAAGTCTTTTGAACCATATCGCTTTTGTTTCTGGTTCTGATATTGTCATATTTTAGTTTTGGGATTCAGACATCGTAATTGTGTGATTGTTGGATGTCATAACAGCAGAAAACGGTTTGAGAAATGGGCTTTGGAAGTTTGCGAACTCCATAAATGCAAAAGGGAATCAGATCTGTGTGAATCTATGTAAAACCTCTGTTCACACTGTTTCCCGTCCCAATGGAATGGAAAAATAGTGAAAGGCGAAGGCGATGAGCAGGATTAATACACAGGAAGGACGAAAAAAGGAAACCTTTGGCTGCCTAAGAAATCATCCAAAGTTTGCAGCAAACATTTTGTATGTGCAGCGCCATCAAAGCGGGATCCCGTTTGTTAAGCGAGAGGTGCAGAAGACAAACAGGCTGAGCTCGCACTTTCTTGTTCTTGTGGTTTTACAGCAACATCACGTCTTGGTCTCTTTGCAGTGGAAGGTGTTTCTTGGCGAACAGCTGGTGCCTTTCGCTTTGGCGTTGACTTTTTAAATTCGTAACTGAGGTTGAACGCTCCACATACAAAATGTTCGCTGCAAACTCGGGATGATTTCTTAGGCAGCCAAAGGTTTCTTTTTTCATCCTTCCTGTGTATCAATCCTGCCCATCGCCTTCACCTTTCACTATTTTTCAATTCCGTTGGGACGGGAACCAGTTTGAACAGAGGTTTGCAGTCACAAAAATCTGATTCCCTTTTGCAGTTATGGACTTCACAAACTTTCCGAAGCCTGTTTCTTGAGCCGTTTTCTGCTGTTAGAACATCCAACAACCACACAATTGCGATGTCTGAATCCCAAAACTAAAATATGACAATATCAGAACCAGAAACAAAAGCGATATGGTTCAAAAGACTTGAAAAGATCGGCTTTGTCAATAGACGCATTCCACTGGGAAAACAAACATGGCGGTTTGATGCTCACTTTTTCGGAGGATCCTTCCAAGTATGCATTGCGCAATGACCGGAAGTCCAAAATTTGTGATGCATGTATTGAAACAAAGCATGACTCCAGGTCTGTTTGTGATGAGGAAACAGAATAACATAGATCAGAAAAAAGCTTAATATAGTTTTTAAGTGCCGATATGAAACTTTGTGAGCTCTAACTTTATAACTTTCCTGTACTCCAGATTTAAAGTCATAAAACAAAATATTCCATCCATGTATTTTTGCATGTTTAGCTGTAACCCGGCCAACTCCGCAGACTCTTGACTCCCCTCCTTCGCACTGCAAGCTGTCAGTAAATATGTCTTCCTCCTCAATCTGTCAGTGCCCAATCTGCTAAACCGGAGTCCTATGAGCCCCCCCTTACATTAGCAGTATTAACAAATCAATCTCATTACACACCAGAGGAACATAAATCTGGATTTGTACCATAGATCCCAGTGTTTACCCTTCCCCCCTTTTCTATTATTAATGCAGGATCTGAAGCCACGAGGGGAGGACGATGTCTATAAGGAACTGGAGCGGTAAGCAGAAGGAATTGCATCACCTGTGTCGTGTGAGTATGTGCGTTTGTGTGTGTGTGTGTGTGTGTGTGTGTGCTGTCAAAATCTGCTGTTACACTCCTCGCGTTCATAGACAGGCACAGACATCAAGATTCTTCTGCTATGACCGTGTTTACAAAGTAGTATTGTCACGATTTTAAAAATTTCAGACTTGATTTCTATTCAAAGGGAAAGGCAGATGCAGATTTTGATTCCACAGCGATGATTAAAAAGCAAAACAAAACAGAATGTAATTTTCAAACACTAAATACTATTAGTGCCTTTGGGATTCATCTGAGCTTCAAATGACGTCACATTGTTTAATACAAACGTGGGCAGCTGAAATGATAATAAAAATACGGTTAAAAGTCAGATTTTTGTTGTAATACAGTGAGTTCTTGGTAGAGCACAGGGTCCCAAGACCAGGACAAGACCAAAACCTCTGAGGATCAAAACCGAGACAAGACCAAGAGTTTTAGGCTATATTTATATGATGATGGTCTGAACAGAAGATGCAAAAGAGTGTTTTCAGGAGGAAATCTGCGTGCATGCGGTGACGCAAAAGTGTGTGGAACTCGATTGGGTACGCATGCCATCCGACATGTTTGTTTCTGTGTACTGTCTGTATGTGACTTAAACGTGTACGTGATGTGAGCAGATCTGACCAGAGTTTTGCGTCTTGGGCAGTGTAGACGGAAACACTAAGGCGGAGTGTATTCAACTTTTCCACTCTGGAGGGTGGTTTCAGATTTTTGTGTTTTTAAGCCCCAAAAACCCGTCACCGTCTAAACAAAAGGCACTCTTCCGATAAAATATTTTCATTTTTACCTGCCAGTGTTTTTGTGTAAACAGGCCCTTAAAGACCGAGACTGAGACAGCATGGAGACCACAGCCCATTGAGACCAAATCATGATCCTCTTTGTCATTTTCTACATTTATTTGTGTTTTACAGTTATTTTGACACATTTATGTCTGTGTTTTTTTGTAAATTTATCTCCATTTGATCTGATTAATGTTCATTTAGGCCTAAAATAAGACAAACTAACTGTAGTGCACTGAAACATTCAGTGCCCCAAGGACTAAACTAGAACTAAACCAGAACTAAACAAGGACTAAACTAGAACTAAACCAGGATTAAACCAGGACTAAAGTCGCACTAAACCAGAACTAAACCAGGACTAAAGCAGGACTAAACCGGGAATAAACTAGAACTAAACCAGGACTAAACAAGGACTAAACTAGAACTAAACCAGGATTAAACCAGGACTAAAGTCACACTAAACCAGAACTAAAGCAGGACTAAACCAGGACTAAACTAGAACTAAACCAGGGCTAAACCAGAATTAAACAAGGACTAACCCAGGACTAAACCAGGACTAAAGCAGGACTAAACCGGGAATAAACTAGAACTAAACCAGGACTAAACAAGGACTAAACTAGAACTAAACCAGGATTAAACCAGGACTAAAGTCACACTAAACCAGAACTAAACCAGAACTAAAGCAGGACTAAACCAGGACTAAACTAGAACTAAACCAGGGCTAAACCAGAATTAAACAAGGACTAACCCAGGACTAAACCAGGTCTAAACCAGGTCTAAACCAGAACTAAACAAGGACTAAAGTTGCACTAAACCAGAACTAAACTAGAACTAAACTAGGACTAAACCAGGACTAAACCAGGTCTAAACCAGAACTAAACAAGGACTAAAGTTGCACTAAACCAGAATTAAACTAGAATTAAACTAGCACTAAACCAGGACTTAAGTCACACTAAATCAGAACTAAACCAGGACTAAACCACAACTAAACCAAGACTAAACCGGAACTGAAGTTGCACTAAACCAGAGCTAAACTAGAACTAAACCAGGACTAAAGTCACACTAAACCAGAAGTAAACCAGGACTAAACCAGGACTATCTATACATCACCACAATGTACCTCAGACTTTCCTTTTCCTACATTCCTACATCCCTGCCGCACTGTGTCCCAAACATCACTTGATATTATAACTGACAGCTACATTTTTTTTCTGTGTGTACTGTTGTTTCTGCGCGTGGGTTTTAGTTTAAGATGAAATGTAAAAGACGAGACTGAGGATTTGTGTCTTTCCTCTCTGCGTTTCAGATATGAGCAGTGTCAGAGTCGATGACCCTCCCACAGCTGATCCTCCACCAGCTGTCACAAGCACTCAGGTCCCACAAGCACAAGAAGGCAACCGTAAACTAAAGAAAAGCAAAATAAGGCTGTGTGCGCGATTCACATATTTGCACTCATATCGCATCAAAACTGGGACTCGAGAACTCAAAGTGGACTAGACTAAACCAGGACAAGAACTGGACCAAAAGACGTACAGTTGGATTTAAACGAACTTTACTGGTCCACAAGAGAAATGATGACACAGGAGCTCACGCATCGCAGTATAATATAACATAGAGCAAACTAAAACAGGACTAAACCAGGACTAAACCAGGAGTAAACCAGGACTAAACCAGGACTAAAGACAGGACAAAACCAGGAGTAAATCAGGACTGAAAACAGACTAAACCAGGACTAAACCAGGAATAAATTAGGACTAAACCAGGACTAAACAGGGACTAAACCAGGACTAAACCAGGACTAAACCAGGACTAAACCAGGACTAAAGACAGGACAAAACCAGGAGTAAATCAGGACTGAAAACAGACTAAACCAGGACTAAACCAGGAATAAATTAGGACTAAACCAGGACTAAACAGGGACTAAACCAGGAATAAACTAGGACTAAACCAGGAATAAAGCCAGGACTAAACCAGGACTAATTCCAGACTAAACCAGAACTAAACCAGGAGTAAATCAGGACTGAAAACAGACTAAACCAGGACTAAACAGGGACTTACCCAGGACTAAACAAGGAATACATCAGGACTAAACCAGGACTAAATCAGGAATAAATTAGGACTAAACAAGACTAAACAGAGACAAAACCAGGAGTAAACCAGGACTAAACCAGGACTAAAGCCAGAACTAAACCAGGAGTAAATCAGGACTGAAAACAGACTAAACCAGGACTAAACCAGGAATAAATTAGGACTAAACCAGGACTAAACCAGGACTAAATAGGGACTAAACCAGGAATAAACTAGGACTAAACCAGGAATAAACCAGGAATAAACTAGGACTAAACCAGGAATAAACCAGGACTAAACCAGGACTAAACAAGGATTATACCAGGACTAAACCAGGACTAAAGCCAGGACTAAACCAGGACTAATTCCAGACTAAACCAGAACTAAACCAGGAGTAAATCAGGACTGAAAACAGACTAAACCAGGACTAAACAAGGAATACATCAGGACTAAACCAGGACTAAAGCCAGACTAAACCAGGAATAAATTAGGACTAAACAAGACTAAACAGAGACAAAACCAGCAATAAACCAGGACTAAACCAGGACTAATTCCAGACTAAACCAGGAATAAATCAGGACTGAAAACAGACTAAACCAGGACTAAACCATTACTAAATTAGGACTAAACCAAGACTAAAGCCAGCCTAAACCAGGACTAAAGCCAATCTAAACCAGGACTAAAGCCAGACTAAACCTGGAATAAATCAGGACTGAAAACAGACTAAACCAGGACTAAACCATTACTAAATTAGGACTAAACCAAGACTAAAGTCAATCTAAACCAGGAATAAAGCAGGACTAAACCAATATTATAGAATGACAAAGAGCAAAAATATAACTGTACATTCAAAGTAAGTAGCAAAAATAACAAGAGACTAGTGTCAAAAGGCTTAATTACAGTATATAAATATATATATATATATATATATTTGAAGGTAAGTTTTTGTACAGTTGTAGGGAGTATTATACCATGAATGTAGTCCTGTATCTTTCACTGTTTAAGCTTTTGGATCCTGTTGGAGAAGTCCCTGTGTGGTCTGGTGCAGCTCGTGAGTTGTTGTACAGTTGTAGGGAGTATTATCTGTCCCTCTGTGGTCTGGTGCAGTGGGAGAGCAGGAGAAAGTGGGTGAGCAGTCTACATTGGGACCAAATCAGGACCAAACAAGGACAAGTGAACTCAGTCTTAAACTGCTGCGGAGCCCCCGGGTTCTGGAAGTAAATTTCCACATTCATTTTTCTGAAAATAATAATACTAATAGCCTATTAAAAGCTTGAAAGCTTGCTCAGGGCTGTGGTAACTGATGACCGCAATGCTTATAATTTTATTGCTGTTTCTGAAACCTTATAAACCTCGACGTTATTAAAAGATTTTGCAGAATTTTGATTTTTAGATGTGCTTTTTGGATTTAAAACAACCGCATTATAGATATTAGTGAAAATGTAGCGGATTAGCCTTTGCAATGTCTTTAAACTCTTAGATCTATGTTATAATGTTGAAATAACAAAATATTATAACATAGCCTAAAGCTCACAAGAGTCAGTTTTGTGTAATACATCTTAATATAAGAATTTTTGAAATATCTATAAGAAAAAATTACAATATAATATAAGAAATATAAATATAAATATAAGAAAATATATAAATAAATATAAATATAAGAAAAAAAGGAAAATTTACATCCAGAACCAGAGCGGATTTGGAAGTGCGTGGGACTTTTGAGTTCTCCAGAGACTGAAAGACCAAAATAATTACAACCAAATCAGTGCTGCCTGCATTTAATTTCTTGATATGCAATATTGTGTTTTTTGAATCCATGAATTCCATTTAAATCTGTGTACTACTATAGCCTTCCTGTTCTATCTATGTTTTTATTTTGAATTCAACAAAAATATCAATGCACACTTTATACTGTTGTCTCAAAAGCTCAATGCTATTTAATTTAGTCTATATTATTATTATTATGTATAAGCCTATCCTATTCTGTGTTTTTTCTGTATTATTTAATCTAATTCTCTGCTGTAACACCCTTGTATTGTAATACTATTTGCTGTTTTATTAAAATGTGCTCTAAATAAATCCGCTTGGTCCACTTTCAGAACTGAGCTTTATAACTTAAGCCCTACATTAGACCTGTAATAGTTCATATATCGACTTATTAGTTTAGACCTGGCCGTACCTGGAAGGCCAAATCTTTTCTTTGGTGGTACTGGTGTGAAAAGTTATTGCATTTTGAGCATTCATCTTTTGATCAGCTTCGGGCAAGCAGTTAGGCCTATTTTTTAATATAACTCTCCACCGTAAAATCCTTTTATTGTAAAGCTATTTTGAATGTCCTTCGGGATCAGAAAAATATTTATCTATATTATAATGTTGTTTTCTCATCACAAACATACCTGGTATGAGAGAATTTAAGTCATTTATCCTACATATTTCAGATTAACAATGACTCACAGGAGCTATAGTAGCACAATCATTTTCCCTTGGCATACCATTGGCATATTATCTAAATTGTGGCATGTTGCTGTCAAACTGGTGCCTGTAGGTCTTCATAGTCTCACTGCACTTGCTTTATAAACCTCCTCCTTTAGAAGCAGAGTAAATCACTCAAAGATGATACTGTGTTCACTCCTGAAATCACACTATGTTGACATTTCGGTGGTAAATTCTGCAGCACGTCTTTTAACCGGCACACGTCGTAGAGAACACATTACTTTATCAATCAATCAAACTTTATTTGTATAGCACTTTTCATACATTTGTAGCATTAAGTGATTCACATACAACTGAAAAATGACAATAATTAAAAACAACAGCAACCCCACCCCCACCCCATCCATATATATAACAATTTAAACAGAAACATAAAACATAAAGCTCTTAAAGGTTACAGTAAAAATTAAAATGGAGAGCTAAGATCAGATGGAGACTAAATAAAATAGTAATGATAATATAATTTAAAACAAATATAATTATAATAATTGTTATTTCATTTTAAAACAAGTACCAAACAACAGCTTTTAAAACAATTAAAAGCTAAATTGAAAAGATATGTTTTGAGTTTACTTTTAAAAATACAAACACTCGCAGCAGACCTCAGATCCTCAGGTCGACTGTTCCACAAACGGGGGCTGTAAAAGTTGAATGACACCTCACTATAATTTTTTGTTTGGACTCTTGGGACAGTTAAAAGATGAGACCTGAGGATCTGAGTGTCCGAGAGCGCTCATATGATAAAAGCAGATCAGATAAAATACGACTAAGACTATAAGAGCTTTATAAACTAATAAAAGAACTTTAAAATCTATCCTGAAGCTCACAGGAAGTCAGTGCAGAGACTTCAGCACTGGGGTGATATGCTCTCGCTTTCTGGTCCTCGTCAGCAGCCGTGCTTTTACTCTCATTGCACTGGCTACCCATTCATTTTCGAATTGATTTTAAAAATGTTATTGTTTGTTTTTAAAGCACTTCATGGACTGTCCCCAGCGTACATTTCAGATCTCATTATTGTTCCTAGACTCCTTAGCGTGCTCTGAGATCTGAGGGTCAGCTCCAACTTGACGTCCCGAAAACAAGGCTGAAAACCTGAGGTGACTCTGGGGTGACTGAGCCTTTCCTGTGGTTAATTGGCTCCAAACTTTGTAACGCTCTCCCCCCTCATATTAAGAGCGCCCCCTTCAGTCAATTCTTTTAAGTCTCGTTTAAAAACAGACTTTTACTCACTGGCCTTTAACAAGGTGTGAGAATTGTGTGGTCCTCTGACTGTCTTTTATTGATTTTATTTGCTGTTTTTCTATTTGCTAATTGTGATATTTGTTATGTTTTTAATTGACAATATTTTATTTTATTTAGTGTGTTAATTTATATTGTGCCGACTCTGTGCAGCAGACTTTGTGTTGTCAAAATGTCCTACAGAAATAAATCTGGATTGGAAATAAAGTTCTCCTGCTTAAGACATCGAGTTGGTCTCCAGCCTTTTACTTCCACCCTTTCTTGGACAAGCTAAAAACTAACACCTGGACTTGTGTTTTGTTTCATTACCACAGGTTTAACACACAAATCTAGACTCAAACAGAAAACACTTCCACTTTGTGATATAGTACAGGAAGTGCTCCACTGTGTTTTTAAACTCCATACACCTTCACTAGAATAATTTGGATGATTGCAACCCCTGTAATTTCTTATCTCTATTGAACTAAATATAAACGGTAGCAGTTAACTCGAAAACAACCACTACATGACATCACAAGGTGGAACATTTTGAGCTTTGGAGAGATAAACAAACTAATAATAAAGAATTACTCAAATACGTGACAATGAAACAAAACTAGAGTGACCAGATGTCTCTATTTACTTGGGACAGTCCCAGTTTTGAGCCCCGTGTCCCCTGTCCCTGCAGATTTATCCAAAACTAGTAATTTGTCCCAGTTTTATACAAGAAATGTTCCTGATGTCCCTATTTTTGACCAATCTGATCCCTGCCAATGGTAAAGAGAGGCATAAATTGTAATATGTTTAGGTAAAATACAAAAAAAATCTGCTTAAAAACAACTTAAACACAAAGAAAATGTGACTGTACTGGCTCACATGTTAGTCATGAATGGTCTCTGCATAAAAATTTGACTTAATTCCGCACTCGTTTCACAATCTTTATTTTATTGTCTTTATTTTATAAACAGTGTTGGGACAACAGGTTACTTTTAAAATACAGATTACAGATTACATACCCCAAAATGTAGTTTGTAATGTAATCCATTAAATTACTTAAAGTGAGTAATGTAATCTGAATACTTTGGATTACTTGATTTTCTGTAGAGTAACAAAGATGAGGAAATCTTCACATAAGATGTTTCGTCTGCTAAAAGAAAATAAAAAGTCTAGACTTTACTTAACCGTATTAAGAATATTATTGATAGAAGAGGAGGAGACACGGTCCGCGAGCATGGTTTAGTCTTGTTAAATCCTGTTTTATACCTGGTTTAGATCTAGTTCAGACATGGTTTAAATCTAGTTTAGACCTGGTTTAGTCCTGGTTTAGACCTGGTTTTAGACCTGGTTTAGTCCTGGTTTAGACCTGGTTTAGACTTGGTTAAGGTCTAGTTTAGACCTGGTTTTAGTCCTGGTTTAGACCTGGGTTCAGTCCTGGTTCAATCCTGATTTAGGCCTGGTCTAGTATCCAGCAATGAGTGGAATTACAAAAAAAAAAAAAAAAGGGATATAGCCCAAAATGTGAAAACAGGAAAATACAACCATGTAATCCATTCATTTCAACAAAGTAACTGTAATCTAATTACCACTCATTGAAACTGTAACTGTAACCGAATACAGTTACTCATAATTTGTACTCTGATTACGTAACTCTGGTACATGTAATCTGTTACTCCCCAACACTGATTATCAAGCACCAAAAACCAAAAAACGGGGATGTCCTAGTTTTATATTTTTAAATTCTGGTCACCCTCAACAAAACACAGGTCTAGATATGGTTTAGCTGATGTAACAGGATCAAAATCAATAACCCAGCTTTGACTTTGACCTGATTGCAATTTCGCGCATTCGCCTTTTGATCACTTCGGGCTGCCGTAGTCATTGCATAGGAAGAATGGCCGGCTGGATGTGGCTCCGGTGTTTGCTCGGGCCTCATCTGCAGCGAATTCACCGCTCTCCGGAACATTCCCGACCCGAAGGCAGACCGGGCAGGAGGGTACGCCTGTCTCCTCTCTTTTGCGTTCATTTGCGAAGAGCAGACCGCTAAAATATGCTCAGATTTTTCGCTTAAAGAGCAGCGGCGCGTCCGTAGCGGCCCCGGAAGTGACAATTGTTTTTCTTCTTTGACAGAAGGTTGACGCTGTTTTGAAAATCATTATAAATCCACATTTTTAAAGCGTAGTCACCCAATAGACTCTAATTGTTAAGAAAAACTATTTATTTATTGCCTGTAGTTCGCCTGCTAATGCTATCGTAAACATTGAGTGTAAATACGCGTTTTTAATTCATTCATAAACATTCCTGTCTGAAGGTGAATGAATCAATCTCATAAGAAATAAATCAAGTGGAACAAGTTGTACAATTTACTAAAACATGCATCATGTAATACATTTCAATTAAAGTTCATAATAAATAACAGAATTGCTTAAAATTAGCTCCAAACGCGATGCCTTAAACATTTACTGCATTAAATCGTTCGCGTTCTGAGTGTGAGCAAGGAATATGAGGCTTCTTTTGTTATTATTTGTTTATTTATTTCATTCATAAAGTATAAAAACAGTGCCACAACATCAAACATACAAGAATTGAATGAAAAGGAGCGGAAATCTTATGTTATCTGCCTCCCTTTTTTACGCTTTTCAAGACAAAACATCAACACTAATTTGTCGTTTCAAATCGGTACATTTCAGTTCAGGCACAATTATTAATCAACTGCAAACAGAAATCTTTACTTTTATGCACAACAATTTAGTTTTCTTTTTCATACAGACACGTTGCATTTGATTTTATGTGTTTTTTAAATGTCATCGCTGTACTTGATTCTTTTTTATATCTTTGTCAAGACTCTTACATAAGTTAACTCCTTTCACAGTAATGCTTTGCTCCATAACCTTGTTTCTGAATCTGTTTTTTTTTTTTTTTAAAGTTACTCATAGTTTTTTAAGTTTATTGGGCTTAAATAAATAGTAGAAAAGACATAATATAATAATAATTTATAGTAGGGGTGTAACGATGGTACGATATTTTCACGATATACATCTCACGGTATGATATTTATTGTGATATTTTGCGGAGGCTTAGAAACAAAACTGTGAATAGGCTACTTTTTCTTCTTAAAATGCCTTGAACAAGACTTAATCCAAAGAACTAAGACTTAAAAATGCTTAGAACTGTTATTTCGTCATGTAGTCTGCACTGAAATGGAGTAAAGGATCATGGTCTATGTAGTTCCCTCTGTCTTTTTTTTTAATCTATTGCTGCACCATAACTCTTAATTTAAGCAAAGAGACTTGTGATGGTCCATGATAGTATTGTGAGAACTTTGACGATACAATATCACGATATTTCAGTTATTGTTACATCCCTACTATACATATACATTTATATAGACTTCATCACAATAATATAATAACAAAGAGCAAAAACGTAAATGGTAAAATTAATTCTAAATAAGTAGCAAAAAAGAAAGCAAGAGACAGGTGTCAAATAAGACATAATTATATCAATGTAAATTTTACAAGTGAGAATAAAATAGAAAGTAAGTAATAAAAGTAATAAAAAAGAATTAAATAAAAATGACAGTGCAACAATGATATGATGATTGACAGGATATAGGGTTATCTGTTATGTAAGGGTGAATTGTTGTACAGTTGTAGGGAGTATTATCTGTTACATAAGGGTGAGTTGTTGTAGAATAGTAGGGAGTATTATTTGTTACATAAAGGTGAGTTGTTGTACATTTGTAGGGAGTATTATCTGTTATATAAAGGTAAGTTGTTGTACAATTGTAGGGATTATTATCTGTTACGTAAGGGTGAATTGTACAGTTGTAGGGAGTATTATCTGTTACATAAGGGTGAGTTGTTGTAGAATAGTTGGGAGTATTATTTGTTACATAAAGGTGAGTTGTTGTACAGTTGTAGGGAGTATTATCTGTTATATAAAGGTGAGTTGTTGTACAGTTGTAGGGAGTATTATCTGTTACATAAAGCTGATTTGTTCTACAGTTGTAGGGAGTATTATCTGTTACATAAAGGTGAGTTGTTGTACAGTTATTTTTGCTACTTATTTTGAATTTATTATGACCATTTATATTTTTTTCTTTATTATATTGTGATGTGTGAGCTACTGTGTCCAAATAATTTCCCTTGTTGATCAATAAAGTTTGTCAAAAGTCTAATCAGAATTGTGGCAAAAGGAGAAATTCAATTTGTCAACTGGACAAAAGTTTATCTGATCAAATATGTTTCGCAGCTCATCCAAGCTGCTTCTTCAGTTCTGGTCAGAATGCTTTTGTCCAGTTGACAAATTGGATTTCTCCTTTTGCCGTGGATTCTACCTGGACGACTGAGGGATTTTACACACAACTAATCTGAGTTGGTAAAACCGGATAAACAAAGACCTGAATTCTTGTGCAGTGTAGTCTTGTGTTACATTCTAAAATGAAATGTGTAGGAACATACCTGTATCATTGCTTTTTTATATCCTGTGCAAAGACATTTATTTCTAATGTTTAGCCAGTATGTTTTACACACTACTAAAAGTTTTCCATTTTCCATTGTGTCGTCACAGGGATGGAACTACCAACCTAGTGGACTGGAGAAACATGCAGATAGCATCCTCGGCTGGGTGAGTATTACCAAGGGCTGAGAACAAAACACTGAAAAAAAAAATATATATATTGATCACGCATTTAGACAAATATAATTCCAGTTATTCCAGAAAACAGGAGGACAATTTGTAATGACTTGACTTAAAAAAAAAAAAAAAAACTACATGAGGGGTGTCAAACTCACAATACACAGAGGGCCAAAATTAAAAACTGTGACTAAATCGTGGGCCAAACTAAGTATTTATTGAAAAATTTCAACAACATCTGCATGTTTTCTCTTCTTTCGAGATATGTAATGTTAAGCCTTTTCTTAGTAAAATAAATGTTTAATAATATTTTTGCTTAAACACTGAATCCAGAACAAGCATAATATAAAATAATAACTAAATTTTAAATAAATAATGTCTCTATATCCGATGTGTAGCCGCTGTGCCATCTCTAATACATACTTGATATGATCTCACGGGTCAAATACAATTATATTGCAGGCCAAATTTGGCCCCCGGGCCTGAGTTTGACATGTTTAAACTACATCGATTGTTCACATTGTAACAACATCACTGAATTCACTTACAAAATAAAAAATATGAACACTCTGGATTTGTATTGGAGTTTACAAGCTTAACATATTATGCAACATGAAGTGTCTTGCCCAAAGAAACAACAGAAATGATCAGAACCGTGATTTTACATCCATTTCCAGCTGAGCACAATAGTTTAAGTTGAAGTAGTTTCAAGAGCTCATTACCAGAGCAGGCACAATGATTTGCTCAGAGTTAGGACAGAATAATGAGAATATGTTGCTTTTATTTTTCTAAATATGAGCACTAATCTTAGGCTTTATCGCAGAGTCCAAACACATTTGCTATGTGATGTTTTTGTGCCTTTAGGCTTCTGCTCTGTGGTCTCTGTCATACTACAGTTCTCCTCTTCTGCTTTGCTATCTGTACCGCAAAGGTAAGACGGCTTTTGTTGAATAACTAATGCTGATAAATAATGAATGATCTTTGTCCGAACAGCTGCATGTAAAATAACCACAAAGTATATCATTCTTTTTACATGGTATATGTAAGAATTGTTTCAGACTGAGGGGTATCCAAGGGGGATTTTTATATTTGGTATAAATCTTACATGTAAATAAATAATGAATAGTTACTTCTGGTGCTGTCAAATGTGTCAAAAATCAGATACTTATTGTATACAAAAACTATTATTGAAAATATATAGAACAGGTATCTATATAAACTACTATATAGAGCAGGTATCGATACTGAAAAAGTCACATTCACAGGACAGAAATGAATCTTTCCTGAACAACATCTTAATGTTCTTAATCTTAATCTTAATGAAGTTGTATTAAAACATGAATAAAACTGCATAAACTAGTACATATCAATAGAGCACTGTGGAACAAACACGGTCAGCTGAGGGATTACACTGTAAGACGCCATTGTAATATAAAAGAAAGAACTATGGTGTAATGTTGAAAATCACATTATATTGTCTAAATAATGAGGGTTTTTGAGCTCACGACATGGTGTGTAGAGGCTCACGATTAGGGATGTAACAAACTGGTGTGTAACAATATCCGGTACGATATTTATTGAGATATTTTGTGGAGGCTAAACAGATAAAACTGTTAATATGCTATTTTTTCCTCTTAAAATGCCTTGACAAGACTTAATCCATATAACTAAGACTTAAAAATTTCTTTTTGTAGTCTACACTGAAATGGAGCAAAGGATCATGGTCTATGTAGTTCCCTCTGTCTTTTTTTTATCTATTGCTGCACCATAACTCTTAATTTCAGCAGAGACTCATAATTCGATATGTTGTGATGGTCCAGGATATTATTGTGAAAACTTTGACTATATGATATCACAATATTTTTGTTATTGTTACATCCCTAGTATCAAGTATCAAGTCTGTTCCTTCGTATCAAAACTGAGTGTGAAACTTTAGTATCATGACAACACTTGTTTTTTAGTATTTTTCACAGTTTTATTTAAATCAGTTTCTTCATTACTGGAGGTAGAAAGTTCAGCTGAAAAATATTTTTATCGCAGCTTTTGTAAAGTAAATGTTTTGGTAAACAGAACCAAAAGTTACATTAGACAACACAGTCTGTATCTCTCCAATATAAAAGTTTGCACAAAGTAAGAATAATGTTGCTGCTACAATGTTTGCACAGAGGAATTTTTCATTTTCAAAGAACATTGATCTGTTTTTTCATATATATAATTTCTATTTTGTCCAAAACAGATGATTTTATATATTCCGTTGCTTGCAGGCTGCGGATCACCCCAGAAGTTCGAAATTAATAAAAGTTAATCAAGTGCATCATCCAATAAAGGCTGCGTCAATAGAAAATAATTAGATGTGGTAATACGCTTGTCCTTAGTGTATAATCGAGCGTCTGATATTGATCTGTACACATGGTTGTAGGCCAGTATTGAGACTGTGGATCTTGGTATTGGCGCTGGGTAATGAGGCTCTGGCCTGATAGAAATGGAAGAGGAGAGGATATCAATGTCGCTGTTGTTTTTCTGTTTGTTTATGCCGTTTATTCTTACAGATTTCACACTTTGGGACCAGAGGCAATCCTTATTTTATTCATTTAGTTAATACAATGTTTGGATTCAAGTGTGTCTTATTTTTAAACTGTTCATTTGGATTGTTATAGAAACTTTAATATGTATGAAAAAGGTTTTATTCTTCACACCACATCCAAATTGGGACTAGACCCAGAACTACTTGTAGATCAGGATGGCACTCTCCTCTCCTCTCTTGAAAACTCGATACTCTTCTATTCTGCTGGCTGACACCGGTTTGTGTTTCAGGCTACATCTGCAGCAGTAAGTTGGTTCCCGTCAGTCAGTACGTGGGCACGGTGCTGGTGTGTCTGCTGGGAGTGGCCTGTGTCAGAGGTGAGGCCACATATTTCTAACATTTTTGCTTTGGAGTAAAGTTCCTGTGAAATCATAACATTATAAACTGCCTATATTTTAATACTAAGATGGAGGACAAGTCAGATTTCTATGGTAGATTTGCTATTTAACTTTCAAAATGCAGATGTTTTAACCTGGTTTGTTGTTAAATCTCTGTATTTACTGGACCTATTCATGTAAAATAAAAAAATATAAAATTTCAGTATTTTCTGTCAGCATAAATAAATTTATATTCAGGTAAAAACTAGTGGTGTTACTCAATGAATGTTGTCCAGTGAAAGGACTTACATGTGGACTATGTAAGTTTTCTGGTGGAGGGTTATGCCACTTGCTTTTTTCTATGGAAATATTTCTTTGCCTGAAATGTTCCACGGTGGCATTAATTTGTCGATCTACATAAAAAGAAGCAGGTGATGCTACCAGGTCAAGTTACAGGTCAGATCTGTGGAAAGGTGAATTTGCTCACAGTAAGATTGAAAGCTTTTTCGGTATTTAGAAAATAATTTACTTTTTTACTAGGGTTGGGCAGTATCAAAATTTTGAAACCGTTAAATCTTTTTAACCATATACCGCAGTATATGGTATTATCGTATTAACAAATGTTTTAGTACGACTTTGGTAAGCTATGAAGTCGCACTGCTATACCGTTTGTGCGTTTGACCTGCAGACTTATAATATCTGAAAAGTTTCACATGATTCATGTGTCGTGACCTTTAGTCCAACAGAATCTGACGCATCAGCGCAAAAGGAAAGAGCTGTTTTTATCAGCTTTATAATTCATGCAAATGCGCCTCGTGGATTTACGTTTTGTTTTTGTAAACAAATGTGTGCCTGAAGCCAAGTACTAGTATTTTTTTGGGACCAACTCGCATGCAGATGGACTTGCTGTCTTGCCTTGGTCTCCCCTATGAGCGTCACGTGTCAACGGAATAAAACTAATTAAACTTCATCTCCCCACACAGTTAAAAGAAACATTATAGACACTATTCATTTTAAATCGTGTTAGCATTAAATTGAAAATACAACCACACATTCATTTGTGCCGAGCAAACAAATTTAGGCATCAATAAATTATAGTATTATATTAGGTCCTTATGCACTGCAGATATTCTTAATGATGGTAATGAAACTGACACCGTTGCTACTTTTTGATACCGCAGGATACTGTAATACCCTATTACCGCCCCAACCCTAGTTTTTACTTTTTAAAGCAAGATAAATCAGTTTAATGCCATACTGTGGAACATCCTAAACACTGTAAATCAATAACATGAAGCAGGTAGCAGACTCTCTATCAGAAACTTTACATAGTGATAGAAGATTATCACAGCACATTTTTGGACTAAATCCCCAACAATATATGATAGAGTTGAGCGTTTGGGAATTTTCAGCCTGGCAAATCCTTAGATTAATAATGGATGAATCTCCTATTGAGTTGTACAGGCCCCTGCCCTCCATCTGAAATTATGACGTTATGAATCTAGAATGTCATGAACACAACCTATCCGTCTCTCCGTATCACAGCAGGCCGCATGTACACAGCTCAGACAGAAAGTCATTAACATTGAAATAGTTCCACAAGGTCCACAGCAAACACCGTGTGAATACTAAACGCACCCTTGAGGCTCTGAAACCAGCTCGATATTTCTCACTTTTATTTGTGCGAGTCGCTTTTATTTATCTGTTCTGTTGCATTTTTTGTTTTGTTTCTGACCCAAGGCTGGGAAAGATGGAGGAACTCTGAATATCTGCAGTTTATTTCTATTCTGGAGGAGACCAAAAGCAGCAACACAGCATCAAACAAAGTGAGTACGCTTGTTCGTCTGTCAAGTTCGTCAAGTAAATGTAAAGTGTTGTTTATTGAGTTGTCTTACTGAATTCTCTTCTAATAGAATTTGTTTATTTGCAGAAAAAATTACGGTGTTATGACTTTGACTTTGCGTGGCCCGCAGACTTCAGCTGGACGGAGGTTAACAATCCGTAAGTGTTGAACCATATTTTACAAACTGTATAACTAAGTGTTCCCCCCATGCTGAACCCCACCTGCTGGGTGAATCATTGGTGTTGTGGTTAGTGCTCCTGCATTCTTAACGTGGCTCTCACCAGATTTATATGCGTAGCACTCGGACTTGAGTTCTACACATTATTCTTGCTGAGACATTAAACTTTACTTACATCCATTTGAGAAAAAAGCACAGACATGTTTCCTATAGGCCTGTCACGATACATACATTTAAAGATATACTGTGATAATATTAAAATTACTGGTAACACTTTATTTTAGGGTACACTTATTAACATCGATAATTCGTATTTATTCAGCTTTTATTAATGTCTAATTCCCCATAAGCTTATTCTGCTCTTAGTTAGACATTTACAAACACTTTCCTATTAATACACTCCTTATTACTGCTTATTAGTCTGATACTAAGCAATTTTTGTCCATGAATTTTGATTCTAATAAGGTTTTGGTAATAAGCACGTTGTTAAGTATTAGTAGCACAAGAAATGTAGTTTTTACTTATTTGCACTTTACATACATTTTACATACAATTACATACATTTAGCATACTCTTATGTAATAAAACACTCTCTATCCAACTAGTCATGAATTAAGTAAGCTAAATTTACTAAATAAATACTAATGAATGACAATTGAACCATCTACAACTATGCTAATTAGCAGGTAGTTAGATGTTAATAAGTGCACCCTAAAATAAAGTGTTACCAAATGACTTTATGGCACTGACACACTGACAATAATGCAAGATAATCCCAGTAAACCATTTTCATTAAGAGGCCTGAGCTGCATGTTTGCTTTTATGGTTTCAAAACAAAAAATATATTGTTCCAGCTTTCATATACTGAACAATAAGTCGATATATTAATTACTGTGAGAGGCCTGCTTCCCTGTCCGTAAATGCACCAAGCGCTTACCTTGTACACATTTTTCACAAACAAAATAGTTTGTATTTTTGCTAAAATAGGTTGAAATTAAGGCTGTGCAGTTAATTGAATTTTGATCACGATTTCAATTTTGTGTGTCAAACGATCTCCAAACTCATATAATCGAGTTGAAATGCTTCATCAAGTTTATTTTGGGATATTTTTTTCATATAAATAAGTATATTTATTTTATTTTTTAAATATAGAGATTGTAGAACAGCTGGATTTATAGTTTATTTTGAATAAATTTATGTTTTTCTATGCCTTATTTCATGTTACAAGTGTATTTTATCCGTTTTATGTTTTATGTTATGTTTTCTAAGGTACATATTTGTAGTGTATATTTATTTTCACTTTGAAAGTTTTGCGTAAATTATCTATAGCAAAGTGCTTCCGCTCAATTTAATTTCTCTCCAGCGACTAGATCAGAAATTGAAATGCACTAAACGGTTTGCAAGAACCCCGGAAGTGCGAGTCTGAGCACCAGCCAATCACCGAAGAGCTGTGAAGCCATGATTGGGTCCCTTTTGTGGTACAGCACAACAGTAAACAAAGCGATTGAGATGGATGTAGACGAAGCCATACATTTTGTGTTGGCAACGATTCCAGAGATCGAGGATTTAAAGCCGGAACAAAAAGAATGTTTGGCGAATTATATCAAGGGGAAAGACGTTATTGTCCTTCTTCCTTATGTCACGACCAAATAGCAGCGATTGGTTAAATGAAAAAAAAAAATCCCACCTACCATCAAGAGAATGAACCCTAATGAATCAGACTAGTATTAATGCATTGTGTAACTAAAAATAATCATCTGAATAATCATAATTTCAATATTGACCAAAATAATCGTGATAATGATTTTTTCCATAATCGAGCAGCCCTAGTTGAAATACATTTCTCGGTCTTTGTTTTGGTTTACTTGGGCGCTTCTCTTTTGGCTTCCACACAAACCTCAGTGCTGCTCTGTGATTGGTCGCCAGCTGCCGGGCGAATTTGAACCTTACAGCGGTCGTCCCCCTCTCACACAACCTACACACACAACACGAACAACAAAGTGTTTTAATTTACTTAACACAATTTTATGGACTTGTAATATTTTATAGAGATGAAAGAATAGCTAAATTAATATTGGTAAAACGCCCATTTGTGGTATGGATTTTTGACTAAAGCACAGACATAAAACTGCTCTCTTTTTGCTATTCATAATAAACAGTACCTTTTAATTACTTGAATTGACTCTGCATTTGACCCATCCTTAAACCAAAGCTGCAGAGGCAAATCTGGTCAAGCGGCCCGTTACTTGGTCAGGACCATCTAGCTAAAGGATTATTTATTGTACCTGTTTGGATTTTGGACAAATATAATACAGTCTGTTCAGAGAATTGTTGCGTGCTCTATGTCTGCAGGTGTTCTAGTTTGATATAGTTCTCCAATAATATCATTACCTCCTGCCAAGACCCTGTCAAAACATTACAAATCTCACTCACGTATTGCCTTTGTTATTTAAATATCATACCTTATAACATAAATGCCACCTTCTCTTATTATCACGTTAACAGAAAACTCTCCAAAGCCGGCGTGTCTCTGCTGAAGCCCGAGCCCAGACTGAGAGGAGCGGCGGACGGTCTGCTCCACTCTGTGCGCACTCTGCCCTGTCACATCATCAGGTGAGTGTTACACTGTACGGGCCCATTAGAGTCACTCACGTACAATATACTCATTATGTCGGCAGCACTGACCTTTACTGCAGCTTCAATACACGGCAGAAACAGAATATCTACACGAATTAAAATTACATGAATTCAGAATGTCAAGTACTTCAGTCTAGTGCGGATTAAAGCTGCACTATGTTACTTTTCCTGGTTGAGGGCCGCTACCTGTTGGTGTCGTGAAGATGTTATTGCTTTGCCGAGAATGTTCTATTACTTACCTAACATTCACTTATCCAATTACACAAGGACGTAGGTTTGGTCTCGGCTTTGGTGGGGACATTATCAGCTAAACCCCTCCAATGAAAACAAAACAACTGATAGGTTACTTGTACACAGAGTCACACTATGCTGAATACTTCAACACTTTACTTTTTCCTTTTTTCAAGTTTTTCAGTTCGCAAAATGTACATGTGTCCATTGTCCTTCTGAGATGATTGTTTAACGGATGACAGCGATGTAGACGTTTGTAGCAGATTTCCGTTTGCTTGTTGGTGTTGAGATATTTGTGAGGGAATGTCCAGACATTTTCCCATGGAATATTGTCAGTAGAGTCGGGGCACGAGTAGGGCTCCGTTTGGGAGGTGCACTTGTGGTGATAGTCGCTCTTTTTCCGCTGCGACTCATTATAAGATAAGTTTAATTGAAGATGAAGCTGAGTAAGTTCCTTTTGAAAAGTTTTTCAAAGTTTGGTGTGTAGCGTCTTCACTCACACCTGCTCAAGCCGCCGTCTTCAGGTGCGGCCCTGTCCTGCCGCTTCCCCAGTTTAGGCTCCTGGCTCCACTAATGACATCACTCTGTGGCAGCCAATGAAACAACGGCAGGAGTAACTCTGTTGTCATATCACTGAATACACCTCAGAACGTCTAATAAACAAAATGTGAACTAATACATGTTAAATTAATACTGTTGAGTTTGGAAAAATGTTGGAATAAATTTATATTTTTGTTTATTAAAATAAAATATTTAGACTTCCCCAAATATTGGTTGTGACATGTCCTCACCGTCCCTATGCAAACCTACGCTCTTGCAATTACAGGTGTTTCTATCACTAAAAATACATAAAAAAAACATAAATTCTTACTCGCCTCTCACAGATATGACCTGAAACTTGGCCTGCAGGTGTCATTTACTTGCTGTAGATGTGTTTAATGCCATGCTGTGGAACATTCCATGCAAAACAATAACATATCCATGGAAACCAACCACCAGAAAAGTCAAACATGTTGGTTTAGATTGCTTTTTTCAAGGTATTTCAGCTTATTTTTTTCTTGTTTAAGCTGTATTATCTGAAGTGACAATATGATTTTTTAAAACTTATGTAGTGTGCCAAATTTGACTAAAATGTCCTCCTCCACAAACTCCATTTTACAGTTTTTTTTGTTTTTATTGTGTTTTTTTTTTCCTGAAATTAAATTATTGTGTAACTTTTCTGGTTTCCACCTGCTTCTGTTGATGGAGATGTTATTGCTTTGTCTGGAATCTTTCACAGAATTGTATTAAATCTTTCTATCTTCAAAGAGAGCAAATCAGACCAAGTTACTAGTCAGATCTGCGGAGTGGCAACCCCGCTCACAGTCAGAATGCCTGTTTTTGTAGGTATTTTTGAGCTATAAAACCACCTAGACATCACCTTGAAATCACCGAAAAATACTCTGAAAATGGTCTAAACATCAGAGCAGCGAACAGACTAAATTACAAAAGCCTATTAAAAAATAAAATCCATATTCTGAATGTAAGCCAAACAAGATTCATTCTGCAGTGTTCTCAGGCTATCCTTCATGTCATCGTGCTATTGTATATGCTTTGTGTTTCAGTTATTTAATCGCCCACTCATTTGGGAGGAGGATGCTGTACCCTGGATCTGTGGGGCTACTACAGAAAGCTGTGAGACCTATGCTCCAGCAAGGCCAGGCCAAGTTAATAGAAGAGGTACAAGGACAATTTTTCCATTCAAACACAACAACAATAGGTCACGTTCAGTTTGATGTCAGTAATTTACGACAGAGCAAGGACTTATCTATGGGTTTCTCAATGATTAAAAAAAAAAAAAAAAGGACTGTTGCCTAGGTGATTAACAATAGGCTCTAGTCACGCTTACGTCACAAACCAGGAAGACGTTTGGAAACATCCCGACTGATTGTGATAAAACCCACTGAAGTAAAATGTCAGTGGTAAAATGAAGACGGCATAGGTATGTTTTGTTCGGAATAATCTTGAATTTGGCGCCTCGTCTCTTGTAATCTCATGTACCCAGTGCGCTCGGAGTTGTGTGTCAGTGGTGAAATTATAAAAACTGAGGTGTGGTTGTAATTGTTGATCAGCCGAACATAACAGAACGCTACAGTGATATGGAGATGAAGAAAACAGGACCATTTTCTAATTTTTTATAGATTTTGTCAGACTTACCGTATTTTCCAGGCTATTAGGCGCTCTGGATTATAAGGCGCACTGTCATTAAATGGTCTATTTTCAAACTTTTTTCACAAATAAACCGCACCGGACTTTAACCGAAACACAAAAGTTAGATGAATCAGTCAAATTTTGTTTGTGGCGTTCACGGTGACTCTGGGCTTTGTTCAGTTGCGGCGTGTAGGGAGGGTGCTGTCTGGGACCACTGGATTGTCGGCGTGTTCGCAGTGACTCAGTTGTTCAGTTGTGTCTAGAAGCGGCACATTGCACTCGCTTTTTCGGTTCGTTCCTCCGTTCCGTTCCTCGTCGGCGTGGAGTGATGAGTGTGGCTGCAGGTGTGTTTCGCTGCGTGGTCGCTATCTGTTCACGTGTGCTGCGGCTTTGTAGTTTACTGAAGTCGTACTGGGACACCCGAGTGGATTCGTGTATGGGGCGCTCTGGATTGTGGGGCGTGCAGTTGTTTTTTGATTGGGTTGGAGGCTTAAGAGCACGCCCTATAGCCCGGAAAATACAGTAAAAAAAAAAGACAACTTCCAGTGTAGTTCCCGACTGACTGATCAAACCCACTGAAGTAAATGTGATCAGTGGCAAAATGAAGACTGCATACGTATGTTCTGTTCAGAATAATCTTGAATTTGGCCCCTCATCTCTTCTAATCGCATGTACCCAGTGCGCTCGGAGTTGTGTGTCAGTGGGGAAATTATGAAATCTGAGGTATGGTTGTAATTGTTGTTTAGCTGAACGTAACGGAACGCTACAATGACATGGAGATGAAGAAAACTGGGACATTTTCTCATTTATACTTATTTACTACCGTGAACAGAGCCCGCCGAAAGTTTTTTTTTTTATTTACATAATGAAATGTACATAACTCTCAATGGGAGATCACATTGCATTACATGTACAATTTAAAAAGTTTACAATACAATACAATAAAACTCAGAGCAAGGCCAGTCTATATAAGCCATTACATTCAGTGCACACATTGCCATTGCGCAGTTTTAAGACTCAGAACATAAATATTTGGAGACATCAACAGAAAGTATTTGTATGTCCTTGTCAGAGTCCTTTAGGAGCGACATAGAAGCAAAAATGACTGTACTTTAGATTTAAACAACAAAAGAGACAGATTTTCCATTTACTTTTATGTATGTGGTATTTACCCATAATTATAATCACACTGCAAATTCTCAATATATTGTTTGGACATTTGTTTATACCATAGAGTATTTGCTCCAAGAGTCTGCTGGAAGTTGTCATCGCGTGTTTCCAAATGTCTTACTGGTTTGTGACGTAAGCGTGAACAGAGCCTATTGAAAACAAAATATTACATCTTTTGAATGGGTCCTTAAAATCTTGCACATAACAGGGAGCTGAATAAAACTCTCAGGGTTCTCTGAAAAATGCTTAAAAATGTTTAACTTCGTAATACTTTTTGCACACTGAAATTCACCCATTATGAGACAGATGAAGGCTTTCTTATGTTATTTTATTTGATCTTGCATTAGCTCTACAAATTTGGCTTATTTTTTGTCAGTTGGAGACGTGTGGAGACACTTTTTTAAATATTCCGTCCTGTCCTTGTATTTGCAGAGGTCACTGGTGCTAGACTAGTGCATGTCAATGTCTTACCCACTCCACAAAACACCCAAAGCAAATCTGTTATTACATCAGACTGTCGATGTAAATGTTTGTGTCGATAGAATAATGTTTGAAATAAAACTAACCTTGCATCGCATGAATCGTCGCATGTTGAGGGACTATTTTCTCAGCAGCAGTGGAATTTTACTTTGCCGGTAAGATAGGTGCTAGGTGATATCACTCCGCTGTTGCCGAGCTTTCTGTCAGGAAGTACAACTCAATGCTGCTGCTGCTCAGACATAAATCCTTCAAATGCAGGATTGGTTTTACTTCTGAAATTATTCTATCGACACAGACCTTCACATCGACAGTCTGGCGTAATAAAAGATTTGCCTCGGGTGCTTTGTGGAGTGGATAAGACTGTTTTTTGACTGGTTGGAATATTTAAAAAAGCGTCTCCACACGTCTCCAACACTCTGGCTCACTAGGAAATGAGGTCGTATGTCCAAAATTCCAGGACTTTCAGCTGACAAAAAAATAAGACAAATTTGTATAGCTAATGCAAGATAAAATAAAATTGCATAAGAAAGCCTTTGTCTGTCTCATAATGGGTGAATTTAAGTGTGTGTGTCAACATTTTTTGGCATTCGGGTGTTTTGTGAAGTGGATAAGATTGTTTTTAGTGGCAGGATAACTATGGCCATTGACATGCACTAGCCTAGCACCAGCGACCTCTGCAAATACAAGTACTGGATGGAATATTTACAAAACTGTCTTCACACGTCTCCAACACTCTGGCTCACTAGGGAATGAGGTCCTATGTCCAAAATTCCTGACTCTCCATTTAAATCTGTAGGTTTAAAGGCGCTGTACCTGATGTTTACTCTTTTTAAAAACATGAAAAACAGAACTAGTTAATTATACACTTTCCTGTGGTCTATTTATTCCTCATTTACTTTATGCATTCTCCGTGATGAGATTATAAGTGCTTTTCACAGCTTTCAGAGACCGGAGCGGCGTTTTGCAGCTATGTTAAAAATAACTAGCATGCTAACCACGCACTTGATTCAGATTTCAGAATGATAAAAAGTGAGGACCTTTCTGTAGCAATTGTATTCTTTGTGCAGCGTCCTTGAGTGTCTAGAAACGCGCCATATAAATAAAATGTTAATGATTATCATAGCGATTAACAATTTCAAACCAAATGAATGGAGAAAAGTCCTCAAAATGTTAAATATAACGAGGAAACTGAAACCCAATGACCTCCATGTGAAATAATTATATTCAGCTTTAGAAGGTTGTCATGAACACCTATTGAATTTCAAGCTGCTATTGAATTCCAGCCATGCCTTTGTTTGTATTTTCACAGTACGATGGGCAGAGGAGCAAGCTGATTGCCTGTGACGGTAATGAAATAGACACCATGTTTGTGGATCGGAGGAGGGACGGAGCCGAGGAGAATGGACAGACTCTGGTACTTGTCTCCTGTGATTTGCAGTTTCTCGTGATAGGGCTTTATTTGTAGTCCGCCCGTACCAGACACTTCACTCAGAGTTTTGTCTTAAACTTCCACAGGTCATCTGCTGTGAGGGGAACGCAGGGTTTTATGAAGTTGGATGCATGAGCACGCCACTCGAAAGTAAGACGTCATGTTTTTGAGAACAGAACCAAGATTTTCTCTCTTGTTAAAATGACTTTTTTCATTTAAATTGTTGTTTTGAATAGTTTTGATTGTATTCATTTTGTTGGTGCGTCTACAGTTTTTGGACTTGAATATTTCTCTTGTTTCAAATGCCAGGTATTATAATCATTTGACTTCTATAATTAACAAAAAAAAAAACGATATAGAAACCAGTCAGGAAAGCCATGGAAATGAGTGTAATAAATGATGAAAGTGTCTAAATAAAGTCTATACAGAGTAAATATAAACTACTTCAAATTACACAAAGCTAAAATTTGAATTTCAATTATTGTTTTATTATTTAGTTTATTCCATTTTGCATTGTACAAACACTACCGGTCAAAAGTTTTAGAACACTCAAATTTTTCTGGTTATTTATTGCAATTCAAGTCGTGCAAGTCCAGCGAAGAGCTTGAAATGGTACTAAGGTAAGAACTGAACAGACAGAGGTTTTTAAAAAAAAAAGATAAAAGATACAAAACATAAGTCCAAGCTCTGCCAAAACCTCAAGAAAAAAGAACAAGATGGTAAGGCTTGAAAACAGACTTAAACCCCATCGAGCTGGTTTGGGATGAACTGGACAGAAGAGTGAAAACCAAGAAACCTACAAGTGTCACACATTTATGGGAACTTCTGCAAAAGACTTGGGAAGAACTTTCTGAAGAATATTTGATTTCTATTGTAAAAAGAATGAGCCACGAGTTTGTTCAGCTGTTATATCTGCCAAAGGTGGACATTTTCATGAATCAAAAATTTAAAATACGTTTTTATCAACAGTAAACATTAAAAAACTGGAAAAAGTGTGGTGCTCTAAAACTTTTGACCGGTAGTGTATATTGTTGTTCTGTCTGCCATTCTGACTCTTGATCTTGTTGAAAACAGGCGGCTACTCCGTACTGGGCTGGAATCACCCAGGTTTTGGAGGAAGCACAGTGAGTTTGCACATTTCTTACATTTTATATTTTTATGCCAGTGCTGTGCTATTTATGAGTTGTTTTTTTTGTGTATTTTGTTTTCCAGGGAGTTCCTTTCCCGCAGAATGAAGCCAACGCCATGGATGTAGTGGTCCAGTTTGCGATACACAAGCTGGGATTCAAGGTGGAGGACATTATCATATATGCGTGGTCTATTGGAGGATTCACAGGTGAGGGAACAGACAGTATCCGTGAGTTTTAGAGTGATGACAAATTCAGTGGTGTAGTGGGGATTTTTTTTAACTAGGGGTACGCGATTTGTGACGAATCTCGCCCACCTACCACCTGGCTACTTCACTTTCAGTATAAACATAAAGGCGCCAGCCAAGTAAAAGTCAGTAATATTTGAGTTTTTTTTGCTCAAAATGATGCAGAATCGTGTTATTAATGTTAACGCCCTTCATAATCACCTACAGAACATAAAAAAAGTCTACAACGCATGTGCCCAGGGCTGAACCAGAACTGGACCAGGAGTACTAAACCAGGTCTAAACCAGGACTAAACCAGGACTAAACCAGGAGGAATAAACCAGGACTGAACCAGGACTAAACCAGGACTGAACCAGGACTGGACCAGTAGTACTAAACCAGGACTACTAAACCAGGACTAAACCGGGAGGACTAAACCGGGAGGACTAAACCGGGAGGACTAAACCGGGAGGACTAAACCGGGAGTGAACTGGGGCTAAACCAGGACTAAACCAGGACTAATCTTGGACTTGAGAGCGAGAGAGCCCATGGAGCAGGGTACCTGCAATGTGGAATCGGGCAAAGGCTGCGCTTAGCCCCGTGGGCACAGAGCTCTACGGTCTACGCGGGTGCACTTCTAGGCCCGTTACTCAGTCTGGGTTCAGTTCTGGTTTAGTCCTGGTTTAGTTCTGGATCAGTCATGTCTCAGGTCACTGTAGGACAGTACTGCAGATATCATGAGCCTATGCAGGTTGTTTTTACCATTGCCAATAACTCCAGTTTGACATGCAAGTTGTAGCTATTTTATATTTGTTTTTAGTTTTTTTTCACGTCGGGAGAAGTGGGTGGGCGGCGTGACCCTGTGTACTACGTCCACTACACCCCTGAACAAATTAACAATGTTTCTGTAGCAATTAACAATTCAAAATATAGTACTATAGCTTTTTAAATGGTGAAATGTCCACAAAATGTCACCAATCGTATGAATAATTAAAACATACATAATAAAACTAGTGACAGTGGGTGGACACTATGGCAGTAATGCGTTTGTGTTACGACCCTATGATAATGACATGTTGTATTCAGTGCTTTTCACACAGCCAGTCCACTTAGCCATCTGCTGGCTCAAATATGTATTAGTATTTTCATATTGAACATCAGAAAAACAAAATAACCAACACAAAAGCAGTGAGGCGTAACGTTAACGAAATGAACATAGAAGCACATTTAAACATTTAGACAATAGCGGAGATGATCCAAACAAAAACTGCCCCACTGCTGCTTTGGAAAATGAACCCTACACCGCAAGTGCTTGAATCGACCGTCCCTCACTGACATGTTTTCTTCCTGATCAGGAAAACCGAGCAGGTCTGTAGTCGACTAAAGAAACTCAACAAAAGACGTGTCCTGCCGATTGATTAGTCCACAAAAAATGGGGCGTGGCTAAAGCACTCAAAACTATAACATATCTCTTTGTATCTTTGTATATTCTCCTGGGACCTGAAGAAAAAGAGTGTATTGTAATATATATTTTGGGGGATTTTCTATTTATTTGGAGGTAAATGAACATCTTAGCATTTAGATTTTGTTAATTTTATTTTTGTTTATAATTTATCACATGTCCTCTGTAATGGACACCCGGGACATTTTGGTGTTAAATCCACGTGAAGTTAACAACCTCACAAAAACAACTTTTTTGATGACCAACATCTCTGACAAGCTTCTACAGTCGTCTCAAAAAGTTTTTAGACTCCCTTTTAATTTTTTTTTTTTTAGGAACCCAGTCCCCCCATTAAGAGCCTATCTCAAAACACTTAACAAATAGACTGGTTAACTCTATGTCCACTATAAAGGACACAAATGAATGGGCCGGGTCTCAGGAGGATAAGACTACTGCCTGGGAGTTCATAAAAGAAAAAAAAATATATAGGAAAAGTACTTAAAAACAACACATTCATATAAAGACTAAGGATGTAAGAATAACCAAAATATTGTGATATCGTATCGTCAGAACTCTCACAATAATATCATGGTCCATCACAATATAAAATGCAAAGTTTTTCACTTAAAAGTATTAAAAAAGAGGGAACTGCATAGAACTTTACATACTTTACTACATAATAAAATAACTGTCATTAAGCACTTTAAATGTTATTTCTTTGGAGTATGGCAGTAATGATTCACACTGAAGACTGAAGGTCATGGTATTTAAAAAGGAAAAAATAGCGCATGTACAATTCTGTTAAACCCTCCAAAAAAACGCAATAACACCACTAATAAAGAATAAATTGTGATTAAACAAGTTTTAATCTACCTTTTTTGTATTAAATAAATCCTTATAATCGAAATGAAATAATTAGTTGACTACGGTAACATACATTTTGATCGACTAAGACACCATCGACCAATTAATTGACTAAATGACCAAAGGACTAGAGCACTAGACCCTAAATGGCCCTAGACCACTATACACATACAGTATAACTAAAATAACATATGCTGACAGAGATCAAATTGAGTTTAACGTTTACATTTAGCCCACCCCCTGGTAAAAGTATGTAAATTCCTTCATTAATCCGAGTTTCCTGTTGCAGCCACTTGGGCGGCCATGTCCTACCCAGAGATCCAGTCTTTGGTTCTGGACGCTTCGTTTGACGACCTGCTGCCTCTCGCTCTGAAGGTCATGCCCGACAGCTGGAGTGAGTGCTGGAAATGTACCGAGAAAACACCAATCTGAGTACATTTTGACTAGAGTTTTGGAGTTTTTCATCATTCACAGACCAATTAAATCAATGACTCATAATTTCTTAAAACTGTAATTAAAGCTACAGTATGTAATTTTTCAGCCAGTAAATAGACTAAAATAAAAGCATAGTTTGAGCGCCTGGGAAAGTGCTACATAAAACAAATGCATTATTGTTAATATCATAGTAGTGGAGTTTATGAGTAAAAACAGCTTTTTGGGACAAAATCACAGCACCACACGCTGTCTGCATCCAATAATGAAATAGTATAAAGTTGTTTTTATTTCGATTTGGATGCTTTTATTACTCTAAAAACATAGAAAAACATGTGTCCTACTGTGAGCAAGCTTTCATTTCCACAAACATGACTCTTATTTGGCCTGGAGGACGGTCTCTTCCTCTTGCCGTTTGTTGAAAATGTTGTTCCTTTGGCTATTACCTTTCACAGAATGGCATGGAGAATGTTCCGAAGTATGGCTTTAACTTTACATTTTCATAGAATCATACAGATGACATGCCACCTCCAGAAAAGTTATTTTTGTGTTCGTTTTTGAGTCCATTTTTGAGTGTTGTCTTGTCAAAATGTACTCATATCAAGATAAATACACTACTGTTAGCTATTTTAACTTGACTCAATCAGATAAAAATGTTATTTCTTGAATGTTTTTATGAAAATGTTTCTTCTCCTTTCCTTTCAGGGCCTCTAGTGCAGTACACAGTGAGGACGTACATGAATCTGAACAATGCAGAGCAGCTCCTCAAGTGGGTCTCATGTTTTATGCAAGAAAGAATTACAATTATCTTTTATATTTTATTCATTTGTAGCTTGTGTGTTTGTCTGCAGATACCAAGGACCAGTTTTATTTATTCGGAGGACGAGAGACGAGATCATCACAACAACGTAAGTCACACATAAGGATAAATATTTTTACTTTTCACTCAATGTAAAATGCATCAACCTGACACACTGTATTTGCCGCAACTGTTGCTGTTTATCTTAACAAATATGGATTCAATGCACATTTCAAACACCCAAAATTGATTACACTTCGCTGCTACACTAATAAACTACACTTTTTCCCATTGTGGACAGTGTTTGCAGAGAAAATGCTATGACTGAAATAACTGGGGCCTTTACAATTGAGTTACAATAGTGATTTAGATTCAGTTGAAGCTGCATTAGTAACCCATATAGACAGACCTTTGCAACATTGCATACATAATCAATGCAAATTATTCACACAATCAACACATCTACTCGTGGGACAGAGAATGGAGAAGCTGTTATTTTATTCTCAAATTAAAGCTGCTGTTCTTAGAAGCCTGATTCATCAGCCGGTTTCACTTTGTAGAAACTCGTAGCGTTAGGATTCGATTGCTCAATGGTAGGCAGGTACTTTTTTAATTTAACCAATCTCTGCTATTTGGTTGTGACGTATGTAATGCACCGCCAACAGGGTTAAATGGTATATTAAGCTTTTCCCAAATCCCGTGGGAAGAAGGGCAATAACATCTTTCTCCTTGATAAAATTCACCAAACATTCTCTTTGTTTCGGCTTTAAATCTTTGATCTTGGGAATCGTTGCCAACACAGAATGTATGGCTCTTCGCTGATTGCCTGGTGCCCGAACTTGCACTTCCAGAGTTTTTGCAAACCGTCTAGTGCAGGGATCTCCAACCAGTAGCTCTCCACCTCCTCGTAGTAGCTCGCCAAAGGATCTCCAAATTATACATACTGCGCTGAATAACTCAAATTTGCTTGATTAAATGCCTATTTCCATTGTAAATGTGTCATTTTGATGTCTAATCTTGTGCACTGATTACTGGATAATGGGCTATGTTTTATAGACATCTACGACTTGTCCATGGCCCTTATATTTACTAAATGTCTAGTGGCCACTAAAATTAGTAGCTCTAGCATTTTCATTTACAAAAAGTAGCTCACAGGAGGAAAAAGGTTGGAGACCCCGGTGAAGTGTATTCTGATTCCTGACCTAGTCGCTGGAGAGAAATGCAATTGAGGGGAGGCACTAGGTGGCGCCAGCCTGGCTTGTACCTTAGAGTGTAAGGATTAAATGGGACAACAGCAGATAGGAGAATGTATGTTTGGTATGCTGCTAGTTACATTTTTACGTGTAACTACACTGTTTTCCAGCAATTTTCCTATAAAAATGGTTGATTTTGCATTAATTCTCGTGCAGTCTTGTGGGTGCAGTTTGGGTCAGATATGTGGTTAGATCATAATATTTTTCTGTTTCATATGTTCTATTAATTATTGCACATTCCCTAAGCCTATGTGCAGTTTTAGTTATAATTATTGCACATTCCCTAAGCCTATGTGCAGTTTTGATTGCACATTCCCTAAGCCTATGTGCAGTTTTAGTTATAATTATTGCACATTCCCTAAGCCTATGTGCAGTTTTGATTGCACATTCCCTAAGCCTATGTGCAGTTTTAGTTATAATTATTGCACATTCCCTTAGCCTATGTGCAGATTTAATTATTGCACATTCCTTAAGCCTATGTGTAGCTTTAATGGCACATTCCCTACACCTATGTGCAGTTTTGATTGCACAATCCCTAAGCCTTTTATAATTTTTTTTTAACTGCATTATCTGAGTTTAGCAGTTTAACAGCTAGTGGCACAAAAGAATGTTTGAATCTGTTCAGTTTACAGTTTGGGACCCTGTACCTTCTGCCTGATGGCATCAACTCAAACTGACTGTGAAGAACATGGGTTGGGTCATTGATCACCTTCCTGCTGAGCTTCCTAACAATCTCCTCAAAAATTTGGTGAAGTGAGCTTGGGGCCACACCCATTATTTTACCTGCTATTTTAGTCAAGGTAAAAATCTGTGCTTTACGTTTGACTGAGAGGTTACCAAACCATGTTGACATGCCATAGCGTAAGATAGATTCTATGCATTCTATGCATTACATTGGTGTCAACTCCATGTAACCTAAGCCGTCTTAAAAAATAGAGACGCTGGCTGATTCTTGAGCAGACAGACTGTACCTGCTGGCTCCATTGGAGCTGAGAATCAAATAACACACCCAAGTACTTATAACATGTCACCTGCTCTATGTCCCTCCCCCTAGTATTAGTACTCCACATACAGTCCTCTTGTTAAAGGTCTTATATTATACAAAACTGACTCTTGTGAGCTTTTTTAGTTATGTTACAATGTTGTTCTCTCATCAAAAACACACCTGTGGTTTTGCTTTGTTTCATTCGCACATGTTTAAGAAACCTTTTATTATTAGTCTGTCTACATTTCCAAGGCTTAAAATGCTCTGTTTGTGATGTCATGTTGTGGTAATTTTTTTAAGTTAACAGCTCATTTTACTTTTGTTCAGTGGGGCTCTTAAATATGCAGGGTTTGTCTGTCTGTGTGACTGAAACAAAACACAAGTCCATATCAAAATATTTTTTAATGAGAGAACAGTATAACTTAGATCATGCATATACAATAAATAGGGTGAGTACTTCTCTCAAACAGAAAATACCCTGTTCCAACTTGTGATGTCATGTGGCAAGACAGGAGGTACTCCCAGAGTCATGGAAATCTTGGAAAAGTCATGGAAATTTGAAAATGGCATTTTACAGGCCTGGCAAAGTCATGGAATTTTAGTATCTCTTTCACATAACTACCGTATTTTCTGGGCTCCAACCACAACAACAAAACCACAACAACAAAAAACAAAAAAAACAAAAAAAAAAACAACAACAAAAAAACAACAAAACCACAACAACAAAAAACGACTGCGCGCCACAAATCACACGATTATACACGAATCCACTCAGGTGTCCCAGCACGACTTCAGTAAACTACAAAGCCGCACCACATGCAAACACGCATGGAGCAGACAGTGACCGCGCAGCGAAAAACACCCACAGCCACACTCATCATTCCACACGAACGAGGAACGGAACAGAGGAACGAACCGAAAAAGCGAGTGCAATGTGCCACTTCTAGACACAACTGAACAACTGAGTCACTGCGAACATTCCGACAATCCAGCGGTCCCAGACAGCACCCTCCCTACACGCCACAACTGAACAAAGCCCAGAGTCACCGTGAACGTGACAAACAAAGTCCAACTGACCCGTCGAACTGTTGTGTTTCATTTAAAGTCCGGTGCGGTTTATTCGTGAGAAAAGTTTGAAAATAGACCGTTCAATGACAGTGCACTTTAAAATCCAGAGCACCTAATAGTACGGAAAATACAGTACAGCGTTCTGTTAAGTTCTCATTAGGCTATTATGATTATTTCCAAATGTCTGTGCCTTTTGTTTAAAAGAGACAACAATAAATGCACTGACGGTATTTTGAATGTTAAAAAAAACCACACCGTAAGGTGAGTGGAAATAGTTTACATTTCAGATTTAGCCCAAAAAGAATGTATCAATTCTACACTAGTCATGGAAAATTCACTTTAGGTCTTGAAAAAGTCTTGGAAAAGTTTTAAAATTTCGTCAGTGAAAAAGAGTGGGAACCCTGTACTCCACTGTGTTTTTAAATCCCATACACCTTCACTAGAATTATTCATAAAAGGTAAAAGGAAGCTGAAACAGAAACAAAACACAACTCCAGGTATGATTTTGAGGAGGTATTCTAATATGGTTTAAAGCTCGCAGGTTTTCGTATAATTTTGTCTAATATTGGACCTTTAAGCTTTGGATAAGTATATTTTATATTTTGCCAACTCACCTCATTTTGGAGGTGAACACAAATATTTGTATTCACTGCAGCAACTCGTGAAAATGTCACACCTGCAGCATCAGCGCCTCCAAAGTTCACAAAACACAACAGGCTCTAATTAATGGTTGTCATGGCGATTATTTCTCTCCTTTTCAGTTCATTGTATTTCCAAAAGGCATTGTTAGGAAGGCAGAAGTTAGGAAAGCAGGTTTTAATATTTAATTTTGCTTGCTATACCAGGTAATGTTAATTTGTAAACTAAATTCTAACATAAATTACAGTTGAGTTGAGAAAATAATCAATTGCCAGAATAGAGTGCTGTTCAGTACACAGAATACTAATTGGTACTGCAATTACTTCATTATAGCAGACTGTATTGATCTGGTCATATTGAAAATATATAAAATAAAACAAATTTTAACCTTTACTGAATAGTCTTGTATTTTATTTTAATCAAAAAGTGCAGGTAAGGTAAATAAATATAAATTGTACCATACATTTGAGTTGTTAAAAGAATCAATACCAAGATTTTAATTGGGCCAAAACTCTTGTACCTCAGTGTACTCTGGGATTATTATTTGACAAAGAAAATAAAATTATAAGAAAAGACACTTGTATTGCTGGAACAATGTCTAAAATATTGGTGGAAAATAAAGTTTGGTCCATCAAAATTGTGTGCCGTCATCAATATGAAACTTTCTAAAATATAACTCTGTACTTCTTGTAATTTCTACCATATTTTTCAACTTTTTTACGACAATTGCTTCTTGGTTGGTGTAAAACTATCATTTATATTTACAACAGGTATTATCCCACCAAATTAAGTAGAAATAAGGGAATTATTAGAGTCCACGTGATAAAATGAATACAATTTTTTTGTGCTGAAAATTGCTTCAGGTCTATATTTTGTACAATTATAATAACAATATAGAGATGGTAAAGGAGACAGCAGTTTACTATAATAATTATTAATAAACCAAACAATAGTATTAAGCTTTTTCCTCAGTTGAAATCAAGTTTTACATTATTACTATGGCAACACTAATAATATTCAATTTTTTTTTTATGTTACAGGGGTCCAGAAGACATCATGTCCAACAGAGGCAATGACCTGCTGCTCAAACTCTTGCAGTACAGGTTCGTTTTTACAGAATATAGATTAAAAAACTATATGAATTATGTTTATATTTACTTTCATTGTTTCTTTTCATGTCCAGGTATCCTAAAATAATGACAGACGAAAGCATCAGAGTTGTACGGCAGTGGCTCGGCGCGTACAATTACTTAGAAGAAAGTAAGTGAAATTTAAATTGTTGGTCTCTCTGGATATAATAGAGCTGAATAGAGCTTGTTTATGGAAAAAAGAAGCAATTATTTTGGGTTGTAATTGAAAATGTTTTTTATTTTTATAACAATTATTAAAAAGTAAAAAGTTAGATGTAGACATTACAAAGGCCCTTATCATTCAGAACAGAATTTAATTATAGAAATGGGTCAATCAAGAAAAATGTAACTACCGGTCAAAAGTTTGAGAACACCACACTTTTTTTAGTTTTTTAGTTTTTTTACTGTTGACCAAAACGTATTCTAAACTTTTGATTCCTAAAAGTGTCCACCTTCAGCTGAACACGCTCGTGGCTCGTTCTTTTTACAATAGAAATCAAATATTATTCATAAAGTTCTTCCCAAGTCTGTTGCAGAAGTTCCCATAAATGTGTGGCACTTGTGAGTTGCTTGTAGGGATGTATCGATATCCAAGTCTCATGATACGATATCGTCACGGTATGAACCTAAAGGTACGATATTTATTGCAATATCGTGGAAAAGCTCACGATATGGTGGGGAGGCTCACGATTAGGGATGTAACAAAATCCAAATCTTTCAGTAGAATATTTTCACGATATACATCTCACGGTATTATATTTATTACGATATTTTGTGGAGACTAAACAGCTAAAACTGTTAACATGCGACTTTTTCTTCTTAAAATGCCTTGATAAGACTTAATTCAAAGAACTAAGACTTAAAAGTGCTTACAACTGTTGTTTCTTCATGCAGTCTGCACTGAAATGGAGCAAAGGATCATGGTCTTTGCAAAGAGACTTGTAATTCAATATATTGTGATGGTTCACGATATTATTGTGAGAACTTTGACGATATTTCCGTTATTGTTATATCCCTAGTTGCTTGGTTTTCACTCTTCTGCCCATGTTCATCCCAAAGCAGCTCAATGGGGTTTAAGTCTGGAGACTGTGCTGGACACTCCATGTTTTCAAGCTTATTCTTTTTGTTCTTTTTTCCTGAGGTAGTTTTGGCAGAGCTTGGGCTTATTTATTTATTTATTTACTTACACTTCTGGCTGTTCAGTTCTTGCCTTTGTACCATTTCAAGCTCTTCGTTGGACTTGCACGACTTGAATTGCAATAGATAACTGGAAAAATGAGGATGTTCTAAAACTTTTGACCAGTAGCGTACATAAAGAAATAAATAAAGGCCCTGTACCAAAACTTTTCCATGTATTTGAGCAAAATATCTTGCCCCAGTATGTCAAGTTTTTATAGTCCAATAACAAAGGGCACATTCAGATGCTTGTTGTTAGTTTTACTGTTGCTAACAAAACTCCACTCTTGTCTGTGAAAGTTGTGAAAAGTGCTTATAAACTCATTGTAGTGAATAATTAGTCAGTGAGGAGTAACTCTGGATCACCTCACAGTTTAAAAATGAACTAATTCTGTTCGTCTTGTTTTTAAGACTAGATTAAATTGACTCTTGTGAGTTTTAAGCCATGTTAAAGTGTTGCTATCTCCTCAAAAACAAACCCGGAGTTTAATTGATTAGTCGATTTAAGTGATTAATCCTGCATTATAGGCTGTCTGTATCTCCAAAGCTCACAATGCTCTGAAATAGATGTAGTTAGAGCGTCCGCTGGATCACCGCTGAAGTGAAATAATGATTATCAGGTGCTCTTTGGAGATCCCAAGTGGGCAAATAACTTACCGGATGAAAAAGGAGATCTGAGGTACTCCGATACTTTGCTAGTATTTTATTTCATGTCAAAACCCAAAGCCTCAAAATGTCCTGTTCCACCTTGTGATGTCATGAAGCAATAGTTTTCAGCTGTTACCTTTTACCTTTTGTTTGGGCAGTATATCCAAATGATTCTAGTGATGGTGTATCATATTAGCCTGATTCATCAGCTGGTTTCACTTCTTGGAAACTGTCTGACCTCACAGCATTAAGATTTGTTCGCTCGACGGAAGATGGATACTTTTTGTTATTTAACCAGTCACGTTTATTTGGTCGTGATGTATGTAATGTGCCACTAACGGGGTTAACTGGTATATTAAGCTTTTCCCAAATCCCATAGGAAGAAGGACAATAACGTCTTTCCCCTTGATAAAATTCACCAAACATTCTCTTTTACTCTGGCTTTAAATCCTTGATCTTGGGAATCATTGATAACACAGAATGTATGGCACTTCGCTAGGGATGTAAGAATAACTGAAATATCGTGATATCGTATCGTCAAATTTCTCACAATAATATCGTGGACCATCACAATATAATATATCAAGAGTTATGGTGCAGCAATAGAAAAAGATAGAGGGAACTACATAGACCATGATCCTTTGCTCCATTTCAGTGCAGAAGAAATAACAGTTCTAAGCACTTTTAAGTCTTTGGATTAAGTCTTGTCAAGGCATTTTAAGAGTATTAACAGGTTTAGCTGTTTAACCTCCACAAAATATCACAATAAATATCGTACCGTGAGATGTGTATCGTGAAAATATTGTACCTAGAGATTTGGATATTGTTACATCCCTAATCGTGAGCCTCCCCACCATATCGTGAGCTTTCCCACGATATCGCAATAAATATAAATATCGTACTGTGAGGTTCATACCGGGACAATATCGTATTGTGAGACTTGGATATTGTTACACCCCTACTCTTCGCTGATTGGCTGGTGCCCGAACTCGCACATCCGATGTTTTTGCGAACCGTCTAGTGTGTATTGTCCAATTCCTGACCTAGTTACTGGAGAGAAATTAAATTGAGCGGAGGCACTAGGTCGCACCAGCCTGGCTAGTATCATATGACATCACAAGGTGGAACAGAGTGTTTTCTGTTTGAGAGAAGAACCTATAAAATATGCAGGGTTTGTGTGTTAAACGTGTGTACATGGAACAAAACAAACTCCAGGTCTGTTTGTGATGAGAAAACAACAGAAAATAGCGTAATATAATGTCAGATTGTTGTGAAATGCACAGCTCTGTGAAATGTCTCCAAATGACATTTTCTCGTTGCAGTGTCCATGTACAGCAGATATGAAGTGGATGACGATTGGTGCATTTCGGTGCTGCAGTCCTATCAGACAGAGAGGGATGTACTGTTCCCATGGAGTGTTGGTAAGGCTTATTAACTTCATAGCGCGTAGGACAGGTTTTATTATTCAAATTTTGACTTTATTGGATGGGATAATACCTATTGTAAATATAGAAGGTATTTTTACATCTACCAAGTGTCAGAAAATGAAGAAAAAGTTAAAAATGACAGGGAGAGCAGAACAGAACACATTTACGAAAGTATTTTAAACTGAATTCAGTACAATTAAGGTGTTCTCATTCAACAACTACATTTATTAACAACTAAATTATACCTGATTAAGAGCACAGAGGGAGCAGGGGGAATAGGATAGAGATATTTCATGTCATTGTGTTAGATTGCAGTGTTTATGCTATTTTTGTATTCTATGTTTTGTCTGTCTCAGGGACTGCAGATGGAAATTAGCTGCCAGAGCGCCAGTCTTGTACAAAGCATCTCCTCAGTGTTTGTTTGATTAATGCTCCTGTAAATGGTCCCTGAAACATAAACAAATTAATAGTTTCTGTGTACATTAGAGGAGTTTTGGCCCACCGTACTTCATGGTTGCTAGGAAACAGTTATTGAATTTTAATATCATGGGTTTACAAACGGGAACTAAATGCTGGGTATAAAATTTGTTACATTTTTAGCAAGATCCTAAATATAGTGATCTTAACTGTTTTAGTAAGGTGAGCGCCGTAAAAAGGGGCAATTATGCAGAATCGACTTTTTGGAGCTTTGTACCATGTGTACTGCAAAAAAGCTTGGCCAAAATTTAAGATATAAACACTTAAATCTATCAGAAAATGACTTAAAAGTTGTGAAATTATCTGTCCACGCAGCAAGATCATTTTACTATCTTAAAATAAACTACCTCTAGACTAAAATGAATCCAATTTAGAACTAATAAGTAGATAATAAATCTGAAAACAAGATGAGTAACCTGATATAAGTTTTAAAATCTTGGCCAGATCAGAGAAATTTGCAGTGTAATAACGTTCCCTCATCAAAAATCTCATGCCCAAAGTGGTTTTATGTAATCCATGCAAGTTTGAGTAATTTAGCGATCTCTCCCGAGCCCTATTTGGACTTTCCATACAGTTTTACATGAATATAAAAAAAGCGTGATACAAAATGAAACACTACAACTTCACAAACCTGATGCGATGTGCAGTAGTTTAGTCATGATAGAGCTCTGAAGGGAGAGCACAGAGATCGGGGACTCAGAACGTAAAAAAACGAAACTGAAACTTATTAAACATGTTAACAGACAGTAAAAGGTGTTTGTTTTGGATTAAAATCAGTATTAAACCTGGGTTAGTCTTGGTTTTGTTCTTTCTTAGTACTTTTGTGTTCATATTTGCCCCAGCTTCCTTTCACAGATTTTTCTGTACACATGTATTGAGGGTTTAGCGCTGGTTTGCTTCTGACTCAGTCCTGGTTTAGTCCTGGTCGTCTGAAAAGTTCTGGAAACACCACCATAGAAGTAAAATACCCCTCTTTAATGTAAATTAATTAAGTGTTGCTCGTGTTTCCAGGTGAGGACATGACTCCAGACGGTAGACGGCAGCTGGCTCTTTTCTTGGTAAGAATGTTGTTTTAAAAATATCGTATTTTCCGGACTATAAGTCGCTCCGGAGTATAAGTTGCACCAGCCAAAAAATGTGTAATGAAGAAGAAAAAAACATATATAAGTCGCACTTTTTGGGGAAATGTATTTTAGAAAATCAGAGAACAGGATCCGACATTTCATCTTGAAAGACAAGTCCTAGTAAAAACAATAGAACAGAGAACAACAGACTGAATAGGCGTTAATATGTTAATATCACATATGAACAGTTATTCCAATAATTATAACATAAACAACAGAACATAAGTTTACCAAACTTACGATCTCACTCCAAATCACTAAATCCACTGAATTCTTCATCCTTGGTGTCACTTCTGAGCAACCTCCAGAGATAAACAAGAGATCCAGCTGTCGTCAGACTCAGCATCAGTTCTAGTTGGAATTATTCTGGCCTTTCTGAATCCCGACAGGATGGTTTCAATTGTCACTGAAGTCCAGGCTTTGTCGATCCATTCAATGACTTCAGGAAAGTTCCATGGTGCACCCTCCCGGTTACCGTGAAGCTGTGTTCTCCATGCCCGCTTTCCTCCAGTCCCTCACAAGTTTCTCGCTCACTCCAAACTTTCTTCCTGCTGCTCGATTACTGTTTTCAGCTGCATATTTGACTACTTAAAGCAAGACAGCGGTTTTTTCTACAGGAGAGATGGGCAGTAGAGAGCAAAGTGACAGTGGTACAGGAGTAATAGTAGTACTAGATACTGACACATGAGCCTAAAGCCTCTCGCGACTGTCAGTGTGATAATTTTAATATATAAGTCGCAGGAAACACCCAAACCACGAAAAAAGTGCGACTTATAGTCCAAAAAATACAGTACATTTTAATGAGTATTTTATTTTTCTTCTATTAACTTAAAGGTAGCAGAATGTACTTTATATCTGTGAGTTAAATAGTGTCTAAACATTTTGCCTTGGGACACACAGATGCTATTTTCGGGTCAGATCTGGCTTTCAACCAAGAACCTTTCATTCATTTATAAGACGGCCACTTTACCACCTGAGCCACATCACTCAGAGTGTTGTGCTTTTTCTATATGGTAATGTCGGCTGTTGCCTTTCGGATACTGAAGTCAGAATTTAAATCCCTTTCTTCAACAGCCTCGACTTATATTTTCTCTTCTAGTGTCATGATACAAAACCTTCAAACTCGATTTTGAATTTAAGAAACCGATTCAATGCTCAATACAGATACCACGATAAGGATGAAAAAACACTCTTTCCTTAGAATCCATGTATCATTTGTTCTTTTGTTTTTCAATATAAAACCAAAAATAAAGAAAAAGAAGAAACAACTATTTTCTTCATTATTTGTCTCCATTTGATTTTTAAATGAATAATGGAAAAAACGGATAACAGCCGTTTCCAATTTCCGTGACTTAAACTACTATGCTGGACTGGACTAGGACTGGACCAGGACTAAAACAGGACTGAACCAGGATTAAACCAGGACTAAACCAGGACTGAACCAGGATTAAACCAGGACTAAACCAGGACTAAACCAGGACTAGACCAAGACTAAACCAGGACTGAACCAGGACTGAACCAGGACTAAAACAGGACTGAACCAGGACTGAACCAGGACTAAAGCAGGACTAAACCAAAACTAAACTAGGACTGAAACAGGACTGAAACAGGACCGAACCAGGACTAAACCAGGACTAAACCAGTGTAGACTGTCATGTGATCGGGACTGAGACTGGGACCAGACCGAGACTGGGACCAGACCGGGACTGAGAATGGGACCAGGACTGAGACCAGGACTGAGACCGGTTTAGTCCTGTTTCAGTCCTGTTTTTGTGATGGTTTAGTCCTGTTTTAGTCCTGGTTCGGTCCTGTTTTAGTCCTGGTTCGGTCCTGTTGTAGTCCTGGTACGGTTCCGGTCCTGGTTCGGTTCCGGTCCTGGTTCAGTCCTGTTTTAGCTCTGTTTTAGTCCTGGTTCAGTCCTGTTTTAGTCCTGGTTCGATCCTGGTTCAGTCCTGGTTCAGTCCTGCGTTAGTCCTGGTTTAGTCCTGTTTCGTTCCAGCATCACAGTTTAAGTCACAGTTTAAGTTTTTTTTTTTTTTTTTTTGGTTTTGGAGACAAATAATAAAGAAAATAGTTGTTTTTTTAATGATACACGGACTCTTTAAACAACAGAATGTAATTTTCAACATTAAATAATAGCACTTTCTTTTATATTACCATATGGTCTTATATTTGTGTAATCCATACTCAACCTCTTCATTTCAAATATTCAAAACAAATTCAATATTATCTTTGTTTTACCGCCGCCTCTGCTTATTGCATTATTCATGTTCGACCACCTACAATTACTCTCACAACACGCTCTCTTTGGCGCGGTGGCAGGTGACGTGTCTTGCCCAAGGACACAAAAACATATTTAATAATGCATCAGTCTTTTATAGCCCAGCGCTTTTTCAGACACTCAACGTCGCTTTACGATTTTATGCTTTATTCATTCATCCAGACTGGGGGTGTCAAAAGTGTCGGAAATCAGAGACTAATCGATTCTAAAACTGGTATCGAAGCGAAGATTCTCATTTAAGCAAGAACTGATACTGAAAAGAAAACTGTAACGTTCCTAAAAAAAACTGTTTTCATCTCGAGTTTTATCAAAAAGTCAGGATTTTGACAGTATTGATACTTTGTAAATTTAGTCCTGGTCCAGTCCTGGTCCAGTCCTCAGTCCTGGTTTAGTCCTCTTTCAGTCCTAGTTCAGTCCTGGTGTAATCCTGGTTCAATCCTGGTTCAATCCTGGTTTTGACCTGGTCCAGCCCTGGTGTAGTCCTGGTGTAGTCCTGGTGTAGTCCTGGTGTAGTCCTGGTGTAGTCCTGGCCAGTCCTGGGCCAGTCCTGGGCCAGTCCTGGGCCAGTCCTGGGCCAGTCCTGGTTTAGACCTGGTTTAGACCTGGTCCAGTCCTAATTTAGTCCTGATTTACTCCTGGTCCAGTCCTGGTTTAGTCCTGATCCAGGCCTGGTCCAGACCTCCTTTAGACCTGATCCAGGCCTGGTCCAGACCTGGTTTAGACCTGGTTTAGTCCTGGTGATCGGCTCGACGGCTGCGGCATATATATATTTACACTCCCCTAATGACACGTTTAGTCCTGGTCCAGTCCTGGTTTAATCCTGGTTTAATCCTGGTTTAATCCTGGTTTAATCCTGGTTTAATCCTGGTTCAGGCCTGGTTCAGTCCTGGTTCAGGCCTGGTTCAGTCCTGGTTCAGTCCTGGTTTAGTTCTAGTCCAGTCCTGGTTTAGTCCTGGTTTAGTTCTAGTCCAGTCCTGGTTCAGTCCTGGTTTAGTTCTAGTCCAGTCCTGGTTTAGTCCTGGTTGTAATATGAGTGGAATTTCAAGTGATCTGATTTGTGCAGCTAAATCAGTTCTTTCAGGTGAGACCGTGTTAATCAAAACTCAGGATTAAAGTCTAACAGAGCAGTGCCGACAGTTAGCGTCACACCCACAGGAAGTGTTGATGGCATCAGCTGCAAAGTCACAGTCGCTCGCTCACACACTTTATTCACACTGTGTGCAAGGTGCGTGAAGTGTCTTGCCTAAAGACACAAGAGAACACTTCTAATTGACATCCTTTTCTCCAGTAAACCCCATTTTGTAGTCCTGGTTCAGTCCTGGTTCAGTCCTGGTTCAGGCCTGGTTTAGGCCTGGTCCAGTCCTGGTTTAGACCTGGTCCAATTCTGGTGTAGTCCTGGTATAGTCCTGATGTAGACCTGGTGTAGTCGCGGTATAGTTCTGGTTTAGACCTGGTCCAGTCCTGGTCCAGTCCTGGTCCAGACCTAGTTTAGACCTAGTTTAGACCTAGTTTAGACCTGGTTTAGACCTGGTTTAGACCTGGTTTAGACCTGGTTTAGACCTAGTTTAGACCTAGTTTAGACCTGGTTCAGTCCTGGTTCAGTCCTGGTTCAGTCCTGGTTCAGTCCTGGTACAGTCCTGGTTTAGACCTGGTCCAATTCTGGTGTAGTCCTGGTGTAGTCCTGGTGTAGTCCTGGTGTAGTCCAGTCCAGTCCTCCTGGTCCAGTCCTGGTTTAGACCTGGTTTAGACCTGGTCCAGTCCTGGTGTAGTCCTGGTTTAGACCTAGTTTAGACCTAGTTTAGACCTGGTTCAGACCTGGTTTAGTCCTGTTTTAGTCCTGGCGGTCAGCTCAGTGGCTGCGGCGTGAGTGTTGATGACATGAGCTGCAAAGTCACCGTCAGTCACTTACACACTTTATTCACACTGTGTGCACGGTGGGCGAAGTGTCTTGCCTAAGGACACAAGAGAACACTTCTAATCGACATCCCTTTCTCCGGTAAACCCCATTTAAACAATTTGATCCTTCCTTACTCCCTCCGCGATCCGGGAGGGGAGCAGAAAGCCTCAGCTATTCTTAGACGTCATTATCGCAGAGGAACACTTTCGCCGTTGCCGTAGTAACCGCCTCACCTGCGCTCTCAGGTTGACTGGAGTAATATATTTCGCCGAGCTCCCCCTTATTGAAGTCATTTAACACCAAACAAGTGGAGTGCCATCAATTACAGCTAATGCTATGCTTTTCCTCCCCTGGTAATGCCTCCTGGATTGGGCTTTGTTTTCGCCCCGTGTTTCCCCCTTAAGAGATGCGTGTGGGTAAGAGACGGGGGTAGAGGCGGCCTAATAAAATCAAGTGCTGGGCCTTTTCGTTTCACTGGTCCCAGAGATCAAACAAGTGCTTAAAGTTGCGCTGAGTAACTTTTTTTGTTGTTGTTGGAGATGATACTTCTTAAACTGAGCTGGAAAAAGTATGGCAATATGGCACCGTTCTAGGGCGGCATATCGTTAAGAAGTTGCTGATACGATACATACCTTGATACATAGGCCACGATACGATACATACCTCGATACATAGGCCACGATACGATACATACCGATACGATACATAGCCACGATACGATACATACATACCTTGATACATAGGCGATACATACGATACGATACATACCTCGATACATACATACGATACCACGATACATACGATACATATACGATACCACGATACGATACATACCTCGATACATAGGCCACGATACGATACATAGATACATACCCTCGATACATACATAGATACCCATACGATACGATACATACATACCATACGATACATAGCCACGATACGATACATACGATACGATACATACGCCACGATACGATACATACCTCGATACATAGGCCACGATACGATACATACGATACATACATACTCGATACATAGACCACGATACGATACATACATACCTCGATACATAGCCCACGATACATACCTCGATACATACCACGATACGATACATACCTCGATACATAGGCCACGATACGATACATACCTACCTACGATACATAGCCACGATACGATACATACGATACATAGCCACGATACGATACATACCTTGATACATAGGCCACGATACGATACATACCTCGATACATAGTACATACGACGACGATACGATACATAGATACGATACATACGATACGATACATACGATACATAGATACATAGGCCACGATACGATACATACCTCGATACATACATAGGCCATACGATACGATACCTCGATACATAGCCACGATACGATACATACCACGATACGATACATACCTCGATACATAGGCCACGATATGATACATAGGCACTTTTGATTCGATACGATACATTTCAAATCGATTCGGTACGGTTCAAAGGCTGTGATACTAAAAGTCTTTGTTAAAACTCTTCTTGAAGTGAATATGAAACACACCCATTTAAATCCCTAAAACAGTGAAAATGTCAAATGTGTTTCATAAGAGTTTTCTTCTTCTAAATAAGCAACAAAACTGTAGTGCTGTAACAAAATATTTTAGTAAAATACACATAAAATACTTGGCGATATATATCGATTCAGCAACCCACAATACCAATACTGTATGATCACATTAAAGATTACGATATATTGATATGTATATATTTTTGCACACCCCTACAACATACTGTATCTATCTGGCATTTATTCATCTACACAGGCTTAAAAATACATAGAAATACTTGTGTCCTTACTGTGAGTAGGGTCGCCTCTTCACAGATCTGATCTGTAACGTGGCGTAGTGGTGTCACTTGCTTGTCTCCTTGAGAATGGACAAGTTCAACGCTGTGAAACTTTCTAGGGTGAGGAAATAACACCAGAAAAGTTATAGATTTTAAAAATTTTGGGGCCTTAAGGTCAGAGAAGAACAACACAGCACAATATACAAAGGTCACTCAAAACGCCATCCCACTCATACACCCAACTCCCAACAATATGCTCCCAAACATCCAGTTTCCTTGGCGTATTTTTTTTTTGCCATTTATAGTTTTTCACGGGGGAATGGATGACGACGGTGGTTTAGTCTAGTGTGGGTACATGTGGAGCCGCCCACTTTAAGAGGATATACTACTAGGGGTGTGCAGAAATATCGAAACATCACTATATCATATCGCTTAATGTGATGATACAGTATCGATATCGGGGGTTGTTGTATCGATATACAGCGCCAAGAGTATTTTTAGGGTCCCAGTCAAGCAGAAGTATACAGCAAGGCCAAAAATTCAAGTTAATGCATCTGATATAAAAATGTATTCAACAGATACATATGTACTCTAGTTTATGAAACTGTTGACCTTTTTTCTGTACCATTTTTGGTTCTAAAGTTCCATATGTTTTAAACAGACCATGTATGAAACATGGAACAAAAATTATTTCCCAAATTTCAAAGACCTGCAAATCATGTAAATAAACTGATGTATTTCATCATATCTTGTGTTATTCCATCTTTGAAGTGTTGATGAAGGTACATAATTTTTTTTTTTAAGTATTTAAAATGATAAAAATTTGCTTGGAAGGACTGACATATTTTATAGAAATAGTTTCCTTTCATTTTGAAGTAATATTAAAGTATTTGGAAGAAAAAAGCGACAAATTATGCAAAATCATGCACCTTCTACTTACTTGCACAATTTCCCCTCCATTACCTTTCTTAATAAAACCTTTCTTAATATAATAAGACCTTTCTTAATAAAAAATCTCATTACTCAAAAAGTAAGAGGTTTTTCAACCTAATCTTGTACCATATGGTAGAAAACTATATGAAGCAAATATTCAAACCAGTTTGTTAAGGATATGTAAGTGAGAACCAAGCTAGTTATCACTGTTTGCATTTATTGCCCAAAAAGTGCTGCATATTTCATTCCCTTCGTTACCGACATGAGTTTTTAAATTTTTGAAAACTTGAAGAATATCACAGGTTTAACTTTACCCTGTTGGAGTGTTAACTCTTTCCTACATTCTGATACTTTTACTTATTTCAATAGTCCCTCTTTATATATATATTATATTTTTACCTTTACCTTTTATATTTTACTAATTATTTTGTTACAGTGCTACAGTTTTGTTGCTTGTTCAAAGGAAGGAAACTAATTTTTGCAGCACATTTTGATTATTAAAATTGGTGTTTTTCATATTCACTTGCACAAAAAGTGGTTTAACAAAGACTTTTAGTATCAGACATTTTTTATTGAACTGTATCGAACTGATTTGAAATATATCGTATTGTATCGAATGTGCACTGTATCGAGATATGTTTTGTATCGTGGTCTATGTATCATATCTGCAACTTCTTAATGACTTCTTATATGTTAATGTTGTTTTTAAACTTGCAGCCGTCCATCCAGTTTAAGTCTTTGTGAAAAGTAAAACTTGAGAAAATAAGTGTGGATGTGTGATAATTATTTCAATTCAGAATATGGATTTCATGCCATGGTTTTGTTTCCTCTTTCAGGCGCACAAGTATCTACACAACTTTGAGACGACACACTGTACTCCGCTGCCCGCCTCCGAGTTCCACCAGGCCTGGAGACTGTAAACGAAGAAGAGGAACGAAGGAGGATGACGAGCGAAGGAGTGAAAGCGAGAGGAGGGGGGGGGAGTGACAGAAAAAGAACAGCAGGAGCTTATAGTTACACAAAAAAGGAATATCCACAGGAGTGAACTTATGTTAAATACTGTAGATGGGTAGATAAATACCTACCAGCGGAGGTCCATTTTATTTAATTTTTTATTTGTACGTTGATTAAAGTGACATTTTCCTACAGCTGTCCGATAATGTAGCTTGAAATAACAGAGCCAGTGATTACTTTTATGTGATTGAGTTAACAATACTTGAAAATGTTATCTTTGAGTTGGCTTTAGAGCAACTTTAAAAGACCGAAGTTGGATTTTACTACTATAAAACTTTATGTACTTCTCAAAACATGAAGGCGTTTAACTTTGACTGTGGATATCTTTTTTTGTTGTTGTTGCAGAGTGGGCAGCCTGCAGGTCAATAATGAATGCACTTGCTTTGTTTTGATCTTGTACAAATATGCTGTGATGGCCAATGGAAGAAATGTTGGTTTTATCGACCCCCTCTTCACCTTGTAAACCTGAAAAAATACCCATGGTACAGATGATTTGGGGGGGGATATTGTACTGTATATTTTAAATGTTCAAAAAAGACACATTCGGAGGAAACACACGTCATTCTCACTTCTTCATAAAACACCCATCTTTGGCTTAGTTTGTATTCTATTGTAGTTTCAACAATGCTGTATTTTATTTTAACTTGAGCAAATAATGACCTGATTACAAATGCCGCCAAAGATTTTGAAGTCCCACGATTTGGCAGTTTCTCTTCGAATGCTCGAAAAATGTTCTGTTATGTTGAATAAAATGTTTGACACAAGTATCTAAGCTCATTTGTTCGTATTCTTATTGAAGTGTCATTAATCCAAACAAATACAATAGAACAGAGGATTGGCTGTCTAAAAGTGCACTATAACAATTTTAGTCACACACTCGTCTCCATGGTGATGTTACTGCTTTGTGTTTTTCCACAGTATGGCATTAAACTTAAATATTTATGGAGATTGGCTGGTGATGACTACAAGCCAAGTTACTGATCCGATCAAGGCATCTTTTGAAACATTAAAAACACCTGTAATTGAAGTAATACAACATATTTAATGCCATACCTTGGGATATTCCAGGCATGTTGTTATTAAAGGGCCCATCTCATGCAAAATAACTTTTCACATTATATATTTTGCACATATACAAGCACAATTTGGGTTTTGGAACATCCATTACACAATAGTTATGAAATCTTACTGATTTCTTGGAGGCATCACAGACCAGGAACTATGAAAGGCCGACTATTGCTCATCCCCCGCCCGACCTGAGAAAGCACAGGCTCCGCCCTCCAAACGTGACGTAGGTTCTGAGTGAGCCGCCCTTCCGCCGCCATCTCAGGGAGGGAGGGGGAGAGAGACGTGCACCCTGATAACGGTAGGAATAAACTCTTATTCATCATGCCACATGTGTTGGACCTGGAATCAGACGAGGACTTTGAGGAGCACGAAGCTCAAGCACCGCATCAACATCAGCTGAACATTACTGATTGGTAAAGTATTAATAAACACTAGTAGATAAACTTATTATATCGTGTTCACTGCAGTGTAGAACAATGAGCTTATGCTGTCGCTTTTGTTTAGGTGTTCCGGTGGGAATTGTCAGCCGATGCGGGACAGAGACGGAGTGGCCGCATCATCGTTGTAGCGGCTTTAGTTCATTGTCACGTGGGAGGGTGACAGAAATACGTTGCAATTTGTTAAAAAAACGCTGAATCAATCTAAAAACCACTTCGGCGACATATACAAGGCCCACACATCACTCTTAGGGAAAGCTCTGAAAAGTTGATTTGGCACGAGATGGGCCCTTTAAGGTAATTCTGCTTTCTAACATAGGGGCCATGGATTTGCCTGGAATATCGTCCAATGAGGTTCATTTGGTCTTCTGATAATTTGTTATTAGGTTCTCTTTTTAGACCAAGAGTTTGTTTTCATACCTGACAGTTTCGACTTCTCACTAGCTCAACTTGTCTTCCTCAGAGTCACATGATGTTGCTGTGACGTGTCTGATCAGCTGATTTATACAGGTTTTGGTGCTGTCTTCCTACCGGTGGGGGCAGGACGACAGCGCCATCTGCAGTTCGACTTCCTCAGGACAGTATCCCAGGTGTGTGAGAGTAAAAAAAGCCCCCTTGTCCCAGTTTAAAGTCCCGTATTTCGACGAAAACTGCGAGTGAGCAGTTGAAACTGTCAGGTATGAAAACAAACTCCTGGTCTGAAAAAAGAACCTAATTACATAAATTATTGGAAGACCAAATGATAATATTCCAGGCAAATCCATGGCACCCATGTTAAAAAGCAAGTTTACCTTCACAATAAAACAATAAGCACATCTACAACTAGAAACTGCAGTAGCTGTAGAAATTGCGAGAGACGGGGGGGGGGGGGACATAAAAGATTTGGCATACAAAATGAAAAATACCTAAGATTGAAAAACCTGGACAAAATCCCTCAAATTTCCTTCAAAAATGAACGGTGCTGAATGGGTCTAAAACAACAATTTAAGGCAAAATTTGAATACCCCTAAAATTGCCGACAGTTAAGTGGAATTTGAAGAAAAAAAAAAACAATTAAAAGGCAAAAGCTGAATAGGGAGAAATGGCAGAAAAGACAGGAAAGTGCTAAGATTATTTTAAAAAGGATAAATACCCTTTTGAGTCAAAAAAAAAATCATTACAACTATCAGTACTTTATTCGGTTCGTTGCTCATACAATTACTTAAAAATTAATATGAACATGAATACAATGACATAAAAAGACATTATTTTCTCTGTTTTGCACTACACTTGATATGTGGTACTTGTCTAATTAATAATGAAAACACTGAATGAATCAACAGATCACAAAATACTACAAAACCTGAAGACTTCTTAACAGTTTCTTTCACTATTTATTAAAAAAACAAATATATTCTTGCTGTGTTTTGACGTTGACAGTGTCCTGTGTGGGTTGGTGATAAATCCTCTTCTCGAAGCAGACGGCTCTTTTTTAAGTTTGTTTTTAGATCAGATAACAAACGGATTGATTACATAATGCATTTAAGTAATTGATTCTCAACAATTAACCTGATTAGTTCTGTACTTAGGGTTGGGCTTACGTATTATTACCGTATTTTCCGCACTATAGGGCGCACTTAAAAGCCTTTAAGTTCATAAAAAAATGACTGTGCACCTTATAATCCAGAGCGCCTTATATATGAATTTATTGGGCTGTCTTAGTACGACTTCAGTAAACTACAAAGCCGCACCACTTGCAGCATTACCGCTACTGTAGTCAGGAGCATCGCGGAGTTATACATACTGTGATTCCTTTTAATATCAAAATGCACCTGTCAAGAGACACGCTTACAACGCCCACTTTAAACTCAAGGCTGTAAGGCACGCAGTAAAACATGGGAATAGAGCAGCTGCGAGAGAATTCAACATTAATGAATCAATAGTACGGAAGTGGAGGAAGCAAACTAATTCAGTGCTTCCATCATTCCAGGTGGATTAACTAAAGAACTAGATGTTGGTGTCAACAAGTCGTTCAAAGTTAAAGTGCGAGCTGCGTGGGAGCAGTGGATGAGAGAAGGCGAACACACATTCACCAAGACAGGGAGACAGCACCGAGCGACTTACTGCCAATGGATCATGGACGCCTGGACTAAGGATCAGTATCAACTCTGGTCCGAGCTTTCACCAAGACCAGAATCATTACTGAACTGCCAGGGAACAGTAACCACACTGACTCGGATAATGGCGAGAGGGATGTGGGCGTGCTGGACGCTGTAATTACCCAACTGTTTAACTCGGACACTGAAGATGAAGAATTTGTGGATGAGGAATGAACTGAAAAAGTGAGTGTAATGTGTGATTTTTAGTTATAACTTAGCAATTATGAGTTATTGTGAATACGCCAACACTTTAACGCTCTCACACAGTATTTTTTTTACACATTACAATTGAACAAAGTTGAGTTATTGTGAACGCGTTAAATAAAGTTTGACTGACTTATCTAACTGTTGTGTTTCGTTTAATGCGCCTTATAGTCCGGTGCGGTTTATATGTGAAAAAAGTTTGAAAATAGACCGTTCAATGACAGTGCGCCTTATAATCCAGAGCGCCCTGTAGTATGGAAAATACGGTACCGGTTATAAAGAAGTATTACAATGGCTTTGTGGTTCAAATTCATGCCGTTTTTATGTCGTTGGGCAAGACTTTTCACCAAACTTGCCCATGTTTGAATGTGAATGTGAGAAAGTGACACCTACCACCACCAAATATGGAAAGAATGAATAAATCCAAAGCAACGTAGAGTTTCGAGAGGTTTACCAAGCTCGTAAATTGCAATATAAACGCTTGTAACATTAAAATAAGGCAGGTGCAAAGTCTCAAGTGTAGTGTAAAACCGAGGCGTTATCAGACTTAATTCTAGGCGACATAAATAGCGTGTTACATCATTTTCTTGAAGTTGCCAATAGCCTCGTTAACTTTCTCCAGTTCAGTTTGACTCTGCCGAAGCTGCGGAGAAAGAGAAGTCATTATTAACCGGAATCACACGGTCGACACGTGAGGAGCAAACCCCAAGAGTCAATTTATTTTTCTCACCTTCTCGGCGTCTTGGTCCTGCACCTTCACCGGCACCTTCTCTTTGTAGTCGCTCTTCGACATCTTCTCTTTGAGTTTTTCCATCTGTTTTTCCAAGTCTCCCTTCTTTGTCATCAGCTTAGCCACTTCCTTCTCCACGTCGATAAGGCCCTGAGGCGAAAGGGGAGAGGAAGCAAAAACAATCAGCTCTGTGGGGACGACTGGGGTATAGACTTTTGCTATAGTATCAGAAAATCTCTAGCTAAAAAATTGCTATTCGTCTGAACAAGAACCACATCCTACATTCATGCATGAGCAATTTCTGTGAATGTAACAAGCCGTACTAAATGTTACTAAAACAGCTGCTTAACACATCTTCATTTTCGTTAATTATTTTTGATTACTGAGGCCAAAAATATTCACAAATTGCACCGTTTTGCACATACTTACCCAAAAAGTGTAAAAGTATTTTGTGGTTCAAGGTAAAAACATGAACAAGAACATGAACTAGGTTTCACAAATGGTTTCAAATTACAACTAGAACGACTGCAATTAACCAAAATGAGGTTATTAGGTTAAATCTTCTGCCGAGAACAAAAACAGATTGTGTATCTAAACTGTTAACCCCGTGGTTTAGCAGGTTCTCTTGGGGTTGGGACTGAATGTAAAGTACTGAACAGAAAAGCTGTCTTGTGCAACACCTTAAACTGCTGCACCAAACCCCTGAGAACGAACTTATTTATAAAAAAATACCCCAAAAGGTTCTAAAGGTTTGGAGCTAGTTCGAACTCATAATTTCTTGTTCCTCCTACAATTTTTTTTGTACATTAAGAATCTTACAATCTTTATCCTTATACAGCTCTGTGTGAGTTATGTCAGAATAAACTTTACTGCCACTGGTAGTGTGAGGGAATGTTTACACAAAAATGCTTGTGGGTAAAAACAACAAAATATTTTATCAGAAGTGCCTTTCGTTTACAGAGCACTTTTAAGTCTTAGATATCGTACAATGAGGTTCATATCGTGACGATATCGTATCATGAGACTTGGATATCGTTACACCCCCTAATCATGATACTTCAATGCACAATTCTCAAATCGATTCAAAATGGATCCAAATCGATTTATTAAATAATATTTTTCACAAAAAATCATTATCGCCATTTACATTCACTGTTCTCGTGATTTTGAAAAAAATAAGAATTATATTTCATACAAATGTGTTCTCTTGAAGGTGTAGTTGACTGTATTATTAGAAGTAATTACTGGTAAATCACAATTTATCACCCATTGTTTTAGTATCAGGATGTATCATGATATACTGAATCTTGACTTGAGAATCATGATATGTATCATATCTAGGAGGGTAACGATATCCAAGTCTCATGATACGATATCGTCACAGTATGAACTTCATGGTACAATATTTACTGTGATATTGTGGGAAAGCTCACGATTAGGGATGTAACAATATCCAAATCTCTTGGTACGATATTTTCACGATACACATCTCACGGTACGATATTTGTTGCAATATTTTGTGGAGGCAAAAACTGTTAATATGAGACTTTTTCTTCTTAAAATGCCTTGATAAGACTTAATCCAAAGAAAGAAGACTTAAAAGTGCTTAGAACTGTTATTTCTTCATGTAGTCTACACTGAAATGGAGCAAAGGATCATGGTCTATGTAGTTCCCTTTGTCTTTTTTAGCTATTGATGCACCATAACTCTTAATTTAAGCAAAGAGACTTGTAATTCGATATTTTGTGATGGCCCACGATATTATTGTTAGAACTTTGACGATGCGATATCCTGATATTTTGGTTTTTGTTACATCCCTAATCGTATGGGCAGACTCAAGGCAATGCACACTTCTACCGGGCAGGTTGATGTTATAGTTCATAAAATAAAACATACACAGAGAATGTCTTTATAATGACCGGATCATAACAATTCTGTATCCTCATAGACACAGAGTTCTCTCAGCATCTTAAAAAACATCGTCCTTTATCAAAATCAACATTCAATTCATTCACTCCAGAACATCACAGTCTCTCCAGACACTCATCATGGTTTGAAAGGAGCCACGGTTTCTCCAGGCGTGAGAAAGTGCCGTAGTTTGTGCATGAATCAGCTCTAATGTTAACAGGCTGAGTTTCCAAATGCTGTCCTGCGTTTGGGAATCCTGGTAAGGGTGTAAATTAGTATCTAAGGAGGTAAAAAGTCCCAGTGCAAATGTGAATAAGATCTGTAAACAAGCAACTCCTAATGACAACAAGGTTTTCTCTAAGCTGTGAGACAAAACAAAAGGCGTACGATTGTAAACGCTTTGTTCTCGTCTCACCTTGAGCATGAGGTTCACCGTACACCTGTCTGATGCGATGGCCACGGCGCAGCCTTCGGGGACGGGCTGATCTGTGACTGCGACGACGGCCTGAGAGTACGACAGGGTTTGGATCTGAAGACTGTATTTGCCCACCAGAGACGCTGTGGCAGAATCAATGCACTGCAGATAGCCTGAGGAAAAACACATCCACTGAGTATTAGCAACAAAAAGCTCATTGCATCGGCCAAGGTTACATTTTGATTCACTTTGTCAACAGCTCAACACAAAAACACAGCCATATTTTACTTCATAAAACTCGGTAAAACAGCAGAAACAAACCAAGGGCAAAGCAATAACAGTTTGGAGCCAATCAATAATATGAAAAATCCTGAATTTTATTGTTGCTATCGGAAACAAAATGTGATAAACTTTTGGAGTATGCAAATGCACAATGACCCGAATATTAACTAGGGCTGTACGATTTCGGACAAATCTCAAACTGTGATTTTCTGACCAGCATTGCGATTCTGTTCACATTTCAATTGATAAAAAGGCTGAAATATGAACTGACAAACTAAAAAGAATCAGAGTTCAGAACATGTTTGTACAGACTTTGCTGTTTTTATGCAGATTAATGGCAAAAGGAAAAATTTATTTGTCAACTGGACAAAAGTTTATATTGGTCGAATATGAATCTGCAGATTAAGACGATATTTTGTCGTTTGTTGTGTTCTTACAGTAGTTGTGGTACTTATATTTACATACAGCAGCTGAACAAAATACTATAATAATAAAACATAATTTATCTAAATAAATGTGGCTAATAATTAGTTAAAATATGTGGTGAATAACCAGTTAATCAATTATGGGCTTAATCCATAAAAAAAAAAACTATTATAATAAGTGTTATATACCCTATATTTAACAAAGTATGCAACTACATACATATCAGTCAATAATACGTCTTTTGATTCGAATTTTCTATAGTTATTGGCCTGCTAAATATTTGGGGGGAAATTTTCTAAGTGTTTTTTGTAAATAATATGAAGCTGAAAGTACAACTCTAAAAATGTTTTCACTGAAAATACAGTTTGTGATCTGCACCAAAACTTTGCAGAGCCACACAAATCAACAGGAGCCTAACTAGATGGATTTTTGAGTCTGAAAGCAAAAATTCAAGTTCATGTGTGCAAGTCCTGTACTGCTACAAATGTAAACAGTTGAATCTTAATATAAAATCAATCTAAAATAACCCAGAGTGAAGCATTAGTATTTAGCTTAGTGTGAGTGATTTCTTACAGTCAGCTCTGGTCTTCGTCAGGTTGTAATCTGCTCTCAGAGAACGGATTGTTTTGACCACAGTCATAACAAACTCCATCTCACGGTCGATTTCTTCACTGTGCCAGCAGAACTACAGCGAGGAGCAGAGAGGTGTTAGCAACAATAATGAAAACTTTTGAAATTGTAATTCTCATGTTTTTTATTTCTATTTGAGTAATATATTATTTTGAAGCAACAAAACACTTATTTGAACAAAACTTTTATCTGCAGAGTCCTCAACCGCAAGTAAATGACAAAAGCTTCAGGTTGAGGCAAAGACTAAACTAGTTTAATTGTGTCGTATACCTTATATTTAGATCTAATTTAACTCATTTAAATGTTATAATCTACAATAATCTGTTCCAAATAAAATCATAAATCCAAATTATATTCAGTTCTTAAATTACTTTAGTTTTTTAGGGCACTGTCACTGTCAGATATAAAAACATCTCTCTCCCCCAATTCTCTCCCCCTAAAAATTAATCCTAAATAACTTTAATTCAGGGGTGGGCAAACTACGGACCGGAGGCCATATGCGGCCCTTTAATCTTTTTAATCCGGCATGCCGAACTTGAATAATAATAATAATGATTTCCAGTGTTTTAAGTAATTTCAATAAATAGTAAATACCGTGGGATTTTTGTTGTAATGCTTTGTAATGATTTTCACTTATGGGATATTTCAATAATGTAATATTGTAATATGTAATTTTTTTCTCTTATGAGGTGGATTACCAAAAAACTCCATCCATCTGCTCCTGGTCCGACCCTTTCGTCAAATTTTAGAACACTTTGTGGCCCACGAGTGAAAAAGTTTTCCCACCCCTGCTTTAATTTAAATGTGTTTCTTTACCACCTGCTGCAAATATAATAAAGCTGAAAGTAATTATTTAAAAGAAACAGATCTTGGTAAATGTTGTCTAACATGTGTTCCTCAAACACACTCAAAAAAAGTCACTCAACGCTCATTATAACTCATCTTCCCAATTAGTCTTTGTGTTTTTCGTTTCTCTTGTTGTTTTATGTTCAAATATTGTAAAACGTCTTTGAGTTACTGTGAAAAGCATTATATAAAACCGCTATATTTCTGTTATTATTACCATTATTATTATTTGCTAGAAATGGCAAAATTGAATAATGTTCTTATAAGTTCTTTTGCCCTGCCTCAGCTCAGTGGTCAAAGTGCGTTGGCGTCCCTTTAATAAAAGGACCTTTCTTCTTCTAATTCTTACCTGCCACTGTGCCTCAGGTCTGTTACCTTGTTCACCCTAAGGTACAAAATAAGGCCCCGTACTTTGCCAGAGTGAATAATGCATATTTTTAAATAATATAACACTTTATAAAGGCTTTAAATTGTGTAGTAGTTATTATAAAGCTTGAAGAAAGACTTAATTCATAATTAACAAACAGATTATTAAGTTACGAAGCCAATTAATCATTCTTAATAAAGGGGCTTGAGTTAGAAGTTTGGATATTAATTAAAATTGAACTAAAAACTAAATCCACTCTTTACTAATTAAGTGTGTATTTGGTGTTTTAATTGTATTCCTGTAATTAGGTAAATTTGATAAACTAGCAGCTTTCAAGGTTCCCACTCTTTTTCACTGACAAAATTTCAAAACTTTTCCATGACTTTTTCATGACCTAATGTGAATTTTCCATGACTTTATGGCACCCTAGATTTGTAGAACTGAGCACCGTTTTAGGGCTAAATATAAAATGTTTACCCTTTCCACTCACTTTATGGTTTGGTATTATAGGTTTTTAACTTTCAAAATACTGTCAGTGCATTTATTATTATCTTTTTTAAACAAAAGGCGCATACATTTGGAAATAATCATAATAGCCTGATGATAAATTAACTGTAGTTGTGTGAAAGAGACTAAAATTCCATGCAGAGTATCCCCAGGTTTGACTACCCCAAATTTATGACTATTTAAGACTTTTTTAAGACCACTTAAATGAAAATTAAGACCAACATCGCACCCATTATGCGGGCGAAAAACACCAGATCCAATTTTAATAATGACCAACCAACTACTATATCTACAACGGGGTGCCCACACTTTCAAAAGTCAAAATGATCTACATACTACAAAGACAAGCAAAATGTACTGGACTGAAACATTCTGTGCCTCTTATTTGGACCTTTACCCACAGTTTGAGAACCACTTCTTTAAGAGAACTTCCACCTCACTTTACACAAAACTGTGAAAAAAGTGAAGAAAGTGGGTAGGATTTTTAAACCTGTTTTTTCAAGTTTCTAATTGGAGTTTCATTCTCTTACTGGTTTTGCAGTGGGATTTAGCCTCTGCACATTTACCAAACCAATACAGATGCATTTTTGCACTTTTATTAGGCAAACTTCAGCATCACGTCATATATATATATTTTTTCCCCCTCTGTTTAACACTGCAGTACAGCCCAGTTGAGTATACAAAAATAGGTTAATGAAATTTAAGACCTTTGTGAAAAAATTAAGACTAGACATGGACAACATAATTTAAGAGTTTTTAAGGCCTTAATTTTGGATGCACATGAATTTTAAGACCTTTTCAAGACTTTTAAGACCCTGCGGCTGCCCTGTCCATGACTTTTTGAAAACTTATATTGAATTTGCACATTTCTGTGACTTTTCCAAGATTTCCATGACCGTGAGAACCCTGAGCGCTATTACAAATGTGGTTGTGTGCGGAGTTGAGGCGTTTAATCTCACTTTAAATAATTACTGAGCCCGAATCATTCTTAATACACTATTTGATCATAATGAATTAAGCCTTTCTTCATACTTTATTTTGGCTAATTAAGGTGTAGTTATTGTCTCGCTTATTTGTACAATATCCCTGATCCCTGGTTTCACTGTACAAAACCATATGACGAAAACTAAAACATTTTAATTTCACTTTTTGACATTTCCAGCGTCTGCTCCGCGCTCACCTCCTGGGAGTCGGGATATGCCGTGACACAGATGCTGGGGGGGTCGTGCTGAGGTCGTCGTCGTGGTAACCTCTGGTACAGCTCCTCGGTGACAAAGGGCATGACGGGAGAGAGGAGCCGCAGAGCCACCTCCAAGCACGTGTACAGGGTTTGTCTGCAGACCCACATTGCACCGCTGCCGTCCTCCTCGCCTTTACTGAACACCGGTTTCACACTTTCCTACAGCAGAAGGTGGGAGGTGATGAGAAGTACTGAAAACTACACATAGAGCGAGTCATTACCCTTTACAAGTATAATATTCAGGTTTTTCTCGCCAGACCATATCTTCGCTTTGGCATTTCCTTCTATTTTTGTTGCCTCAAGGTAAGGCTGAACAATATGACAAAAAGATCTAATAATAAAGATTTTAGTTCCACGTATTGAGGTAGCTAAGTGCACATCTTTTATACCACTTCTTCAAACCCATTTTTAATCAATTGGCCTTCCATAAACTGGTTTTAGCTAAATTCTTTCCGGATTTTTCTTTTTATTACATTTCTTTTAATTTATTGATTATAATTACTTGAAATGTTTGCATCATTGTCTGTTTTTGAATGTCTTCTATATGTTATTTTTATGTTTTTGTATTGTTCTTTGTGGCTTGTACAGCACTTTGTAAACAATAATATTACTACAACTGCTACAACTACTTTTATTACTATTACTACTTACTACTACTGCTATTACTACTATCATTACTACTACTACTATTACCATTACTACTAAATGGTAAATGGTAAATGGTCACATTTTTCTATAGCGCTTTTCCACCTTCAAGGCACTCAAAGCGCTTTACAACAAGGAACCACTCACCCATTCACACACACATTCACACACCAGTGTACGCAGACACTGTGGGCAAGGTGTTAGGTTAAGTGTCTTGCCCAAGGACACAACGACAGCATTCATCTGTGGGAGCTGGAATCACACCAGCCAACCTGTGGGTCAGTGGATCTGACCGCTCAACCTGTGATGTTTATGTCAAGAGCTGGATTCGAACCGCCAACCTTTAGATCAGTGGGCGAATGCTCTACCAACTGAGCTACTACTACCACTACTACTTTTATTACTACTTTCATTACTATTATTACTACTACTATTACAACTTTTATTACTATTATTACTACTTTTATTACCACTTTTATTACTATTATCACTACTACTACTGTTATTACTACTTTTATTACTATAACTACTACTGCTACTGCTACTACTTTTATTACTAGTACTACTACTATTACCATTACTACTACTACTTCCACTACTATTACCACTACTATTACTAGTACTACTACTATTACTACTTTTATTACTATTACTACTACTACTACTTTCATTACCATTACCATTACTATTACCATTACTACTACCACTAGAACTACCTCTACCACTACCACTACAACTACTATAGTATAACTTTTCGGATGAGGGATCTGCCGTCAGCTTGTTTCCATGGAGATGATACTGCTTCACCATACATGCACCAGAGTGTAGAATTAAACTTCTCGTCCATTTAAAATCCTGTAAGTTTTCTGTGTACTCGTGTTCTTACCAGGTAGACGTCACACAGCTCGTACAGCCAGAAGTTGTAGATCGCCGTGGTGATGGCCGGAAAGTCGTACGCTCTGAATCCCTCGTCACAAAGAACGACTGCAGCGCTGAGTCTGGACAAAATCCACCGGTCTGACACGCTCTCCTGTCCACACAACTGCAACCGGGAGAGCAGGGTAAAAGAAACGTTAAAAATAGACCCACGACAAATCTGAAACATAATCTGAACAGTTTTGACCAATGTTATGATTTTTTAAAAGCTGCACTATGTAACTTTTCTGGTAAATTCAATTTGATTCAAAGTATTTTTGTTCATCCCAAAATCAAAAGAGAAAATTGCTGATAGTAGTAGTAATAGTAGTAGTAATACTAGTAGTAATAGTAGTAGTAATAGTAGTAGTAGTAGTAGTAGTAGTAATAGTAGTAGTAGTAGTAACAGTAGTAGTAATAGTAATAGTAATAGTAGTAGTAATAGTAGTAACAGTAGTAAGTAGTAGTAACAGTAGTAGTAATAGTAGTAAAGTAGTAGTAGTATAGTATTAGTAATAATAGTATTAGTAGTATATAGTAATATTACTAATAGTAATTAGTAATATTATTAATAGTAATATTATTAATAGTAATAATATTAATAGTAATAATAGTAATAGTAATAATATTAGTAGTAATAATATAGTAATAGTAGTAATAATAATAGTAGTAATAATAATAGTAGTATAATTATTATTAGTAGTAGTTATATTATTATATTATTATTATTATATTATTATTATTATTATTATTATTATATTATTATTATTAATATTATTACTGTAGTACATTTGAGGATACCACATCACAGTACTTCAGTTACATCGAAAGTAACAAATATTTTATTTTTTGTATTTGAATTATTTGTAAAATTAAGTATTGCATGTATCAAATCTAAAGATATCTTATTTTTTAGGAGGAGCATCAAGTCATCTTAAGGCACAAGGCTCAAGTCCGAGTCAAGTCCCAAGTCAGTGAGCTTCAAGTCCGAGTCGAGCCCCAAGTCTTAGTCCATTTTATCAAGTCAAGTCTCAAGTCCTAAAAATAGTGACTCAAGTCTGACTCGAGTGCAAGTCCCCAACTCTGGTTATTGTCACACTGTGGATCATTCAGACAAAGTAATAACGTTACCATAGAGATAAGAAGCCAGAAAAGTTACATAGTAAGCCTTTAAATTACAGACTTGAGATATTTCTGACTGTTTTATTATTATAATCCTGACTTCTAGCTCTTATTGAAAGCTAACATACTCGCCCAAGAGGTGTTTTGCGAAAACGATAATCTTAAATAAATCTTAAACCAATTAAAAGTTTAAATCGCTTGAATCGGGGCAAGTGACTAATCAAAATCTACTCAATCAAGATACAATTATTCATCCTAGCGTTTAAGATTACATTTTTAACCACAGTTACGGATATTTTAACTTAATATGTAACTTTTCTGGTCTGACACTTGCTTGTTTCCATAGAGAGAATGTTACACTCTACGGCATTACACATTTTTATACTGCATTTATTTAACAATAGGTTATATTCTTGCTCAAAAATACCTGAAAAAATATGAATTCTTACTTGAAGTAGGGTCACCTAACCACCTGCTTGTCTCCATGGAGATAGGTCAGTCTAATGCCATACCATGGAACATACCAAGTAAAGAAATAACATCTAAGGCTGTGCAGTTAATTGAATTATGATCGCAATTTTGATTTGTGTGTCAAACGATCGCCAAAGTCATCATCGAGTTGAAGTGACTTAAAGCTGAACAAAGTTTAGTTTGGGTTAATTGAGTTTTTTATATAAATAAGTAAATTTATTTTATTTTTTAACTACAGAGATTGCAGAACAGCTGGATACATAGTTTATTTTGGATATATTTATGTTTTTCTATGCCTTATTTCATGTTCAAATTATATTTTAACCATATTTTACTATATATTTTATTCATTTTATCTTTTATACATCACAAAACTGCTCTAAGTTACATATTTGTAGCCTATTTTTATTTTCATTTTGAAAGTTTTGAATAAATTATCAATAAGTTTTCCTTGGTTTTGTTTTTTTTTTTAAGAGAGAAATGCTGAATAAATGCTGCATCGTGTAACAAAAAAATAAACATTTGAACAATTGTGATTTCAATACTGACCAAAATAATCGTTATAATAATTTTTTTTTCCATAATCGAACAGCCTTAATTACATCTTAACGGAGGTATACAGGTCACTAAACGTTACAATAAGATAAAAATAAATAAAATAAAAATAACTAACATGTATAGTAATAGAGGTGGGTTAAGATAAGTTTATTTCAAGTTTTATTATGAGTTTTTCTTCCCACTCCTTTTTGAGAAATGTGCTTTTCTGTTGTTTACCATGTATATGTCGTATGTATATGATTATTGTTCCTCTCTTGGTACAAACTCGAAATAAAAATAAATCATTCAGTCATCTCAATGAAAGCCTTTAACCCGTGGGTAATGTCGTCACTTGGATTTCTTTAAGATCTCGAGGCAGTTTAGATTTTTTGCAGTGAATAGGGCAACTTTGACAGGCACTATGCACGAATAATCCCCAGATGAAGAGTGGCGTGTTTGATAGAATTTAGATATGTTTTTCATCCTTTCTCACCTGGGCTTTTTCCGAAGGTACAAAGTTGTCTCCGAGTGTTTTCATGGCAAACTTAACAGCGTTCCACAGTTTGTTGCAGAAGTGGCGGTAACCAAGGATACGGTTCACATCCAGGTTGATATCTCTGCCTGAGGAGCAGAAACAGAAATGTACTGTGAACGAAATATTAATGCGTGTTTATCTTGGTGGTGGAGTGAACTCGTGCGAAGAAGGTTACCGGTTCAAGTCCTGCTCTGGTTAGTTCATAATGTTGTGTCCTTGGGCAAGACATTAAACCCTTTTTGGCTGTGTCAGTGTTCAAGATTCAAAATTCTTTGTTTGACAGAGGAGGACACAGGAAAGTAAATATATCATCATAAAAACTATAATTTAAAGATGCAATATGTAGCTTTTCTGTTGGAGGGATCATGGTGCTGTAATTATTTTGCCTGGAATGTTCTAGTTTGGCAAAATTGTCCCAATGGAGACAAGCACCTCCAAGGTCAATTCTGTGGATCAGATCTGTGGAGAGGCACGCTCATAGTAAGAATACACATTTATGAAGTTTTTGTTTGTTTTAAGCAAAAAATAATCAAGTTTACTTGTCATACTATGGAACATTCCAGGCAAAGAAATATTCAGGATTCCCACTCTTTTTTACTGACAAAATTTCAAAATTTTTCCATGACTTTTTCATGACCTAAAGTGAATTTTTCACTTTACGGCACCTACATGTGTAGAATTGATAAGACTTTTTGGAATGAAATGTTAAAACTTTCCATTCGCCTTATGGTTTGGAATCATAGTTTTTTAACATTTAAAATACTGTCAGTGCATCTATTGTTGTCTATTTTAAACAAAAGGTGCATACGTTCAGAAATAATCCATCCACCCATCCATTTTATTAAGCTTATCAGAGGTCGGGTTGCAGGGGCAGCAGTCTAAGCTGGAATTCCCATCTTAGACTGGGACACAAGGCGTTCCCAGGCCAGCCGAGAGACTTAGTCTTCCTTAGGCCTCCTTCTGGTGGGACATGCCCAGGAGGTATGCAGAACAGATGCCCAAGCCACCTCAGCGACTCTACTCTGAGCTCCTCCCGTATGACTATGCTCCTCACCCCATCTCTAAGGGAGCGCCCAGCCACCCTGTGGTGGAAACTCATTTCGACCACTTGTATCTGTGATTCTGCCTCAAGTGGAGGAGTTCAATTATCTTGAAAATTATCATAATAGTCTAATGATTCTGTTAATGACAACAGAACAGTGTAGTTCCGTAAAGAGATACTAAAATTCCATGACTTTTCCAGGATTTCCATGACCATGGGAACCCTGCATATTACCTCCATCAAGTTCAAAGCGGTTGTTGCCACAGACTGGTATACATGTCAATCAGCTGTGGCTAGAGAATTACCTGTTATCATTGTCAAATATGGGATTGTGAAAATATAATGGAAAGGAATGGAAGCACTTTGAAAAGTCAGTTAGGCACCATACATTTCTGATTATTGTTCTCATGGTGAACTCTTGTTTTGTACATTTCATTTACAGGGAAATAATAATGAAGATTCAGCTAGTTCACCTTGACTGGTATAAGCGCACAGGGCGAAGCGTAGAGCATCTGTTCCACACTCGGGGATCCCACTTGGGTAGTCGGACTTCTGGCCCTGTTTCGCCTTCTCCACCTCCACTGGGTCCAGGTTACTGTCCGTCAGCTGGGCATGCAGACCCTGAAGAGCGAGACGAGTGACACCACAGCCAAATGTTATGTTATTTATTATTCAACTTTGAGTGTGGGTGGGAGATTGACAAAAAACTGTATCTTGACATTTTTTCAGCTTAAACATTTGCAAAGTCTTGGAGGAGATTCAAGCACTGAACAAATGGTGAATGGACGAGAAAACTCCAACACAAAATATCAACCAAAATATATTTCTCCTTAATTTGGAAGATTATATTTTACTGTTGGTTTTATCTAGGCTATAGACTGTATAAATGGACATACTGTAGCTAACCTGTCAGTCACTGTGTTCCAAATACGAAGTGACAATGGGTGTGCATCTGGCTCTATCAACTCTGGCTCCAATTCACTTTCTATTGAAAAATCATTGCCCCTCTTTCCTTAACTACTGCTGTCAGACTCCTCATTTTGGTCTTAACATGTTCGTAATAACCCACTCTACATCCTCCTGTAGTTTTATTTCACTGTTTTCGTTGTGTAACTCAATTCCTCTTCCTAATATGGAACTTGCTCCTATAACTGCCAGCCTCTGTGAGCTTCATTTGACTGGAACTGAGCACTATGGGTGACGTCACAGTCCCTTTCCCAAATTTTTTTCTGGGGACCCATATTTTAAAAGTCACAAACTTTTGCGACCCAAGTCAATAGACATGATTCATAAATCACTAAATAAAGATGGATTTGACCATTATTGAACATTAATAAGGATATTTTGTTGTTGACTGAGTGAACAATTAGTATTACTCAAGTTTTAAAACAATAATTGAACCAGCAAAAAAGGATCCATAAGTTGTCTATTTGGACATTAAATGTAGCCATTTTTTTTCTTTTCAAAATTCAATTGAACCAGCAATATTGGAACAAAATAGTCAATAAAATAATTACAAAAAGATTAGAAATTATTATTAGGGGTGTAACGATATCCAAGTCTCATGATACAATATCGTCACATTAAGAACCTCACAACACGATATTTATTGTGATATCGTGGGAAAGCTCACGATACGGTGGGGAGACTGACGATTAGGGATGTAACAATATCCAAATTTCTCGGTACGATATTTTCACAATATATATCTCATGGTATTATTGCAATATTTTGTGGTTAACAAAACTGTGAATAAGCTACTTTTTCCTCTTAAAATGCCTTGACAAGACTTAATCCAAAGAACTAAGACTTAAAAATGCTTAGAACTGTTATTTCTTCTTGTAATCTTCACTGAAATGGAGCAAAGGATCATGGTCTATATAGTTCCCTCTTGTTCTTTTTCTATTGCTGCACTATAACTCTTAATTTAAGCAAAGAGACTCATAATTCGATATATTGTGATGGTCCACGATATTATTGTGAGAACTCTGACGATACAATATCACAATATTTCGGTTATTGTTACACCGCTAGAAATTATACAAAACATGTCTTAACATTTCAGCATTTCTAACAAGACAGGTGGGTCTGTCTGCCTTTCTGTAGCGCGTTTCAGTTCGTGGTGCAGGAGGAGAGCGCAACAGCAGATCAGGCGTCTAGTCAGAACTGTATATTGCAGACCTACATGCGACAGGGTGACCCAAAAAAAAAAATCTCTTGTGGCCCACCTGAGTGTTATGAACTAGTCTTTAGGGAAACAAAGCCTTAGACCATTTCTTTATACAGTCTATTGTCTAGGCCAACTATTTGCAGCTTTAAAAATGCACAATGTAGCCCTGAAAATGTTACTGTTACAGGACGGTATTGAACTCATCTCCTTTGCAACAAGCAGTTAACGCCACCAGGTCAAGTTACAGGTCAGATCTGTGGAGAGCCGACCGGCCTTACTGTATGAATGATTTGTTTTTCAACGTTTTTAATCCCCTTAAACAAAACCCGTATAATTAAATAAATGATGATCTAACGTGATGATGTGGAACATTTGAGGCAAAGCAATAACATACTTCACAGCAACAATTTCTGATATTATGTTGGAGAGAAAGTATCTGCTGTCAAAAGTAGACAAGTTATTTTTTCCATTCAAATCACATTATGGGAAACTGTAATTTACTCCCAGACCTTTACTGCCCTCTTGTGGACATGTCACGCCTAATCTGCCTACGAGGCTTTAGACCAGCTGAAAATGGAGAGATTGATGGTCTCAATAAAATCTTGTTGGAGGAAAAGGAGGTTTAATAAAGCTTACATAAGAAAATGAGCCTGAGGGGAGCCATAAGGATGTAGTGACCAAATAATCCAAATGAGAGAGGACGGAGCAGGCTGTGTGTTGTCAGGCTTAAAATTGTGATTAGACGTTTTACCTCCAGAGAAATCCCCGTAATCACATCCAGGGGGTCGATAACGTTGCCCAGGGACTTGCTCATTTTCCGCCCATGTGCATCTCTCACCACGGCGTGCAAGTAAACCTACACAAAAGAGGGCGGTTTAGTCATGCGCAAAGGACAAGCCAACTGTTTTACTTTTATTTCAAAAGTGACTTGATATTTTGCAGTGACAGCATGCCGGGGGCGTTCTACATGTACGTCTGTGGTGGAATGTTCAGCGGTTACCATGGTGACACAATGCACACATTAACAAACACTGTCAAATGCAAAGTAGAAAAAACTGAGGCACTCAAAAAGTACAAAATAATTAAAAGCCTTTAATACCACATGGCAGATAAAGTAAAAAAAATTTGAGATTTTAGAGATTTAAATTAATATATGTAGGTCACATGTTCACCACAGTCCCCTGGTGCATGCTGGGACATGTAGGCTGAACAGATTTTAGTTACAAGCTATTTAAGTTCAACTACAATACAAGATATAAATAGTACAAATCTCAACAACCAATAAATAGAGAGATACATAATATAAAAATACATAGTATGAAGACCACTGAAGAGCACCAAAAGGACAATTCTGAACCATTTTTATATATCCAAGTAAAACTCCTGCCCCCAGAGTTTTGCTGACTGTCAAATACACTTTTAGATTGTCTGAGAACTCAAGAAAAAATGCAAAATTATTCTGACAGTAATTTAAAGTTTGAGAGACTTGTTTAAAAGTACAAATCATTTCACCCGTTGTAGTTTCAACTAAGTAAACGCTGGTCAGATTGTGCTAAAAAAAAGATCAAATTATAGTCTCCTCAGACAGAGCAGAGCCTGTAGTTAGTTTAACACCCCCAGGGAATGTTGATGCCATCAGCTGCAAAGTGTCAATTGGTGGTTTTCAGAGTCTCCAAGGTCATGACGTTATTCTCTCAGATGAGGGTGAAAGAGTAAGTTTTCCCTTTTGATGACATTGTACTTTCATAATAAATGTCCAAAAACTAAATGCACAAATGTTGAACCAGATCATTTCAATTTGTGGAAAGACCCAAAAACACACTGTATTACAAAAAAGGGATCTGATTAAATCTGAAACCCAGCAACAGAGGTTATACAGTTATAAAATTATTATAAATAAAAAATAGACAAGTGTGACCAAAACTTTCAGTAATTTCAGTTCAACATGTCCAAACCATGGCCAATTTTTCTTGGCTCTGAGGCTTCCAGGTGAATTGGTCCAAAGTACCTTGCATCAATTAAAAAATAAAGTTTTTACTCCAAGTTTTTTGAAAATCTACCTTGATAAAGCTAACATTTACTATTTAGTGTGTGGCTTTAAGAATCTCAGCATGAATAAAGGACTGATGACTCATTCTAACGAGTTAAACATGCACATATTTCAATTTTTCACTTTACAGAGCACCAGTCTACGGCCCTCGATCATCAGTCCTCTGCTTCGTCTGTGTTTAGATGAAATTAATGTTCAGATGAAAAAGGTTTGGACACCCATGATTTTGATTTCTTGCTGGTCACACACTTAAGAAATGGTGATTCCAAGACAATTACAGATTTTATTGTTGTTTCTCGCTGCTGATGTCTATAATTGTGAATAATCCTAAAATTTAGATGTTTCTTCTCACCATAATCACATACTCACAGTTGACATCCCGATCTGAATCATTGTTTTAAATTAACATTAGAGCTAAAGGGCTGGTAAAATGTCATAACAGATATTTGCCTTTTTTTCTGTGGATAGTAATTACAGAGTTCAAAATCTTCTCACACAAATTAGGGTGGTCCACGGCTCTCTTCAACCACAAATTGCTGTGACTTTTCGCCCAGACATTAACACAGCAAGTTTTTGAACAAGGAAACAATGTGGTAGATATTTTAGGATTTTACATTTTAAAATCTAGTCTTCTCTATTCAAAAGATAAACTAGACCAACACTGTTTTGAATAGTTCATTGCTATGGAAACAGTAATTTGGCATCACATGAAACCCATAGATGAGCCTTACCTCTTTGAAGGGGAGTTTGCCAGTGAGTTTCAGGCCCATCATCACCATCCGAGCGACCCAGAAAAACAAGATGTCGTGTCCCGTCTCCAGCAGCGTCCCGGGATAGAACACATTCAGGTCCTTTGTCTAAACGTCAAACAGACAAAGGAAATATAGAGCAAATAATGTAAGTTTTAGTTTAGACATTAATTGCATTATTACATGATACAATGATATAATAACTATAATAACATCTTAACAGCAAGGAAGCAATAAATCAATATACAATAACAGGTATTCAGGTATTCCAGTAGACATTTTATAGATTAAAGGCACAATGTAGCTTGCAGTGTCTGTAATGTCCCACAGTATGGCATTAAAGGGACAGCCTGGAATTTTGGACATAGGATCTCATTTCCTTGTGAGCCAGAGTGTTGGAGACGTGTGGAGACACTTTTTTTTTTTTAAATATTCCATCCAGTCCTTGTATTTGCAGAGGTCGCTGGTGCTAGACTAGTGCATGTCAATGGTCATAGTTATCCTGCCACTAAAAACAGTTTTACCCACTCCACAAAACACCCGAAGCAAAACTATTATTACACCAGACTGTCCATGTAAATGTCTGTGTCGATAGAAAAATAAAACTAACCTTGCATTGCATGAATCGTCGCATGTTGAGGAACTATTTTCTCATGTATCAGTACGCCGCTGCCAAACTCTCTATCAGGAAGTACAACTCACTGCTGCTCAGACATAAATCCTTCAAATGCAAGGTTGGTTTTACTTCTAGAATTATTCTATCAACACAGACATTCACATGGACAGTCTGGCGTAATAATAGTTTTGCTTCGGGTGTTTTGTGGAGTGGGTAAGACTGTTTTTAGTGGCAGGATAACTATGGCCATTGACTTACACTAGCCTAGCACCAGTGACCTCTGCAAATACAAGGACTGGATGGAATATTTAAAAAAGTGTCTCCACACGTCTCCAACACTCTTTCTTCAACTCAACACGTCTTCAACTCCCTTTCAATGTACTTTGCATTTATTCAGTTGCAGAAGAATCCATGGAAGGGAGTTTAATGTGAAACAGTGGAACATTCAAGGCAAAACAAAAACATCTCCATGAAGATAAGCAGCTGCATAGTGCCTCTTTAACACTGGTGTAATGTTTAAATTATATGCTAATTATCTTTTTATTTAACAAGTCTTAAGAAAAACCTATATATTCACTCAAATTACTTTAGCTTTGTAAATAAGAAATAAGTCATTTACAAAGTATTCAGCTGCAAATGTGCCACAGCGACTATTAAAAATGCATTAAAATGATCTTCTATGACCAGTTGGAATATTCATTTATGCAAATACAAGGGCAGGCTGTCCTTAGACTCATTTTACCTCGTTAGGCCATCCGAAGATCGAGAAAGGAAAAATACCAGAGGAGAACCAAGTGTCCAGGACATCCTCATCTGAAATACAGGTCAGAAACAGTAATTATAATAAAACAAAAGGAGGTATTCAACACTGACCTATTATCTTGTATTTAAAATTGTACCTTGTCTAAGTGTGATTTTGTCAGCTGTCACGTTGAAGCGTTTAGCAGCCTTCTCCCTGGCCTCTTCTTCAGTTCTCCCACTCACCCAGTAATGACCGTCCATGTCCTGGCATTGACAGAAAAATGTATTGTTTTAATAATAATAGTCATTTATTTTATTTGATGGCTCCTTTCAAGGGACCCAAGGACAATAAACGCAATTAAAACAGCAGCACAGAATGACAACTATTTAAAAGAACAGTAAGAATGTACCTGATTTTTACTGTATACTCAAACTAGTTCATTTTAAACAGTTTGCAGTGGTCTAAGTTATTCCTTATACATCCTGAAATTCCAAAAGATTAATTGCAATGAGTTTACAAAAGCTTTTCACAATTCGCAGAGACCAGAGGGGAGTTTATCGGACAATAAAGCACTTTATAATTAGATGCAGACAGCACGCAGAGGATTTATATCGACAATCTTCAGCTGCTTATGCATTAAATCTGTACTGAGGCAGATTTTGCACAAATATAGGAGAAGTTAACAAAAACAATAATGCATAGGATTGAAGAAATGGTAGTTAGAGTATGGTTAAAGAGAATAAGCAATGTTGTATGCATTAAAATACAGGAACAAAATGCAAACAAAAAGACAAGACTGATGTATCACTAACTGCTTTGCCGTTATGTTGAAGTGTCTCACCTCTCCTGGTTTTACAGAAGGGTCGCTGACAGTCACAAAGTAAGCAGGGATTCTGTGACCCCACCACAGCTGTCGAGAGATGCACCAGTCTCTAAAGGAGGAAAGGGACATATGCTTAAAAGTTACATTCACAACTAGGCACAAAACATAGAAAATATAAAGTAGGGATGCAACAATACAGTTTTCTGACAATTTGATATGCGGCTTGATACATCATCATGGCGTCAATACAATTTAGATTTGTTTTAGGCCTAAAAAAAAAAGAATGATTCCTTCACTATTCTTGTGGTAATTTTAAAAAAAGCGTAACACATGTATTGTATTGCTGATAGGGGTGTAGTAGGTTCATGTATTTATGCCGAACCGGTTCCGTACGGGACGTTCGGTTCGGTGCAGGGCTGTGCACAAGTGAGACTTGCATAATTTGTGTATGTTTACATTCTGCCGCTATGTGCAGCTACACAGAAGGCTCAGCTCTTTAATATACATGGGGGAACTTGTCCGTGATTGGGGCGGGAGTGTTTCCTCCATTGCTTTATAGTTAGGGCAGCAGCCTTGACAACAATTGCCCCTGCCTTGACTACATCCCTCCGAACCACGTGGATCCTCGCAAAATTACACCTTTCGGTGGCACGGAATCTCCGGCCCCGCCCCCTCCCCTGCCAGCTGATCTTCAATTATGGCACACAATGCGGACAAGTTGTTTTTTCTGGCCAAAAATACGAAGACCGAGTAAAACTTCATGTTGGAACTGTTGCGCTGCACTTTACTTTTTGAAAAGCTTTGTTTACCGTTTACAAGAAATTCATTTTTTTATAATATTTCAAACATTTGTTGTTTATTTGAGAATATTTTATTTTACTTATTAGTATTACCAAGCAGAACTTTGCATTAAATTTTATTTTCCCGCTTGTATAATGTTAAATGTGTGTGTTTAATAAACACACAAATATACTGTACCGAAAATTAACCAAACCATGACCTCAAAACCAAGGTATGTAACGAACCATGATTTCTTTTTACCGTTACACCCCTAATTGTTGACATATACTTTTTTTTATATATTCTTTATGCTTACAACCTGTAAAAACTCACTATTGAGGATATTATCAAAAAGTATTAAAAAGATTCAAAATAAAAGTTGGAAAAATTATAATTCTAAACATGAAACATTGCTCTGGGATATTACAAGAATTATATAACTAATGCATGCAACACAATAGTTCAGTCAAGTATTTATTTATTATCTACTGTCACGTACGAGTACTTGTAAAAAACTTAATAGATGCCAAGTGGTTTTCACAATTTTCTCATTAAAATAAAATGTAATATGAAAAAATGAATGAATAAAGTTACCTGATATTGTCCATCCAGCTGAACCAGGTCTTGATGTGGTGATCGGGGATGATTTTGAGCTGTCCTTCTCTCACAACGTCTGCAGCCTGTTTCCCCATGTCTGCACAGTTCACGTACCACTGCGGCTTCAGAAGAGGCTCCACGATGTCTTTGGATCGACTAAAACACACAGAAAATAAATGAAAAAGGCCTAAATTTATAACCTACGTACTTGTGCTACTGTGTCTTTAAATGCTATGCACCTGCAGACTGGGACCACCATAGGGTTGTCTTTGATTTCCTTAAATTGACCCCTGTCCTTCAAAGCCTCGAGGACAGTCTTCCTGGCTTCAAAGCGTTTCATCCCCTGTGGAAATAGAAGACAAATAAAAATACCAAAAAAAACTTTCAATCATTTCCTAGTAATGTTTTCGTATCAGAGGAAGTGTCTGTAATAAATTGCACAGTGAAATAAACATATATTTCTGTATCAAAACATTATGTAGCATTATATTTAGATGAACAGACAGAACAGAGAGAACGCTCTGAGGAAAGGATGTAAAAATAACCTTGACAACATTATATCACAATATTAAAAGTTGTAAAGGTTCTCTAAGAAACTTTTGGTGGAGGGTTTTTCATCTGGCTTGTTTCCATAGTTTGGCTTGCCTAGAATGTTCAACAGTAAGACATTAATTAGCATAATCAAGGTCAAAGCCAGACTGCAGAACATTACGCAAAGCAATAACATCTCCATGCAGACAAACAGGTGGTGGACCTTCCTCCAAAAAAGTTACAAGGTGTACTTTTAAATACCATGGATTTTAGCAATACATTCAACTGTAAGCTACCTCTTGCAAATGCAATGTTTTGTTACATCAGCATATTAAAAAAATAAATATAGCCAACATGAAAAAATTACTGACAGCAAAAAGGTATTTTTAAACAAATGTAGTACCGTATTTTTTGGACTACAAGTCGCACCAGCCAAAAAATGCATAATGAAGAAATGAACATAATTTGCACTTTTTGGGGGAAACATTCTATAAAATCAGAAACTAGGAACCGACATTTCATCTTGAAAGGCAAGCAACAGGCCGTTAACGTCACATATGAACAGTTCTTCAGATAACTATAGCATAAACAACAGAACACAACAAGTTTACCAAACTCCCCATCTCACTCCAAATCACTAAATCCATTCAATTTTTCCATCCTCTGTGTCACTTCTGTGTGGCCTCCAGAGGTAAAAGGAGCACCACTTTCTCTTCTGTGTAGCTGTCGTCAGACTCGGCATCAGTTCCAGTTAGTATTATTCCGGCCTTTCTGAATCCCGACAAGATGGTTTCGGTTGTCTCTGAAGTCCAGACTTTGTCGCTCCATCCAGTGACTTCCAGGAAAGTTGACCTGTGCACTCTCCCCGTGTCACAAGTTTCTCACTCACTCCAAACTTTATTTCTGCTGTTAGATTACTGTTTTCAGCTGAATATTTCACTACTTGCAGCTTGTAAATTGCAAAATATGATTTTATTTATGGGGTATTTGTGTTCAGTCTTCTCAGTTTTCTTTATAAGTTTGTTAAATTTTCAGTGGTACAGAAGTAAGTCGACTGACATGATACAGACAGAACAGAGGCTCTTTCTGCAGAAGACATGCGCAGTAGAGCCAAATGACAGTGGTACAGGAGGAACAGGAGCAGCAGATACTCACACATAAGACTAGAGCGCCCTGTCGCGGCTGTCAGTGTGAAAACTTTAATATATAAGTCACACTGGAGTATAAGTTGCAGGACCACAGAAACCATGACCAAAAGTGTGACTTACAGTCCAAAAAATACGGTACTCATATGTTAACTTTGATGACCAGAGAGCAATATTGGCCTATTAATACTTTGTAGCTGATGCCAATAAAGGCTTGTATCAAATATTGCACTGTGAGACTTGGGTATCGTTACAATAAGATGACCACAGAGGGTGTAGTGAAAGACAGTGTTAGAAGAGACAAGCTGAGGAAAAGGTCAGATGGTAATTTGCAGAAAGGACCAAAAGCGGCAGCCAAAAGTTTGACATTGCCAGAGAAAGCCGCGCAGTCTGGCTAGAATGATAATGAGCTGAACACTGTACCAGGAAGGGAGGGGGCACGTTGATAAGGAGCCCGTTCTCATCCAAAATGTTGATGAAGGCCAGATTGTGCCTCACTCCAACCTCGTAGTCGTTATGGTCGTGAGCTGGAGTGATTTTGACAGCACCTAAACACCGGAGACACGGCGAAGGAGCAATTATATAGATGAAAATGGCAGATCAAATGACAGGTTACATTTCTCATTTCACTAGAACAGTAAAAACAGTAAAAATCAGGTCCAGCTCCTTTTAAGCATCTTTAAACTACACTTAACATTTAAACTAGCTAACTAACTAGTGTTTTTCATGTTAACAGATACGGTATACACTCCTGAGCATCCTATTTATTCTCTGCAATGATTTTATGAAGTGTTTTTCACTGCTTTCTGAGCCCAGATCTGAGTTTTGCTGCCACAGTAAATCTAACAACAACATCCAGCGTTCTAACATCGCACTTACCGATTCTGAGAATAAAACACACATAATTAGACGGGACTGCTGTGAGCTGTCTGCATTTCAACCTCAAAAGCTGCTTACAATATATCTGTACTGTATTCTGTTAAATGGATGTTTGAAATGTCTTTCTTGCTTGTAAATTGTCCCTGCATTTTGTAAGGAATTTTCTGTGTTGATGACAGACAGTAGATAGAGGGATTATGTTTTAGAACTCACTGCTTCTTCTTGTATTTTTGGACTTTCCTTCAACTTTTTTTTCCCCACAAACCTAACTGATGTAAAACTAGAGCTGAGTATCATTAAGAAGTTGCCGATATGATACATATCTCGATACACTATACGGTTCAATAAAAAATAAAGGCAACATCATGGTTGTGATACTAAAAGTCTTTGTTAAACCACTTTTTGTGCAGTTACGTTAATATGAAACACAAACATTTTAATCCCCAAAACAGTGAAAATGTCAAATGTGTTGCAAAAATTAGTTTCCTTCTTCTAAACCAGGGGTGTCAAACTCAAATTCACAGAGGGCAAAAATTTAAAACTGGGACTAAGTCGTGGGCCAACTCAAAATATTTATTGAAAAATTTCAACAATATCTGCGTGTTTTGCTTCTTTCGAGATATGTAATGTTAAAATGAAAATAAATATTTAATAATAGTTTTGCTTAAACATTTGAATCCAGAACAAGCATAATATAAAATAACAAATTTATTTAATAAATAATGTCTCTATAGCCTATCTGAAGCAAGTGGCCCACCTCTAATACATATTTGATTTGATCTCGCAGGCCGTATATAATTATATCGTGGGCCAAATTTGGCCCCCGGGCCTGAGTTTGACATGTCTGCTCTAAACAAACTGTGGCGCTGTAACAAAATAATTTAGTAAAATATACCAAATAATACTCTTGGCTGAACTTTGACTCCAACCACTAACCTGTTCCGAAGTTCATGTCTACAAAGTCGTCAAACACGATTGGCATCTTGCGGTCGCAGAATGGATGGAGGACGACTTTGCCTTTCAGGTGCTGGTACCTGGGGTCATCCGGGTGCACAGCCACAGCGGTATCTCCAAGCATGGTCTCAATACGAGTAGTGGCAACAATCACCTCCTCGTCTGGAATGGAAGAAATGATAAATAATAATGAATGTTTGGCAAAAAAGTGCGTTTTAATGAAAGATTCTGCAACCACTCCAAAAATATAATTTATAAATTAGGACAAAAGATGAAAATGAGGAAAATAACAGTGGTGAAAAACAATTCATTCTTTCTAAAACAAGTTTGTTTTAAAACCTCATTTTGTCACACAGTTGAGGTGTTAAACTATTACCCCATTATTATGTACATAATGTATAATGTAATAAATAGTAGAGTTGGTGTATTCCCCCATTTGTTCTTCAGGTAGTTATCCGTTTTTGAAATTTAATATACAGCATAATAAAATACAAGAATGGGTGCAAAATTGAATGTTTAGAAAATGGAGAATTTACCATAAACTTAAATCATTTGTAAATGCTGTTAAATTATATTATTTTTGTGCTGGTACCAATTTTCTTCTCCATGAGTCATGTACTAAAATCCATTCCAAGATTAACTTTGGTTAGGAATATTTTTGTAATAATTTTGCTGTGGGTAAAACTCATCATAGGGTTTTCATTTCATACAGAAATTGAATTGTAAATATTGATACTGGGTTTTTGTACTGTACCTGATCCCTCAATTTTGTAGGCGAAAGACACGAGAACTCCAAACTCCACCTTCTCCTTGTACCCGGGCACAGGCAGCAGCGTTCTGCCAGTCAGCTCCTTCTTATCCACCTACACAAGAAAAACAAATATCAGTACATCACGTCACTAAAATCACTTTATTAAAAACAGACTTTGTAATGGCAAAAGGAGTATCAAGTTACATTGTGTATGCTCTGTCAAGTTCGGAGGAAAACAATAAGTTATATAGCTTAAATAAATTCTATATCCTTTCACATCAAAACCAACTTCATAAAATATTTGTCCTTTCAAGAAACACAGACTAGATTAAGACTTAATCTGGATGGAACCAGGTCTAAAATGAGATGAAATTATCTTAAACCCAGAGTATAGTAGGATAAAATAGAATAAAACTGCGTAAGTAATTGAAACAAAAAGCTTGAATTGCATATGACCGTGAGTACCCCCAATGAAATAAACCTCAGTATAGAGCAAATAAGACTGCAGCCATTACCTGCTTGCTATTGGCTAATATTAAAGTGGGGCATTTTGAGTTTAAATATAATAAAACTGTCACTTGCCTCAATGTCTGAGATGGCAGAGTTGAGCGTACAGGACCAGTTGACCAGCCTCTTGCTCCTGTAGATCACTCCCTCTTCATGCATGCGGATAAATGCCTCTTGGACAGCATAGGACAGTTTCTGAACAAAAACAAAACAAATGAAATGAATTCTTAAAAATGTATTTACCGTACTTAAACTAACACAAATTTAGATTCATGTGACACTTACAGGGTCCATTGTGAAGCAGGCTCTGTCCCAATCCAACGAAGACCCCAGTTTCTTCAGCTGGTGGTAGATCCGGTCTCCCTTCCTGAAACATTACCCTCATGTCAAATGTGCTTTTTCATCGACGTATTATCCATTATATTTTATTATGATTATTGTTCCATAGGTTATCTAATATACAACAATACAAAGTGCTTTAAATTCAGAACAAGTCAAAAGATTAAAATAAAAGACAATAAAAAGTAAATAAACAACGATAAACAAAAAAATAAAAATACCCCCAAAAAAGAAAAGAGAGAGGCCAACTGTTAACTGTTCAAATAGTTATGTCTAAAGGCCGCCACACACTGCAGGATTTTTAAACGAGTGACAAAAAGCACACACCAGACAACAGAGACACGAGGAGAATCTCATGAGACTTAAAATCTCCCATCGCAAAGACCAAAGCAGGACATATCTGCGGCCCACAGGCTATAAAGTTGTGAGCGCAATCGCGTCAGCTGTTTTCTGTCTACCGTAAAACCACTCACTTTGAGACTCTTAAGGGCTCAAAAGATCAGAGTTCTGCACGTCTAGTTTAGATATAAGTCAAATCCGAGTTATTATTATTGTGGTGCAATAGTTCAAATTTGTGATTCTTAATGCACAGAAGACTGGTTTTAAAATACACAGGAATTAAAGTCTCAATCGCTGATCTGCAGCTTCACCTCGATCCGTGCACTGTGTTGATGAAAACAGATACACGTGAGGAACTTCTCTCGCCTTTTTGATTAATAGTGCTGTTTTGTGGACTGGAGTCATTATTTGCGGAGGACAAATTTTATGGGTAGTGTGGATGAGACGTTGCAGTTTAAATTTACAGCTTTAGGAGAGGTGAGGAATAGTTAATTTTGCTATTTCCTGAGTTTGTATTTTGCATCTGTGTGTCACTCCTCTGCCTCTGACGCTCTGTTTTATTGGCTGTTATCGTCGCTTTGCTGATGTTTGGTGGTTATGATCTGACAAAGCAGCTCAGACACACACCACACACGAGGAGCGCAGCGCCTTCAAAATTGCACACAAAGACAAAAAGTCAGGTCACGCCTCCCTGAACTCGGGGAGAAGCAACTCACAGCCAAAATTGGGCAATTTCTCCTGTAGTGTGACGCTTCCTTATGTTAAAATGTTACTGTTTTGTCACTATTACCCTGATGCCTTCTTGCGCTGGTTAAACAAACTGATAAATTAAGAGAAATAAATAATGGACTAATAACAGACACTCCTTAGAGTCAACTAGAGCTTGTTAAGTTTTACTGTAGTTAGCTCCTCTGTTCAAACAAACATAAGGCAGTGATTTAAAATACACCGTCAGAACTGGAGAAGAAACTTTGTTGAGTGGGGAAACATATTCACTCTTAAAATGAAAATATTGAACTATGTCCACAAGACCAAATATTTTACAATTAGATTTAAAACATCCTATAACATAGCTTGTAACATAGCTCTGTTTTACTCACTCGTTCTTCCACTTCCAGACTTCCTGGATGAAGTTTTCCCTGCCCAGGTCGTGGCGGCTCATCCCTCTCTCCCTCATGAGCTTCTTCTCCACCACCACCTGCGTCGCGATGCCGGCGTGATCACAGCCCGGGTTCCACAGGGTCGTCTCGCCTTTCATTCTGTGCCTAAACAAAACAAAACAACACATCATTTAAAGGAGTACTGTGTAATTGCTCTAGTGGAGACATCTCTGTGCTTTGCCCAGAATGTCCCACAGCACGCCATTAAACGCATCTAAGACCAGGAAGACAAGCAGATGACAGCACCAGGCCAAGTTACAGGATAGATCTGTGAAGAGGCAACCCCACTCACAGTAAGAATATGATTTTCAAGGTATTTCTGAAGAATAAAAACATCCATATTTGAATAAATTCTAAATAAATAGGTTTAATGCTAGACTCCATGGAAACAAGCAGGTAATTTGGCCCTACCCCATAAAAATGATAGTGCACTTAATAATAAAACAAATAAAAATAGCAAGATACGAAAGTAAGAAGAAGCTTTGTTTTAATGTTAACTGTAGAAAATTGTGTGTAGTTGTTTAGTTGTATCACTCCTATCACCAATCAAGGAACTATAAAAATCATTTGCATATTTACACGTTTCCAGTTTGTGCAAATATTCTTCATTTTTAAATAAACAGAAATAAAATAGATCAACTAGAAACTATAAAAAGTACCATCTGGTGAGACAGTCCTGGATGGCGTTTGTCAGAGCGTGGCCCAGGTGAAGAGATCCGGTCACATTTGGCGGAGGGATACACATCATGAATATACCACGAGGGTTTGGCTCAGAAATATCCTTCCTCTGCAGAAGAAACGGATCAAACACAACTCAAAATTTGTGTACATCAAACTGTAACTTTCCATTTAGGGAGTAATTTTCATACCCCATATTCTGGTTTGAAGAATCCCTGCTTCTCCCACCACGGATACCAGGCGGCTTCCACGTACTGCGGGCTGTAAGAGTCTGGCAGTGCGCTGACGACATCTAAAAATGAGAAAACAAGAAAGAAAGTTTGCAGTTGTTTAATGAACTAGTAATTTCTCAGCAACCAGATCTGTGCTGTACTTAAGTTAGTATCTCTAATGACTCATAAAAGTTACCGCATTTTCTGCACTGTACGGCGCACTTAAAAGCCTTTAATTTGATCAAAAAACTACTGACTTTATAATCCAGAGCGCCTTATATATGAATCTATTCGGGTGTTTTAGTACGACTTTAAACTACAAAGCCATATCACTTGCAGCATTATGGCTACCATAGTCAGGAGCATCGCGGAGTAATACATACTGTGATTCCTTTTAATATCAAAATGCACCTGTCAAGAGACACGCTCACAACGCCGACTTTAAACTCAAGACTGTTATAAAGTGAAAGTGCGAGCTGCGTGGGACCAGTGGATGAGAGGAGAACACACATTCACCAAGACAGGGAGACAGCGCCGAGCGACTTCTGCCACGATCTGCCAACAGATCGTGGACGCCTGGGCTAAGGATCAGTATCAACTGTGGTCAGAGCTTTCACCAAAACCGGAATCATCACTGAACTGCTGAGAGTAACTGAGAGTTACTGTGAACGCGTTAAATAAAGTTTGACTGAATTATGGAAGTGTTTCGTTTAATGCACCTTATAGTCCGGTGTGGTTTATATGTGAAAAAAGTTTGAAAATAGACCATTCAATGACAGTGCACCTTTTAATCCCGAGCGCCTAATAGTGCGGAAAATACGGTACTATTACTTCTACTTTTAAAATATTATTGTACACAACCAAAAAAAGAATACCATTAAGTGAAAAAGAAAATGTAAACATGGTAAATATTGAGCCTAAAAAACACAAGTCAATATATTAAAAATTATTATGACTGACTGGGACCTCTTGTGTCAATTTATATATTCAGCTAGTTCTGGGTATCCAATGACCAGATGGTTTATTGTAGAAGAATAAAAAAACAATCATACCTGGGGATCTGTTTTATCTTTTTATAACAATTTTTTAACAATTTTTTCCTTTGGATCCAGCACACAGGCACAACTTTTATCAGATGCCTGTCTCTGTCTACCAGATGGTTTATTGTCTCATTGAACTTTCCAGAGTGTGCATAGTCATAGTGGCCATATGTTTTGTTCTTTGGGGTTTTAAAGTTGGTATTACCATGTAATAATGTTACCTTTTTTCTCTCCAGGCTGAGTAGGGACAGTGTAAGTGATCACCCCTATTTCTTTCTTCTCAGGTTTGGCCTTTTTCTGAAGAACAAAATAAGACAAAAATGTTTGAAAAATGCATAATACACTTCTTTTTTTTTTAAACCAGTGGAGTGGCTCTACCTCTGACGCGGGCTGGGTCTTCTTCTTGGCCTCCATTTCTTTTTTCTGTTGGAACTTTGCCAATTTTTCAAGTTTTTTAGCCTCCTTCTTCAGCTGAGCCTCTGTCTTTGGTGGTCCTGCAAGAACATCATTTCAACAAGTCAGTTTTCCGCTGCAAGGTTTTGAAAGGAATTACAACACATTATGCTTCAATTTACAAGCACAATAACCAACAATAACACGCTTTATTTTGTGGAGGCTAGATAAACACTATGGGACTATGGTCAGATTGCGTAGGAGCGTCTTTAAATATGGATCTTTTTCGTGTCGAGGGTGCGCTACCTGCTTGTTTCGATGGAGATGTTTTTTGCTTTTCCTGGTACATACAATAGTATATAATGTTTATTTTGATACGATCATAAACGATAACCTTCTGTGCCTTCTTTGTCATTATTATTGGTTTGTACGAACATAATACAGCACAATACAGGAAAAATGAAAGAAATTGGATTTAAATTATATTAAGTATGCATAGTATGTCATTTATTTTGCAATTTATTTATGTAAATATTTGTAAAGTTTCATCATAAATGTACAGCAACCACATAATTTTTTATTTTTTTTTAAACTATGTAATGAACAGGGGTGGGTTAATGTAAGTTTTTTTTCTTCTTTGGACTCCTTTTCGAGAAATGTGCTTTCCTGTTGTTTACAATGTATATGTAGTATGTATATGATTATTGTTTCTCTCTTGGCACAAACTCGAAATAAAAACAAAATATTGTAAAGGTATTCAAGATAAATGTAAGACAGACAAGTTTATGGGATGAAAATGTGTGACACCCGATGTGAAGCAATAGCATGTCCATGGAAACAAGCAGGTAGTAGACATGTTACACCTTTACTCTAATTCTTCTCTCCCCCTGAAGGGTATGACCTTTTTAAAAATGTTATTATAATTATCCTCACCATTGGTTGCATCTCCAGCAGTGTCTCCAGCAGGATGAGCATTAGCCGCATTTGCATTGACTGCAGTGCTTGTCTTGAGTGTGACAGGAACCATCTTCTCACACAGAGTGATCTTTCCCAAAACCTTCACAAACTGAGGCTGGTTTATGCAGGTCGTGAACCACCTCGTCACATTGGTCAAAACTTTACGATCTTGCGGCTCCAGCACCTGAAAACAAAAGCAGCAGGACCAGACATAAATAAAGAAATACATAAATACTGCAGGTAACAAGGGCAACTAATGATTATTTTAGTAGTCGACTAGTCAGCAGTTACTTTCAAACATTACTTACATATTTAAATGGTAGAAGAACAGCACAGGCCACTGCCATATCAGCCAAAGTGATGCCCTCTCCCACCAAATAGGTTTTAGGCTCCAGAGCTTGGTTCAGCATTTTCAGAACACGCAACAACTCTGCACGGGAACTCTGCTGCAGCTAAGGAGTGATTAAGAAAAACTCAGCAAAGGTACTTAACAGTGAATTACATTAATATAAATTAATAATAAAAATATGTATACATTTATTTCAACACAATTTGTAATATGTTTTTCACTTTCAGATGGACACAGTAGCTTAAGCACTGACTTATTTGTTATATCTATTAGGGATGTAACGATATCCAAATCTCTCGGTACGACATTATTACAATATGCATCACACGGTACGATATTTATTGCGATATTTTGGACTGGCTCATATAATTGTAGATAGGGCCCTTTTTTGCTTTTAAAATACCCTGACAAGATTTTGGTGTGAATTATTTCTGTCATAATCCCAAGAATTCAAGTAAAAAACATAATTTCATGTTGTCTCTGCTGATATGAATTATGGGACTTGTAGTTTCCAATGTTTATTAGCTACTGCAGCTGTAAAACAATGCATTTAAGCAAAGGAACTTTTGATTCGAAATATTGTGACACCCCACGATATTACTGTAAGACATTTGACAATATAATGATCACAATATTTCGGCTATTGTTACATCCGTAATATCTATATCATACCTCTAAAGAGCATGCATAGTAGTGGATAACAGTAAAAAACGTATTTAACTTATTCATAAAAACTTAATTTAGATCATTTTTAATACCAAACCCTTTATCATCTAGGCATGTTTCACTTACAGGTAGATGATATATTTAAGTTAATTGAAAACAAGCTGTTATATGTTAGTTTAACATATAACTCCAGGTAGTTTGAACTCAAGTCAAAACATAACATCAGCTTACGGACCAAAGTTCCTTCAGAATAGATAAAGTCTCAGATATGCGGCAAAACCATGACCACACATGACTTTTTTTATGATATTGTACCATCTTTCTCACCTTCTTATCCATCCCCATAACACCGAGGAGAGGGAAGACCACTGCACAAGCAACAGGAGTCAGCTCATTGTCTGCAAAGCTGAGCCACTGCCACACCAGGCTCTGCTGTTTCCCGTCTCCACCGACACATTTGCTCTGAGAAGCCAAGTACCAGGCTACCGCGTTGGACCCATTCAGAACCGTGGAGCCCTCAGCCGGACTCAGGACCAGGGCTGGTCTAGAGTGGGCATTTACAGAGGCAGGCGGGTCCTCTGTGACAACGCGAGGTTTGGCAGATGGACAGAACTCTGCAGCTATGAGGGCGAGAAGACTGCGGAAGTCTTCAGGGTGAGTTGAAACATAAAGCGTAGCCATCCCTGAAGAGACAAAAGCATAAAGAGTAATTTACAGTGAGTACATTTATTTTACAGCCAATAAAAATAAATATGATAAACCAATATGTGATTTTTGAACTGTGTTTACTTGCACAAAATAAATCACATTATCAAAACGCTTGGTGATATTTATCACTATTGTACTAGAAAGACAAAGACGAATGAGTTTCAATATGACACTTCCCATTTTCACAATTTCACTTTCATTTTTGTCTTTGGGCTCTTAGTCTACCCTTGTCTAGTCTATCAGAAAGAAATAAGACACCACACACAAGATGGGACTCTTCACATATCATTTCAATAATTTCTAAACAGATATGCACACAATTTTACATGGTCTGGCGCCTGTTCCACTACAAGAATTGTTAAAAGAATCAGAACCGATCAACAAGAGCAAGCTCCAGAGGTGATTGTATAATACTATCAAAGTAAAGTGCCTGTATTCTCTTTCCCAGGGTATCCCCAGGTTTGACTACCCCAAATTTAAGACTTTTTAAGACCTTTGCTCACACTCCAAATTGGGCAATTTCATGTTTTTTTTTTTCTTCCTCACTCCATTTAACATTGCTCTGGAGCTCTGTTGAGTATACAGAAAAATAGGCTAATGAAATTTAAGACCTTGTCAAAAAATAAGACTGGGGGAACATAATTTAAGACTTTTTAAGGCCTTAATTTAGGAACATGAAATTTAAGACCTTTTTAAGACTTTTAAGACCCCACAGCTACCCTGCTTTCCATGCCTTTCAAAGCTGGAACACCATCCCAGCGACTGTACGTGAGTTGCCTACACTCAGCTCCTTCTCTCTGCTCAACTTAAATCATGGCTATTGGACAATCAGATCTGTCCACACAACTAAACTTAAACAGCACCTTTTGCAAATGAGCCAGGGACTGCAATCAGATTTGAATATAAATCTGTAAATAGACGTTAAAGCTGTACAGGTGTAAGTGATGAGAGTGTATGTCTGACCTGTACATTTTAATTCTGAAGTCGGATGAGTGTGTTTTACTGTGTATGAGTGAGAGATGTATGTGGGAGCGGGTATTTTAGGCTTTTGTCATGTTCAGGGTATCCCCAGGTTTGACTACCCTAAATTTAAGACTTTTTTAAGACCTTTTTAAGACCACTTAAATAAAAATTAAGACCAACATCGCGCCCATTATGCGGGCGAAAAACACCAGATCCAGTTCTAATAAAGACCAACCAACTACGGTACTTTATCTAGAATCTAAGAGCCTCTGTGGATTAAACCTACACTTCCCCATGATCCATCCAGCGTCTTCCTCCACTATATTGATTGTTTATTCATTGCCGCCGGCGCCAGAAACCAAAGTATTGTTTGCGTGAACTCCAAATTAGATGTCCATTCACATTACATTTAACGTTGTTTTTTTTTCCTCCCTCCATTTAATATTGCACTGCAGCCCGGTTGAGTTTACAAAAACATAGGCTAATGAAATTTAAGACCTTTGTGAAAAAAATAAGATTTGGACAACATAAATTTAACACTTTTAAGGCCTTAATTTAGGAACATGGAATTTAAGACATTTTTAAGACTTTTAAGACCCTGTGGCTACCCTGATGTTTCATGAATTGTACGGGTGATGTGGCTGAACTTGGTCAAGCTGGGGACTAAAGATGGAAATTAGCTTTGGCTACAATCCTGAATATTTGCAACTACATGTTTGTCTCTTACATTATCTTGTCTTTTAATATGCATTGCCCCTTTAATAAATAAATAAATACAAATACAGATAAGTCTAATGATCACATTTTTGTGTGCATGTAAACATAGGCTGTCCTGTTGAGACTAGAACCATTTTAAAAGGGTCGCCCATCTTTATATGTATGTTATATTAATTCAGCAAGCCTTTTTATGTTGGTTTGTAAAGAGTAGGCCTTAAAGTATCAATATATAATACAAATATAGCCAGTTTTAGACTCATTATGATTAACCAACATGGTCCTAACCTTGATGCTATTTAAATTTTCTTGTTTCCTGTTGAAGGAACAAGCCCAAAGCTTAAACTTGGATATGAAATAGTATCATTTAACATTCCTGCTTGTAATAGAAGCTTGTTAAACGGGTTTTATGTTTTTGTTGCTATTTGGATTTAAGGGAGTTACAGCCATGAGTGAACACAGGTTATAGTCCAGTTCGTTTCTATCTAAAAAGCTGTTTTAATTCCAATATAGCACTTTCTCAAATGTAAAATGTGTCAGACTGATAAACCGGGTTTAGCCACCTGTCAAGAAGAAGGGGCAACTCCACCAAGCTACTTTACTTTAGCCTTTGCTGCAAATCTCATCAAGTCAAGTTTGTGCGAGTCCAGCGAAGTGAAGAAATGTGAACTTTACTCCGCTTAAACTGCCGTGTTAGTTATGGTTTTATCGGTGCAATGACTTTATAATAATGGGAAAGAGAAGCACGTACCTTTGAATGAACTCGAGCCCCGTCAGCTTTAGCAGAGCCGCACGCTGCCACATGAGCCCGAGCCCCGCCTCCTCCTCCGTCTGATGCAATAAAAACTTCCGGGTCTGAAGAGGCGTTTCCGTTTTTCAGAAAATGATGCAAAATAACTCTAAATATTAATTACTTTATTTACAATTAAATAACCTAATAATAAATTATCACTACTGTTAATTAGTCTAAATAATCGTTATATTATAAGATTATTCTCGTGATTTTAAATTTTTTCAAATATAATTTATTCACTACCCTTTGCATAGGTCAGTTTACTCAATAGACCCTTTCAGAACTTATGTCATCAGAATGTTCAAAATTCTGTAATGGAGGCAAGTGGAGGCAAAATGACAATGTTTAACTGACAAGCTGATCTAAATGTTAATGGTTTTATGACATTATAACAAAAAATAAGCAACTATTTTGAATTTCCAAGCTACAAATCTTATTTATTTTGCTTCTCTGTTAAGAAGGATGAAAAGAAAATAGTTTTCTAAATTCAAAATAGTATTTGGACTTCACAAAAAGTATAATTTATGATGAAATGTGTAATATATCTACATATATAGACCAGGCATGTCAAAACTATGGTCCGGGGGCCAAATGCGGCCCTCAGACTTCCAGGTGAATTGGCCCAAATTACCTTTCATCAATTAAAAAATATTTTTTACTGCAAGTTTTTTTGAAAATCTAAATTGATAAAGCTGATATTTCATATTTACTGTGTGGTTTTAAGGATCTTAGCATGAATTAAGACTGACAGTTCATTCTAACGTGTTAAACATGCACACATTTCAATTAATCCCTGTACTGAGCATCAGTCTACGGCCTTTGAATGGCCCTCTGCTTTGTCTGTGTTTAGATCTGTGGCCTTTGATGAGAAAAGTTTGGACAGCCCTGATATAGACATTTCTTTAAGGATTTGTTCAGTAAAACCTCAAAATGTGGATTTGCCTTTGTAAAAATGTTTAGTGTCTATCATAAACCCTTGTAAAATAAACAAATAATGTAAAAAGCAATTGTAAATGGTTTTAAACTGGGCTCTGATATCATTTGCATGTATCTGAGTGGTTTTCATTTTCCAAACTGTCCTTGATTTTTCATAATTTATGATATTCTGAAGTTAATTCCAGTTTTCCCATTAAAATCACATTATGTTCCACTTCATTTTGCCTCCAGATGCCTCCTTTCCGGAATGTATCATGTTTTGTTTACAAAAGGTCTGTAGGATTTCACTCTATTGTCTGAGCAGTGAACTAGCACATAATTAAAGCACAGTTATATAGCTTTAAATAGCTTTAAGACAATACTCAGATGAAACAGAAAATCCACACCAAAGCTTTTGTACAGCTGGAAATGCAAGGAACAGCAAATTAAAAGTGACATTTCGGCAAAAAGCCTTCGTCAGATCATTTATCTTGCTTTGGACCTCAGTATACTGTAACTTGAAAATAAAAAAAGCTTTTGGCCATCTGAGTGTGCTGTGCATTTTTTCACTTTTAATACAATACCACCATCATTTTACCTGCTCTTATAGGCCTACTTGCTCTCTGTAAAGCACTTTCTAAACTTATCTGGAATGTTTACATAGCATACTATTTGTATAGCAATTGGGCAATAGGAAAAATACAACTTACAATTATATTAATGAAGAGACGGGACAACGGGATAATGGTTTCTTTAGTTCTTTATCCAAATGTCCAGAGGCAAAATAAATCTTAAAACTTTCATGGAAGTTGTTGTTCAAGGGTCATTTTGATCAGTTCATTTGCCGTCCCAACTTTGCTACAAAACAAAAAAGTTCATTTTGTGAAGCCTGCTTAAGGTTTTCACACTAGGAGCAAATTTCAAATGAATCACAGTACATTTAATTAAGCAGGCCTTTGGTATGCCCCTGATATGAAGCGATTTAAGGCTGCGTTCACATATTCACACACACCTACACACACAAACACACACCTACACACGCAAACACACACCTACACACACACACAAAGAGGCCCCCACACACAACACAACACACACTTTCCATGCTTCTTAGGCACATAACACTGACTAATCTAATAATAAAGTATTTAGGTTATGGGGCCAGATTTTTGTCTCTAATTGAGTGTACAGATTTTAGTCTCATAATGTGATAAACGACACGCCCACACACACACACACACACACACACACACAAAAAAGAGACCCCCCACACACAACACAACACACACTGCACCAAAACTGTGAACCCCAGAACTAAACCAGAGAATAGACCATGCCAATCCCAGGACCAAACCAGGACCAAAACCAAAACAGAACCAAACCAAGAACGCAGTGTGAACGCAGCCTACATTGTTACTTTATGGGACAGTGCATTAATTTTGTAAATACTGTAAATATTAGTCTGTTCGTTCTGGAAGCACAGCAGCAGCGATGTCAAATGTCTCTTCATTTCTGTCTGAGTCTCGTTCGAAAGTATCTCCGATAATGCCAAATGTAATATCAAATAGACCTTTTACAATTCTCCATACTACTTTAAAACAATATCCTACCCCATTCCCACTTTTCCAGGCTAATCTTCCAAACCCACTACCTACAGCGCTTGTCTGGCTCCCCAACTCTCCCACAACTGTCCCAACATAATCCCCACTCTGCTCCACTAACCTACCTCCAAAAACCTTTGTTAGCCACCAGGAATTATCAAACATGTCCCCAAATATTCCCAATGTATCACCAGCTAATGTCCCAATCCCAGTAACACCAGTGTAACAGCTACTGAAGAGGGCCTCCCCCATTGAGGAAGTGCAGTAATAAATTCGGGAGAAGCACGCCTCTCCTATGTCGTAAACCAGGTTGAAAACAGAGCGAATCCAAGAAAACACGTCTGAGATCAGCAGGTGGAAGACAGAGTAGGTGTCTCCAGGCAAAGCAGAGAGAACACCCAGATCCTCTTGGAGAACATATGAAACCTGTGGGAACAAAAAAAAACATTAGCGCAATAAAATGACAGTCACCTGCGGGGAAATACCTCCAGCAAGACACACCCCATTCCACTGACTGGGAGGAGTGCACAGGAACATGCAGACTGCTCAATGTTCCTGATTTTTGGCTTAATGTCAGAAGACTATAATGTAAATGTACTTGTTCCAGCATTAACATAAAATATTTAGGTGGAAATGATGACATAACATTTTATTAAAAAGGTACACTATGCAACTTTCAGATCACTTGGAAATAGAACATACTTTGGAACATTTAACATGACCAAACATGCTTTTATTTAATCTATGTGTAGGCAAAAAATTTGCATACTGTGACTTTAAGCAAACTTAAATTGGATTTTTTGGAGTTTAATAATGCCATTTTGGTGTATTATGTATTGTATGCTGAGGTGGGCAGTACACAATTACTTTTACCTATTTACATTTACTGTAGTAATGAGATTTTAAAGAATTTTACTTCTTGGAGTAGTTTCAGACTTCATACTTTTACTCCGACTTGAGTAATACACTACCAGACAGTTTTGACACACCCTCTCATTCAATGTTTTTGGTTATTTATTTTTACTTCCAGAAGATTTAAAATGCATGAAGAGAGATAGAAAATAGTAATATAGTTGGATAGAAAATAGTCAAAATAAAGAAAAAAAAAACATTGAATGAGATGGTATGTCCAGACTTTTGAATTGCAGTGTATACAGTGCAACAGTAATCTTACTTGAGTAGTTTTGCTTACTCTTTCCATTGTGAATTAGTCTATAAAGTCTATAAACCACACTAAACATCTCGGCATATATCAAAAATGTGGAATGACCCCAATAATTCTACACCACGATGTGAAAGGAGAGGATGACTCAGGGAGCTGCATGTGAGATGTTGGGAGGGGTGTGGCAGTGATGATGACTGGGATAGTTTCTGTTATTGTGTCTGCAACCGTCTAAAGTATTAAGTATTTATATGTTATCAAATGAAATATTAAGATGCCACGCATTTCAGCAGCCCTGATGAAGGCCGAAGGGTTGGAACACATGGCATTTTAACTCTACATGCCATGTGGTAATAAAAACATTTCTGAATCAGATCCTTGCACCAAAGAACACCAAAAGGACATTTATGTATAAATCCAAGTAAAAGTAAAAGTGCTAAAATTACACTGTTTATGTTAGTTGGTGTTTTTTTTTTGCTTGTTTTAATCTGCTCTGTCTTTGTTAATGTTTTATATATGTAATTATAGAAACACTGAATACCTCAGCCTCTAAATCTATCACTATCTTTCATGTTTTATATACAGTGTTTTCAAATTTGCTGGTGTATTGTGCATCACCTGTCCGGGCAGTCCAGTGATTGTTGACACCACCGGATGCAGAGGGGCCTTGAGAATGGACAGAGTGGTGGAGAGGATGTAGAAGAAAATACTGGTGGAGTTATCGTCTGCCTTCTGCTCCTCCACCGTCTCCGAGCTCAAAGTGGCGTCTGATGGGGTGGACTCAGAGGACGTCACTTTTGATTCTTCATTGTCAGGTGAAATTTGATCTGTTTTTGCAGATTCATCGACTACAGATCTTTTTTGAGTCTCCACCTGAGACTCAGTGCTGCCCTCCGTCTGCTCATTGGTTGATTCAGTGTCAGGATTTTGTTCGCTATCGGCAGTATTCACTTCATTAGTTTCTGTATCTTCAGCAGTAGCAGTCTCTGAAGCTACTGCACTCAAAGTGTTGGCTTCATGCTGAGAAATCTCTGCAATAACTCCTCCATTCTGTCCTCCACAGCCCTCAGAGAACAGTTCAGTCACTCCTAACAGGTCCTCCAGCTCTTTCACAGACACTTGCCTCTGCCCTCCCTCTGTGTCGCTGATGAAGGCCACACTGGAGCTGTCTTTGCCTTCTGGTGCAGCACAGCAGACAGCCGACCACAGCAGCTTCGTCTCACAATCTTCTTTTTCCACAGCCCCCAGTCGCCCGGCTCCAATCAGGACATAAAGATCTCCCCCTGAGGTCTGACACTGGGGAGCGATGCTTGTCTGGACCAAAGTGGTGATGGCTGAATCCCACAGCTGCAGATGGGAGGCTGCAGGAGGCAATTCTGACTTTTCATTGTCCCCTTTGAGCAGAGCTGGGACCAACACTTTGACACTTTCCTCTTCTGTAGTCTGTAAAAAATAGGCCAAAGTTTTTAAAAGTTTAAAAACACTGGGAACTTCTAATGCTTGCTTTAGTGGTGATAAAAGAGCTGTGATAAATTTATCAGTTTGGTCCTGATTCAATCAGACTCTAATCAGTCATTCATACAGATAAACAGATGTCAGTGATGATCTTCATACAAACAACAATAACATTCCTCAACATGCTGTTACTGTAAATCTAAAGAGACCTCCAACTTGCCACAACGTGAATTTATTTTGTTTTGATGTGTCCTTACCACAGGCTCTGCTCCTTCTTCTGTTGTGCTAGCTGCCAGCCCATTGGTGAGATGGAAGGCAGAGTAGACAGGACTGCCGCAGGTTGGCTGGTACAAAGTGGCGAATGACTGCCCCCCAGGTCTGGAGTGGCACAGAGGCTTTAGGGGCCCATCGTTGCTGCCCCCGGGTGGGCTCTGTTTGTAGAAGCTGTGGCTGCACTGTGTGAAGTCTGAGGCCTGAGCTGGAGAGAGGCCTGAGCCGAGCACAGCCAACAGCAGCAGAGCACCTGCACTGACAGCAGCAGGACACATGGTGGAGTGCTCTCAGTGCCCCTCTCTCTCCACACGCAGAGCTGGAGGGAGAGGCTTATGAATTATCCAGTACCGTCCGATTATAGATGAAAAAGATAAGGTTGAAACTCAAAGCAGGCTTCAGTGGTATCCCGTTGTTCCTACGAGCTCCTTCCTTTTTGCATTACTCCAGGACAGAGTGGATCTGTGGTGCAGGCACAATCGTGCTTACTGTTTCATTTCCCCTCTCTGACAGCCTCACCCCCTCTGTCAGTTCCACCCTCTGCCTCTCCCTGTGGCTCTTACATTTACCCCTCCCTCTGACTCTCTATGGTTACACCTACAACTCTCACTGCGTTAGGTACACAGCCCAACCCCACACCCTTCATGCACTGACACTTACCTGTAAGTCTGCATTCCCAAACAATGGGTGCTACGCAGAAGCTCGACATGGACAATACGCTGTGGTGAATTTTTCTGTGGAATGGACATTCCATAAAGTTTCAGAGAAGCAGGTTTGGCATGAACACTTTGCAAACCACAATAAATCTCAGAGAAGGACATAAAAATCAGCCTGTCAATTTTAGAAATTGTGGCTCTGAAAATCACAACTGATATAACTGCAATAATTTAAAACCAGTGTTATGCAAATGTAAGTATTCAATTGCAAATCTGACAAAAATGCCTGTTGTAACATTATCTTACCTTTGGAGTTTCTCTTTGAAAACATCTTAAGAAAATAATACATTTGGCAGTCTGTACTACCTCTGGCATGAAAGATGAGCAGTCCTGTTGGTAGAATGAGGCAGAACCAGCTTTTATAATGAAAACAGAAGACAGAAGACCCTCTGGGCCTCTCTCAGAGGTGGAATGTAACAGCAAAGAACTCTCTATCAAATCATATTAAATACTTTCAGTTGTAAAGTGTATTTTGCAGCATTGTATCAAAAACACAGACTCTTATATCTTGCTTTGAAAATCAAAACTTGACAACAAAAAACACTATAATTCATAAGATTTTAATATTTATACATGAGATGATTTTGATTTTACATTATTTTTTATTTTGAACAACACAAACATATCAAAAACATGCCAACAAAAGCATTCTGTAATTAAACATGTCGAGAACTGAAGTAGAGCACCAATGATTTATAACTAAAATACTGCCTATAATAGTTCGTACATTATGTTAAACAATTAAAAGCAATTTGAGAAGCAATTCCGCTATTATTGTTGTGTGAAAACTAATGCATGTCAATAATTTGTTAATGATCTTGTAAGCTAATGATTAAAAATGACTTGTGAACTGTCTTTGCAGAGATTCTGTAGATTAACCAGTGTCCAGCAGGGGGAGTTTGTTTCTCCTTTTAAAAGTAGCAAGGAGAGTGAGAATAGTCCATTTCATCGAGCTCATCGGTCATTAGTAAATACCTCACTCATTTGGGATATCAATGACTAGTTCTGCCTCGTCTGCCTCCCCGCGGTCATCGTCGACTCTGTCACTGTCTGCATCACTGTCTCCGTCCTCTTCTGCTCCGTCTCCGCTCAGCATCTGTCGAGGGACCCAACTGAAGGGGGCGCTGGCGGCAGGGCGAGGACGTGGGGGCAGACGAGTAATTAGGAGCGACAACCTGCCAAGACCAGAAATGCAGTGGACATGGTTAGAAGTGCAATATCTTGTAATATCCAAATTACTTAAAGGGTACAGTATGTAACTTCTCTTTTAGAGGGCGAGGCATTTGGTTGTCTCCATAAAGATGTTACGATGAAATGAAATGTCCCACAGTACGGCATAAAAATAATAGGCTTTAGCGGGATTATCTTGGTTAAATAAAGGTCAATAAATAAAAATTTATTCATGTGAAGACAAGCAAATGACTCCACCCAGTCAAGTTACAGCTCTGATCTGTGGAAAGGCAAGATACTTTCGAGCAATAATGTAACTGAATAAATTTTAAATACTTATTATAATTTCACTTTATCCATATTTTACACATTTTTGTAATTACTATTATAATTATTATAATTTGTTTTATTTTCTATTATCGTTCCATTTGTTTACCTTGCCTGTTCTTTAACTTTGACGACACAATAATGCAATTTCCTTGTAGAAAATAACTGTAAAACTATTACATATTATTAAAACTAATCTTATTAATATGATATTCACAAAAAAATAAGAATTAAATCTCAGAAATGTAATCACCTGCAGATAGTTAGATAAGATGTTATGTGAACTAAAAGATGTAAAAATTAAAAAACAAAACTGACTAATGTAAAATGTCGATGGGTACATTTTGTTGTGGGCCCTGTTCCACTCTCACCTTTCCAGTGGTTTCCTTCTTGACTTTTGGTGTTTTTGTTTTTCTCTCTTTCCTCACTCGATCAGACGTAGGAGCCAAATACTCTGGCGGAAATGGCATCTACAACCATTCATGAACGTCCGAGTGGCCAAATGATGACACACGCACACAAACATATGCATAAAAGAACACAAAAAAATGTACAAATGTAAAATGTTCAATGCGTGATGGCAAAGAAAGACCTTAAAATATAAAACAAATGATAAAAATATGAAGAGATGAAGGTGATATGGAAATTCCTGCCAGAAGTTGGGAAAATATGAACTTACAGTGTTGAGATAGGACCCAGAACCTGAAGACTGCAGAGGATTCATACTGGATCGTGAGAGCAGAGAAAGGTGAGATGAAGACGAAGGAAGACATGCACCAGGGCTACTTCTGCGTCTGGGGAGAAGAATTAAATCTGTGTTGTAACCCTTGCTTGAAAACCCTTGGACTGAATGAGACATAACCATCTACTCATCCAACAAAAATAGAAATAGTAGTAATGGTTTAGCAGTTCATATTTGATCCTCTCTTGATTGTAAATGCTCTTGATAATGTATTTTCTTTAAAACATACATCCCAAATCTACTCGCAATCACAATTATATTTCCAAAGCTGGTCATCAGAATGTGCTGCTTACATCATCAATATATACTTCTACAAGAGATTTCTCATTTTCTGCATTTGAACTGGCACTTGGTAAGCCTTTTTTATAATTTCAGCGTCAACAAGGAGGTATTATTATTTAGTCTTACATATAAAAGTAATTATTGAAGACTAGGGGTGTGCAAAAACATTGAAATATTGATATATCATATCGCTTAACTGGATGATACAGTATCGATATCGTGGGCTACTGTATTGATATATCCCCAAGAGTATTTTTTGGTATATTTTACAAAATTATTTTGTGTAAAAACTACAGCTGTGTTGACATTTTCACTGTTTTGATGAGTAAAATAGGTGACTTTCATATTAACTTTCCATAAACTTAATAAACTTGGCAGACTTTTTTTTCAATGAACCGTATCAAATCAATTTGAAATATATCATATAGAATTGTATTGAATCGAGAGTGCACTGTATCGAAAAAGGTACTGTATCGTGGCCTATGTTTCAAGGTATCATATCAGCAACTTCATAATGATACCGAGCCCTAATGAAGACATAACATAACCATTACTAATTAGTATTCACTCGCCCTTAGCTTACTTTTTTGCAATTTCTCTTTCTCTCTCTCTTATAGGGACTTCTCCTTCACTGTTTTCAGAAGAAACTGTGGCCTCTGAGTCTATAGGAAATAACAGAGTGAAATAGCACACCAATAACACAACATATTATTCCTGGTGAGATTAAATACATATTATAACAGTCTGACAGAACGCAATAATATTTACCAGAAGAGTCTTCATCCACCCGCTCATATTGCAGTAGTCTGTCTAATAAGAAACTGTACCAAAAAAAAAAACCCAAAACACAATTAACCACATTACTCTTCTGAAATCTGATTATTCATAGTTCATCTATTATTAATTTATTTATGTATTTGTTAATGATCACCTTTTGTCTCTGGAAACCTTCAGTAGTTTTCTCTGTGCTCTCCTTAACTCCTCTTGAAAACACTCTTGTTCCTGCAGCCCAAAGCAAAAGTAAAAGATGAACTATTTGTGATTTAAAATGATAAACAATATCAAGCTAAATTAGTTAGCACACTTACATAAACAAGAAACTTTAATTTTCGTTTAAGATTCTTATACTTTCGCTTGTAATCGACCTCGACATCAGCTTGTCCATTCATCTCTGTAAAATATCATGCAAATAATTATGTTCTGTGCAGATAAAGATAAAAGACAATTAAAAGCTTTGTTAGAAGTGAGGTGCTAGCTGTTAGCTTGACTAGCGTGTGATCACATTGCAGCTAAAAAGAACAAATAAAATGCAAGACGGGAGTGCGGAAAGACAGACAAAAGCTATTTAACATGCTGCATATTACCAAGGAAATACATGAAGAAATATGTTTAAAAGTATGTTTAATGTAGCGGGAACAAACCTCTCGTTTCAGTCTGTCTGTGCGACATGTTTCTTGTTTACATCGATGACGCAGATTTTGTGCGTCGGTCCTTTTTTTTTTTTTGTTTGTTTTTTTTTATATATATAAATTTAACATACTCAAATACACATTTGCTAAGAAGAAAAAAAAAGGCCGACGCAGATATTTTTTTTTAAATTTATTTATTTTTTTTAATCTCAACATACTCAAATACACAGGCACGTCAAAAACACACAAACAGCACAAAATCACGCAAAAAACATGATATATGGGACAACATGCAGCAACCAACTACATAAGAGGAAAAAAAACTTAAAAAAAAAACTCACATACACTTAACCAAATTAATTAATATGTATTATTATAGTGGTGACCAGTTGGTTTATTTTAAGTCCATTTTGTTTTGTGTAAGATATTTGGCCAGTATGATGAGAGTCTGAATGAGGAAGCAGAGAATAACAGGATGGCACTTTCCTGGAGGCTGATCATATCTGGTTTTGGTCTGGATGAGCTGCTGTATGTGGGTTCTGGAGGTGGAGCCAGAGTGTCTGTTTATGTGGGAATTGTCATCTTTTTGGCAGGTTTTCCAATTTATTCACTCATTAGGAATGTAATTTAGATTTCTATCTATTGGAACAACAGCCAAAACCATTCTGATGAAACCAAAACTGATTATAGATTAGGAATATACATTTTCTTGTTAAAATAACTAGGGTGACTAGACGTCCCAAATTTATCCAAAACCAGTGATTTGCCCCAGGTTTATCCTAGTGCCCCTATTTTTGACCAATTTGATCAACACCAGGTTTAAACCAGGACTAAACTAATCTTAAATCAGGACTACATCAGGTCTAAACCAGGACTAAACTAATCTTAAATCAGGACTACTTCAGGCCGAAACCAGAACTAAACTAATCTTAAATCAGGACTACATCAGATCTAAACCAAGACTAAAACAGGGCAATCAAAATTTGTTGTCTAATCTGATCCATGCCAACAGTAAAGAGGAGCATAAATTGTCATTTGTTTAGCCAAAGTACAGAAAACCATGTTTGTGAATAACCATAAAGCAAAAAAAAAAAAAAAAAAAAAAAAATGCAGTCCCTCCGACCATGATGAACACAAGAATGCGAAATGTTACACGTTGTTTTTATTTATACCAACCATCCCAACCCGAGTGTGTATCAGTTCAGAATTTGGAAAATCTGGTCACTCTAAAAATAACATGAAGTATATATTTTATTATTGGCCCGAGCCAGTAATCTAGCTATTCAAAGAAGAATTAATATGTGACAAAAACATGAAGACAGTTCCTTGTAACGCTGCATATCAACTTTTAAAAGCAAATGTGCAAGCTCGCAGCACTCCAGAAGTGCTATAATACTCACAACAGTGTACAAATATAAACATGTAGCATGGTGTGCTTTCCGTAGCTAACAAATACACTTTTACATCGTGTTGCAACATTAAAGTCACAGTGTAAGATGTACTTGTGTACTTCTTGGCCAAACTGTTTCCAACATGTCCACTGAAGGCTGTATCAAGTGGTGGTTTGAATATTGTTTAATGAAGTTAAACATTGAGTTGAAGCTTAAACACTGAAATTTTGTCTGTTGAAAAGTACTATAGTGTGTCCTACATAATGGGTGGCCTATGTGCTTCTAAACAAATTCCTTTACAGAACTGGGACTGTGGAGATAACCCAGGCTGGCTTATCTAAGCAGACTTGGTGTGATCTTCAATGGTTTGGAGGGAGTTGTCTCTTCTCAAAAAAGAAGAAATGCTGATGCTTCAAGGACGATGTGACGGTGTGAACCTGCTCAACATATTATATTAATATTCATACTGTGGAACATATATTCTGGGTTGAGGGACAGGCAGGAGTTCAGACCGCCTGATGTAAGTCCTGTGTAGTTGTAGGCCATCAGGGACAGCCATTTGACCCAGAGCTCTGTATTAGAATTGTATTGTCAGGGGAAAAAAAATTTTGTGATTTAAATTGATTGAGTTTAATCATTTTTGACTGAACACGCCTAACACCACTCAAATAAAAGAAGTGAATTGAAGTGAAATGACTTTTTGTGTGTTCTTGCAACTGTTTTGGCCTGTTGACGCAGCCCACAAATGTTCCTGTAAAACTGAATTTAACACTGTTAAAAGCATAAATAAGTTGTGTTACATAAATATAGTTTAAAACATATTCTGTTAATGGAGTCCAGAAATGGTCTTGATTTGGGGAGGATTTGGGGAAGATTACCTCTTTGGATGGGAAAATGCAGCAGGAAATAGAAAATCCAACACAGTAGGAGGAATAGGCTACTACAGTCAGTCCACTTTATTAAACAATTAAAGCAATAGTTTGATTACAGTAATGATCACGGTCTCTGACTATTATTTAACACTGGAGTTCAGATGACATGACAGATTACATTTTATAGATCAATAACATCTTTAATATTGTTAAAATGCAGATTTTTGTTGCAGTGCAGCAAGTTCGAGGATCTAGTCACAATGTGATCCGGGTCAACATTTGTGTATTTACCTTTTGTATATTTCAAGGCAAAATGCAAAAGAATGTCTTTTGCCCCACATCCTGGTTATGTGACATTGTCCCATTCTAAAAATCACCAATAGTTCACACACACAGTATTTCACTGAGACTGTTGTTGTCTATTGTATAGCTTCCTTTAGAAATGACCATATACAGTACACTTTATCATGACTTCATAAAAGGGCCGAGTCAAGTAAAAAAATGTATAAATTTAACTCACCCCAGGGCTACTATAGGTTGGTTTCAGATGACATCCCAACATTCTGTAGGCCAGATTTGGGCACTGTAGTTTTTGAGTAATGAGATTTTTTCTTAAGAAAGGTCATGGTAATGGAGGGAAAAGTAACGGAGGAAAATTGTGCAAGCAAGTAGAAGGTGCATGACTTTGCATAATTTGTCAGCTTTTTTCCTCCGAATACTTTAATATGACTTCATAATGAAAGGGAACTATTTCTATAAAATATATCAGTCCTTCCAAGCAAATTTTTATCATTTTAAATACATTTTTTTGAAAAATCACGTACCTTCATCAACAGTTCAAAGATCGAATAACACAAGATATGATGAAATACATCCATTTATTTACATGATTTGCAGGTCTTTGAAATTTGGGAAATAATTTTTGTTCCATGTTTCATACATGGTCTGTTTAAAACGTATGTAACTTTAGAACCAAAAATGGTACAGAAAAAAGGTAAACAGCTTCATAAACTAGAGTACATATGTATCTGTTCAATACATTTTTATATCAGATGCATTAACTTCAAATTTTTGGCCTTGCTGTTTACTTCTGCTTGACCGGGCCCATGTGTAATATTCTGTTGGACAAGCTGTCGGTCTGGGCAGCTGTGAGGAAGAAAGAAAGGGGCGGTCATGCAAAACATTAAGCATAACCATATTTACAAATCAATACTCTGCTATGCTATACACTATCAATATTCTGCTGTGTAAAAATGCACACAATTGTTTATTTTGTTGTTTCACAGTTCCCTTGGATAGCCTGATATTTACTATAAGGCCATATTTTTTTTGTTTGTTTTTTATGTAGCCTACAATTTCCTGCTATTACTGGGTAAAGAGCGCCATTAACAGGTGAATTTCTAGACTTGTGAAATAGCATTTATGAAATACCACTTTAAGTTATTCTATGAAATTATAGCATTACAGCCACTCCATTATTACAGAACACCTTTGTACCTTTTCTTGCAGCACTTTCTGAGCCGGTCTGCTTCTTGGCTCAGCACAGATCCCTGCCAGGATTCAGGCTATGAATTATAAATGAGGAGGACCAGCGCAGAGGAGAGTACTGCTTTAGCGAATGTACAAAAAGACTAAGCATGTCCCTAAGTGCAGAGATAGAGATTCGACTGTATTTGAAATGTATAAATAGATGAGGGAGATGGTGGGCTCGGTTTTATGAGGGAGAAAGCAGGAGGCTGGACAGTAGAATGCTGATATTGACTCCAGGGAGAGGAGAGAGGAGCCAAAATGCTGACTGCACGTTTAGAAATAGTGCTTAATCGTGACATAGGAACCTCAGCAGGACAGGCAGTATCCTCCTTCAGTTCACCTACAAGGAAATCACAGCATTTAGATGATATCTCCAGACACCAGACAAGTAATATAACAACTATAAACATGAACTGTCCTTTCCTGTCAGAAATATTATATTAAACTGAATCATTCTGGCAGTAAAGGTTTCAAATATGTGGTTACGCCGATATAAATCAACACAATCCATTAAATTAGTCACTTTTTAAAAAGATATTAAAGGGCCAGTGTTACGCTATTTTTTTTGATCGATTTTAAAAATATTGTTTCCTCATCAAAATCATATCTGGAGTTTTGTTTTGCTTTCTTTCATTCACACACATTTAACACACAAATCTTGCATATTAAAGCTATGTTCTGCTCTCAAACTGAAACCACCCTGCCCCACGTTGTGATGTCATGTAGTAAGACAGAAGGTGATCCACTGTGTTTTTAAACTCCATGTGCCTTTACTAGAATCATTTTAATCAGTTTCAGCCCTGGACATAACAATCTCAAGGTTAAAAGTATCTGTTAACTTGAAAACTACCACTACTAGACTGACTGATTGATTCATTCATTCATTTTGATTTCGAGTTTATGCCAAGAGAGAAACAATAATCATATATACTACATATACATTGTAAACAACAGAAAAGCACATTTCTCGAAAAGGAGTGGGAAGAAGAAAAACTTATATGAACGCACCCCTATTCATGACATAGTTTCAAAATTTATGTGGTTGCTTCTGTACATTGGTCATGGAACTTAAAAATATTTACATATAGCAAAATAAATTACATATTATACAAACAAAATATAATTTTGTCAGTTTTTGACAGTCGACGCACACGCAGAGTTCTGTAGTGCAGTTAACAACAGAAAAATTGCTTGTGTTAAAGTATGAAAAGTTGACAGAGAGTGCAGAGTTTTCAAAGAACAGCGGACAACCAATTATTTTTTTGTTCAGTGTAAGGACCGTG